TGGGTTGTATGTTTAATATCCGGCATACACATTGAGATTTTTTTCAAATCAGGTGAAAATGTGGCAATCGCAGAACCAGATTCCTTACAACTGTGACGTTGTTCCTGCTGGGTTGTATGTTTAATATCCGGCATACACATTGAGATTTTTCACAAATTGTAGGAAAGATGTGGCAATTGCAGAACCAGATTCCTTACAACTGTGACGTTGTTCCTGCTGGGTTGTATGTTTAATATCCGGCATACACATTGAGATTTTTTCAAACTGTAGGAAAGATGTGGCAATCGCAGAACCAGATTCCTTACAACTGTGACGTTGTTCCTGCTGGGTTGTATGTTTAATATCCGGCATACACATTGAGATTTTTTCAAATTGTAGGAAAGATGTGGCAATTGCAGAACCAGATTCCTTACAACTGTGACGTTGTTCCTGCTGGGTTGTATGTTTAATATCCGGCATACACATGGAGATTTTTTCAAACTGTAGGAAAGATGTGGCAATCGCAGAACCAGATTCCTTACAACTGTGACGTTGTTCCTGCTGGGTTGTATGTTTAATATCCGGCATACACATTGAGATTTTTTCAAATTGTGGAAAAAATGTGGCAATCGCAGAACTAGATTCCTTACAACTGTGACGTTGTTCCTGCTGGGTTCTATGTTTAATATCCGGCATACACATTGAGATTTTTTCAAATTGTAGGAAAGATGTGGCAATTGCAGAACCAGATTCCTTACAACTGTGACGTTGTTCCTGCTGGGTTGTATGTTTAATATCCGGCATACACATTGAGGTTTTTTCAAACTGTAGGAAAGATGTGGCAATCGCAGAACCAGATTCCTTACAACTGTGACGTTGTTCCTGCTGGGTTGTATGTTTAATATCCGGCATACACATTGAGATTTTTTCAAATTGTAGGAAAGATGTGGCAATCGCAGAACCAGATTCCTTACAACTGTGACGTTGTTCCTGCTGGGTTGTATGTTTAATATCCGGCATACACATTGAGATTTTTTCAAATTGTAGGAAAGATGTGGCGATCGCACAACCAGATTCCTTACAACTGTGACGTTGTTCCTGCTGCGTTGTATGTTTAATATCCGGCATACACATTGAGATTTTTTAAATTGTAGGAAAGATGTGGCAATCGCAGAACCAGATTCCTTACAACTGTGACGTTGTTCCTGCTGAGTTGTATCTTTAATATCCGGCATACACATTGAGGTTTTTTCAAATTGTAGGAAAGATGTGGTAACTGCAGAACCAGATTCCTTACAACTGCGACGTTGTTCCTGCTGGGTTGTATGTTTAATATCCGGCATACACATTGAGATTTTTTCAAACTGTAGGAAAGATGTGGCAATCGCAGAACCAGATTCCTTACAACTGTGACGTAGTTCCTGCTGCGTTGTATGTTTAATATCCGGCATACACATTGAGATTTTTTCAAATTGTAGGAAAAATGTGGCAATCGCAGAACCAGATTCCTTACAACTGTGACGTTGTTCCTGCTGGGTTGTATGTTTAATATCCGGCATACACATTGAGATTTTTTCAAATTGTAGGAAAAATGTGGCAATCGCAGAACCAGATTCCTTACAACTGTGACGTTGTTCCTGCTGGGTTCTATGTTTAATATCCGGCATACACATTGAGATTTTTTCAAATTGTAGGAAAGATGTGGCAATCGCAAAACCAGATTCCTTACAACTGTGACGTTGTTCCTGCTGGGTTCTATGTTTAATATCCGGCATAAACATTGAGATTTTTTCAAATTGTAGGAAAGATGTGGAAATTGCAGAACCAGATTCCTTACAACTGTGACGTTGTTCCTGCTGGGTTGTATGTTTAATATCCGGCATACACATTGAGATTTTTTCAAACTGTAGGAAAGATGTGGCAATCGCAGAACCAGATTCCTTACAACTGTGACGTTGTTCCTGCTGGGTTGTATGATTAATATCCGGCATACACATTGAGATTTTTTCAAATTGTAGGAAAAATGTGGCAATCGCAAAACCAGATTCCTTACAACTGTGACGTTGTTCCTGCTGGGTTGTATGTTTAATATCCGGCATACACATTGAGATTTTTTCAAACTGTAGGAAAGATGTGGCAATCGCAGAACCAGATTCCTTACAACTGTGACGTTGTTCCTGCTGGGTTGTATGTTTAATATCCGGCATACACATTGAGATTTTTTTCAAATTGTAGGAAAAATGTGGCAATCGCAGAACCAGATTCCTTACAACTGTGACGTTGTTCCTGCTGGGTTCTGTGTTTAATATCCGGCATACACATTCAGATTTTTTCAAATTGTAGGAAAGATGTGGCAATCGCAAAACCAGATTCCTTACAACTGTGACGTTGTTCCTGCTGGGTTCTATGTTTAATATCCGGCATACACATTGAGATTCTTTCAAACTGTAGGAAAGATGTGGCAATCGCAGAACCAGATTCCTTACAACTGTGACGTTGTTCCTGCTGGGTTGTATGTTTAATATCCGGCATACACATTGAAATTTTTTCAAATTGTAGGAAAGATGTGGCAATCGCAAAACCAGATTCCTTACAACTGTGACGTTGTTCCTGCTGGGTTCTATGTTTAATATCCGGCATACACATTGAGATTTTTTCAAATTGTAGGAAAGATGTGGCAACTGCAGAACCAGATTCCTTACAACTGTGACGTTGTTCCTGCTGGGTTGTATGTTTAATATCCGGCATACACATTGAGATTTTTTCAAACTGTAGGAAAGATGTGGCAATCGCAGAACCAGATTCCTTACAACTGTGACGTTGTTCCTGCTGCGTTGTATGTTTAATATCCGGCATACACATTGAGATTTTTTTCAAATTGTAGGAAAAATGTGGCAATCGCAGAACCAGATTCCTTACAACTGTGACGTTGTTCCTGCTGGGTTCTATGTTTAATATCCGGCATACACATTGAGATTTTTTCAAATTGTAGGAAAGATGTGGCAATTGCAGAACCAGATTCCTTACAACTGTGACGTTGTTCCTGCTGGGTTGTATGTTTAATATCCGGCATACACATTGAGATTTTTTCAAACTGTAGGAAAGATGTGGCAATCGCAGAACCAGATTCCTTACAACTGTGACGTTGTTCCTGCTGGGTTGTATGTTTAATATCCGGCATACACATTGAGATTTTTTCAAATTGTAGGAAAGATGTGGCAATTGCAGAACCAGATTCCTTACAACTGTGACGTTGTTCCTGCTGGGTTGTATGTTTAATATCCGGCATACACATTGAGATTTTTTCAAACTGTAGGAAAGATGTGGCAATCGCAGAACCAGATTCCTTACAACTGTGACGTTGTTCCTGCTGGGTTGTATGTTTAATATCCGGCATACACATTGAGATTTTTTCAAATTGTAAGAAAGATGTGGCAATCGCAGAACCAGATTCCTTACAACTGTGACGTTGTTCCTGCTGCGTTGTATGTTTAATATCCGGCATACACATTGAGATTTTATCAAATTGTAGGAAAGATGTGGCAATCGCAGAACCAGATTACTTACAACTGTGACGTTGTCCTGCTGGGTTGTATGTTTAATATCCGGCATACACATTGAGATTTTTTAAATTGTAGGAAAGATGTGGCAATCGCAGAACCAGATTCCTTACAACTGTGACGTTGTTCCTGCTGGGTTGTATGTTTAATATCCGGCATACACATTGAGATTTTTTCTTAAAATTGTAGGAAAGATGTGGCAATCGCACAACCAGATTCCTTACAACTGTGACGTTGTTCCTGCTGCGTTGTATGTTTAATATCCGGCATACACATTGAGATTTTTTTAAATTGTAGGAAAGATGTGGCAATCGCAGAACCAGATTCCTTACAACTGTGACGTTGTTCCTGCTGAGTTGTATGTTTAACATCCGGCATACACATTGAGATTTTTTCAAATGGTAGGAAAGATGTGGCAAAAGCAGAACCAGATTCCTTACAACTGTGACGTTGTTCCTGCTGGGTTGTATGTTTAATAATAATAATAATAATAATTAAATTTATTTCAGACCCACATATAGTCCATAATTATGTTAGTAAATTAGCTTAACCTATGTTAGTTTTAAATTATTACACGTACAATTTTCATAACAATTATTTTTTTACTTTTTGCACCGCATGACACCAGGCACAAGCAAGTGGATACGCATCCAGTGCCCTAGGATCGGACAATCAAATCTATCAGATATTGCACTCATAATGTTATTAGAGCTCCCACGAACCCTGCGCATTAGGGATGCTATCCTCTTTCGAATTATGGCATGAAAACCGTCCGTACCGTACGCTGTAAACATTCCTGAAGCGCTACAATACCGCGGAAATCCCATTAGCATCCTGAAGGCATTATTATATCGTACCCGAAGGGCATTTTAGGCTCTCTGCGTGTACTTAACCCATAGACTGCACGTGTAAAATGACTGGCAAAAGGCTTTGAAAAGTGTTACCAATGCCCTTCTTTGTCTTTCAATGTCCGCATCATCAGTCAGATCCTCAGTTAAAACGTGACCAAGATACCTAAATTGATACACTCTATTTAACTGTACGTTCCTTAATTTAACAGGTGGAATCGTTTCAATTTTTGATCCAGCTCGAAATAACAACACTTCACTTTTTTTCATTAAAATGAGACTGTGAGTCTCAGCATAAGTATCACAAATATTAAGTAATGTCCTCAGTGCGTTAATCGATGGGCTCAGCAACACCATGTCGTCTGCATAGCTTATGCTGTTAACTAGGGTTGATGAGGAAGTGGTTATGAGGAAGAGGATGCGGATGAGGAACTATTAAAATACGTTTTGAGGAAGAGGATGAGGATATGAGGAGGAGGATGAGGAAGAGGATGCGGAAGAGGAATATAGAACCTGTGATTTGGAATTGAAATTTTAAATAAAAGAAAGATTGCGAATGGGCCCTTTAATATTTACAAAGAAAATAGGGAAGTTGAATTTAACGAAAATTAACTCAGTCGTAAACTAATCCAGCGCCACTGAAAAGGCGCTCACTGGGAATACTTGATGGAGGGGCTGAAAGATACTGGCGCACAGCTCTGTAAAGTTCAAAATATTTGGGGTTTATTTTCCACCACAAAAGACTGTCTTCTTGAAGACCTATTCTCTTCTCTTTAATATAATTAATTATTAGTGACTTCAGGATAAGAAATCTGTCGATGGGTGCGATTGGACTTTCTTCATCGTCACTATTAGGAGCTGAGGCCAGCATCTCAGATAACATTGATTGTAAAAATCTGCCTGTAGAAAAGTTAGCTCCAGAACTCGTTGATGGTAGGGTCTCGGTATCGGTATGATGAAAGTGTTGATTGTGTTGAATAACATCATGTTCGAATGACTGTATTTGTGGTTGTGCTTGTGCGCCATGGCCTTCTTGATCTTGACATAAAGAAATCAGTTCGGACTCAATACTTTCTTTAGTGATTTCATTAAAAAACTTAGTTTTATATTTTGGATCTAAATAAGTAGCGATTGTGTAGATCTTATTATTATGAGTTCACCAAAGCGATTGGTAATTTCTTCTATCAATTTTTGAATAATATTCCCGCAAGTTTGGTCAGTATTATTTATATTGTCTATATATGTCTCAATAGATTCTGCAATCTGCAGGTCAAGACATGAATTAGAGGGATCACGGATGAAATACAGGCTTCGGAACTACTCATGGTCTTGGTGGCCTCTTCAAATGGCTTAAGGATTGTTGCACAGCTCTCAAGTTGTAGCCAATCGTTTGGAGTAAACTGCGGCAAATTTGTATGTTGTGAGGTATAAAGTACTATGGCATCCTTTATTTCAATTAGACGTTGAATCATATTAAACATACTATTCCATCTTGTAGGACACTCTTGAATAACTGAAAGCAGAGGCAGACCCAGACGTTCTTGAAAACCTTTTAATTCGCTTTGGGCAATTATTGAGTGGTTAAAATGTGTCGCGATTTGCTTACATTTTGCCAACAAGGACGAAATATATTCATCAATCGCCAAGGCCGCAGTGGGTGCAATCAATGTCGTTAATCTGTGACACGCGGGCCGCTCTTTTCATGTTAGAACCACCATCGCGGTATATGGTGTATTTTTTTGTAAATATGTATTTTTTGACGGAGAATCTCCCATTCCTCTCGTATTTCGTCCAATTTTTGTGCTATCACATCGCCCGTATGTCGTTCCTCGAGTGGGACACATTTAAGAAATAAAGATACTCTTTGAAAGTCATTGTTGATACCATGAATTGTAAAACTCAGCAACGAAACTCCTGCTCCTAGTTCAGTCCATGTATCAGTGGTAAAAGATAAGTATTGCAAATCTTTAATTAAGTTTTTTACCTTGTTCCTTAATTTAGGATAAATATAATTACACAAATGAGATGTGTAACTTTGACGTCCTCTTAAATTATATTTTGGCTGAACAGCATGAATCAACCGTCTAAAGCCAATTCCTTCAACAAAATTAAATGGTAAATCTTGAAGAGCTAACATTTCGCAAATTAAATTATCCAGCTCGCAGCTTTTTTCGTGAGATGTATCCCAATACTGATGTCTTTGTAATGCCTCCTGTAAAGTTACTTGTCTCTTAGCCTGTTGAAGAGGAGTCTCTTCCAACAATTTGCGTTTATCAACCGCGGCTTTTTTTAATGCTGTATCCTTTTGTTCATACTCGGCATATTCTACTTCATGGCGTGACTTGAGATGACTTCTTAACCCCGAAGTACCGCGCCTTTTCCTTGAATACGTTTGGTCACATATTTTACATCTAACAGTATCAGCGTCCACTTCACTAAAATACGTCCATATAGCGCTACATTTTGGCCTCATCTCATAAACTTTTTAACTTAACAATAAACCTAATTACGACTTACGTAGTTCTAGTTACGTACGAGTGTACGACCTTGAGTGGTCGTACACAACAAATTTAAGACTGGCTAAGTGGCTACAGTGGGATGGGTACGTACACTACAGTACTACACACACACACACACACACACACAGTAACACACACAATAGAGTGCTGTTTTATATTTCTAAAACACGTTCAAGCCTGATCGTGAAAGTACCTAATGCAGCGAGCAAAAGACGGAGATTACTTTTATTTACATTGAATACGTCAACAACACTTCCTCATAAATTCCTCTTAATTAATGAGGATGTGGAAGAGGAAGAGGAATATTTTATGCCTGATTTTGAGGATGTGGAAGAGGATGAGGAATCGCTAAAAAATGAGGAACTTCCGCATTATGAGGATGAGGAAGCGGAATCCTTATCAACCCTACTGTTAACGAAATGCCCATCAATTGAGCAGGCGACACCAGCGTTGCTAAGCTCAACGATTAACTGGTTAATGTAAAAGTTGAAGAGCGCTGGTGAAGTTAAGCCACTTTACATGTCTCACCCCGCACTCTAACCTGTACTCGTTGGACAGTGCCTCTGTCCATCTGACCTGATTTATTTGATGGCCATACAAGTATTTAAATATTTCAATCAACTCGCTTGGTAAGGCCACTTCACGCAGCTTCTTCCACATAATATTAATTAACTAGGTCAAATGCCTTCGACAGATCCAGGAAGGCAGCGTAAATTGGTGTTTTCCTATTGGTATAGTACTTAACAGTATGCTTGAGTGTTAATATTGTATTCTCAGTAGAGACTCTTCTTAAATCCGAACTGAGCATCATGTAATTTTAGATATCCACTGAGATGCCGCTCAAGCAGACTGTCAAGCACCTTTGATAGTAGCTAATGAGATGGGCCTATAGTTCTGTTTGTCAGATATATCTCGTTTTATTTTTTACTATAGGCACAACAATAGTTCTCATCAGCTGCTCAGGAAGATAGGAATGTCTCATGCAAAGGGTGTAGAAGGTAGCTAGAAGCCCGGAGAGATGAGGCCCTGCATGCAGATGCTCAATGCTGAGACCATCACGCCCTGGCGATACCCCTTGTCATGTTTTTAATTACGTCGAAAACTTCATTCGGCGTAAAGCTAATTGGCATGCCCGCGCCCGTCTGGCCGTCCTCAACATCTGACACTATCCGCGAAGAAATGTTCGGTGATATTACTTTAAAATGCTCTTGAAATAAATTTGCTATCTCTCCTGGCTCATTCACCCCCACAATACTCACAGGGATACTCTGCTTAGGACCCACCTTTTTTGTTTGTTTCCAAAAAAATTTAAAACCTTTGTTTTTATGCTTTTCAACTAACATGTCCATTTTAATTTGATATTCATTATTTTGAGAAAATTTTAATTTCTGTTTAAATAACTTTTTTGATTCGTACATTTCTTTATACAATTTACCACCAATAGGTTTGCCATGCCACACCCAATTTATAAATTTTTGCCTAGCATCCCGGTGAGCATCCCTAACATGTTTATTCCAGCCAACAATACGAACGCCCTTCCGACACTTTCCCTTATTATAACTAAATATAGCGGCCTCTGACAATGATGCAACAATTTTATTATACATTACATCTATAGATTTTTTTATGATCAAGGTTATAACACATTCTATTACAGCAAGGAATAGGAGTATATTCATTTAAAGTATTAATATCTCTCAAATTTTTTTAAACAAAGATCATGGTATGTTGCAATTTGACCTTCATCTCCATATCCCCAAACTACCTTGTTTATGCTTACCCTATTTTGCGATTTAAATTTAGGTCTGACCATCGACAGGTCACACTGTATCTCCAGTGGAAAGTGATCCGAACAATAAATGTAGTGTATATCCACAGCGACCACTACACTCCAGGCGGCATTGGTGACGACACAATGATCTAGTCAACTGTGATGTGATGATCTGCTACCGTGCGCCTCACTTATAAAAGTATAAGTATCTGAGTTTTCACCTAATTTTGACATATCAGCACTCAACCAATTTTGATCGAAACAAAAGCTAATTAATTCCTTACCGAAACGTTCTCCAGGATGTGCGTTAAAGTCCCCTAAGATAAAAACAGATTCTACATTTTGATTTTCAACAATCGCCGCAATTTCACTCAAACAGTCACTAAATTCTAACAAATTTTCAGAATAATCCGTTGGCATATAAACACTAAATATAAGCAAAGAGCTGTTCCCTATATTCACTTTGATTGCTACGATACGCTCACTTTTGCACAAAATAACGGAGGCCGATCTAAAGACACTCTTTCGCCATAAAAGACCAACTCCACCGTACGGTCGACCGTATAGGATTCCTGCCGATGTATCTATCGCCGACGTACCAACGTTGTCAACGTTATAAATGTAAAACAGAATTTTAACATCCGCCGCCTTGAAACCGCAATCCAACTCTAGATCTGCTTTTCCTTTTTTCGCCATAAAACGATTTCGCAGCCGTCTTCTTTGCAAAAGAATCCATTCATCCTTTGGTGCTTCTGGTTTCCATTGACCACCCTCGCGCACCACATCAGAAAACCTTTTACGTCCCGAGCTCATTGTTGTTTCATGTTAATATCCGGCATACACATTGAGATTTTTTCAAATTGTAGGAAAGATGTGGCAATCGCAGAACCAGATTCCTTACAACTGTGACGTTGTTCCTGCTGGGTTGTATGTTTAACATCCGGCATACACATTGAGATTTTTTCAAATGGTAGGAAAGATGTGGCAATCGCAGAACCAGATTCCTTACAACTGTGACGTTGTTCCTGCTGGGTTGTATGTTTAATATCCGGCATACACATTGAGATTTTTTCAAATTGTAGGAAAGATGTAGCAATCGCAGAACCAGATTCCTTACAACTGTGACGTTGTTCCTGCTGGGTTGTATGTTTAATATCCGGCATACACATTGAGATTTTTTCAAATTGTAGGAAAGATGTGGCAATCGCAGAACCAGATTCCTTACAACTGTGACGTTGTTTCTGCTGGGTTGTATGTTTAACATCCGGCATACACATTGAGATTTTTTCAAATAGTAGGAAAGATGTGGCAATCGCAGAACCAGATTCCTTACAACTGTGACGTTGTTCCTGCTGGGTTGTATGTTTAATATCCGGCATACACATTGAGATTTTTTGCATTTCCCATAGTCTCTTCCTACTTCATCTCCGAACTATACTTTTTTTTTATTGTACAAGGGTGACAAACGAGCACACAGTCCACCTGATGGTAAGGTATGGTAAGTGGTTGCTGTGGCCCATAGACATCTACATCTATCCTCGATTACGAATCACATTGCAGATGCGTTGTCATCAGTGAGAACTAAGATGGAATATCTCAATTCCAGTAAAATGGGTCTCCGGTTCTCTACACTCACCATACGAAACACAGCAGCATTAAGCTACTATTTGACGCTGGTATTCTGTGAGAGCGTAGTTCTTCCCCGGTCGAGCCGACCCATTCGTGCTACAAGTATACTACTAATATAACTGCAGAAGCATAGCTCTATCACGTCAAGAAACTACACTACACTAGTGAACAACAGAAATAAAACAGCCGTTGTAAATATTTTTAAATTTATTTCGTATAAAATGACATGCTTTGCATATTACATGACGTTAAATGTTTAAATATTCAGTTACAAATAAATAATGTAATTTAATTTTACTTAAGAAAAAGTAATATAATAACTTATTTGAAGCATTTGAAACATAGACAAAGATTACTGTGCTGAATACAAAATAATTCTGCGCATTTTTTATAAATTTGAATGGTTGATTTAGTTAAAAATATTATATATATTTACTTTAGGAGGGTTAGAAAAAAGATGATTATTCCATTTAGTTCTTAAACTAAAATTGTTGATCAAAAACTTTAAAGTTACTCAACAAATGACTGTAATGGCGCTAGTTAGGCTTAGCTAACATTTGGGTTTGAACGGATTTTTTTAAAATAAAATTTCGGTAATTTTCAGGGTATTATTATGATAAGCTCAGAGCTTTCTACTTTTTAAAATTTCTATCAAATTTAGGCGCATTGCCACAGTAGTTTTATATGTTATAAACATTTTAGTGCAATCAGTGGACCACATTCGTAAACACTTAACTGCTTTTCATTTGATCTCTTTAAATAATGCTTTAAAAGAGAACCGCGAATTATTGTTCCGGAAAAGTAAGTTTATTATTTTTATTATACATGAATATTGATCTTAATTTTTTTTAAATATTATAAAAACAAATGCTTCCAGCATGCAAATCTTATAGTTATTGCATAGTTCAATAAATATTATTATTATTGATCTTGAAAGAGTTTTATAGACAATAGCAAAAATTGAAAATTGATTGAATTCTTAAATCTCGAGTCTATGTCGGTATTGTTTCCGCACAGACGTATTATTATTATTGTAGCAGTCCCGTTAAGTAAGTATTGCAATTAAGCTAAAAGGTGTTATAATATTGGTGTCTGCGGTGGTGGCTGGTAGCGGGTGGCGGGCTGGTAGCGGGCGGCGGCAGTTAGTTGAGCGCGGTGGAGGTGAGCAGTGCGACGCCGCGCTCGTAGAAGGCGTGCGGGTCCTGCGCGGGCGCTATCTGCAGACGCACCGTGAACAGCAGCTCCGAGCGCGCGCTGTTCAGGTACACCGGCAGCGTCAGCGTCTGCCCGCCGCTACCCGCACCCCCCACACCCGCCGGCTCCTCCGGACCGCTGCAAAACGTGTTACGTTATCCTAAACGTACTCTCCTATTTGTCGGATATGACATCCCATTTTAAACCGATTTGCGGAAAATTATTTACACTAATCGGTTATCGGTTTTTTTTGAAATGAAACCTTTGGAATCGATGTGATTTGAAACTCGATGAAAAGAAAAAGTCTGTCTATAAAGAGACCAACTATACGACCGGCGTTCAAAATGTATTAAAACTATTTAAAAAAATGTAAAATTATGAAATATATTTTATTTTTCAATATAATCTCCCATGACATAATACGTTTACTTGTTTGTGGCAAAAACTTTACCATTCCCTTGAAAAAATATTATTTGTCTTGACCTTAAAAATGCTTATTTACAGTGTACTTGAGCTCATTATCATCAGTAAATCGCTTTCCTCAAATGTCTTTGTTTTAAGTTTGAGGATAAAAAGCAGTCACTATGGGCTACATCTGGGCTATATGTTGTGTGGTTAATTTCTTCAAATCCTCAGTTACGTATAGCAGCCTTGTAGATCCGCGATGGGTGAACCGGTGCGTTGTCATTGGTCAGGTTTCCTCTTCTCTTCTTTTAGTGCATCTCTCAAACGGCGTAAAGTGGCCGAGTACTTGTCGGCGTTGATGGCTTCACCATTTTTTTGTGCACTCGATCATTAGCATTCTTTTGGAATCTCAAACCATGATTTTACCAGTCGATGGAGTGACTTAGAACCTCCGGGGGGGGGGGGGAGGCTGATCCCTTTTTATGCCATCGCATAGACTCCTGTTTACTCTCAGGATCAGGACCATAGTGGTGAATCCAAGTTTAATCTCCTGTAATTATCTTTTCGAACCATTGTTTTGTTACCACACAGCTCTAAAAACTACCTACAACAGTCAAACTGCGCTTGCTTTTGAAGCCCAATGAGTATTCGAGGCACCCATTTTGCACTGACTTTTGTGAGGTTGAAAAAGTCGTGCAATATGGTGTGTGTGTGTATGGTACCAACGGATAGGTTAGTCATTTCTGCTAAAATCTTAATTCTTACCCGTGCATCATACAAGTTTTTCAATAATTTTCACATTTCCTTCTGTAGCCTCTATGATTGGCCCACCCGGGCGGGGAATATTTTCGATGCTTTCCCTGCCTCTTCTGAATTCACTTGACCACTTTCGTACGGTTGACATTGAAGGAGCAGTCTTGGTAAACGGTCACTGTTTCGGTCACGTGTTTATTTTATAGAATAAGGGTGACAAGCGACCATACAGTCCATCGTGATGGTAAGTGAATGCTGTGTCTACAATTTATCCAAGATTAAGAATCAAAATACAGACGTGTTGTTTCTCCTGAGAAGTACGCGAGTATAACCAGTAATGTGTTATTATGGGTAACGAGGCATCCCATCTTAGTCCTCGCTTCATTTATCGTACTCTCACTTACGCTTTAATTTATACTTTTTCATAAAATAAAGCGTAAATACGTCCGATACGATTTTTGATGTGATGCTGGCAAACAATCTGATCAAACTCGTAACACAAAAATTTGTGTGTGGGTTCATCTTCTAAACAGCTCCACACAAAATGTACTGCCACTAGATAATCTGTTTTTATTGGGTCCGTTAAGCAGGAATAACCGGCCTTTGGCAAATCACTTAGTCTTAAATCTATACAATGATCATCGACCAATTTTACCCACGACGACAATCTCTGGATAGATTATCGTACGTGCAATACGATGATAAATCTGGAGGTAAACGAAAACTGTAACACTCAAGTCTACTGCTGAAAATAGGCCTCCCCCATATCCCACTATACGAAACATAGCAGCATAATGCTGCTATGTTTCGTATAGTGAATGTAGAGAACTGGAGATGCTTTTTACTGGAACTGAGGCACTCAATCTTGATCCTCAGGGGTGTCAACGCATCTGCATTTTTATTTTTTACTGGAACTGAGGCACTCAATCTTGATCCTCAGGGGTGTCAACGCATCTGCATTTTTATTTTTTACTGGAACTGAGGCACTCAATCTTGATCCTCAGGGGTGTCAACGCATCTGCATTTTTATTTTTTACTGGAACTGAGGCACTCAATCTTGATCCTCAGGGGTGTCAACGCATCTGCATTTTTATTTTTTACTGGAACTGAGGCACTCAATCTTGATCCTCAGGGGTGTCAACGCATCTGCATTTTTATTTTTTACTGGAACTGAGGCACTCAATCTTGATCCTCAGGGGTGTCAACGCATCTGCATTTTTATTTTTTACTGGAACTGAGGCACTCAATCTTGATCCTCAGGGGTGTCAACGCATCTGCATTTTTATTTTTTACCGAGGATAAATGTTGATGTCTGTCATAGCATTCACTTGCATCAGGACTGTGTGCTCCTTTGTCACCCACATTCTTTAAAAAAAAAATGCAATTTTCGGCACGCTTGACCGGCGGAAAATAAAAGTTATTCTATTCCAAGAATAGTTTACGCTTAATTCAATTCAAATACAATTTAAAGCATTTGTGTTAGTCTCTTAAAACGAATCGTGCACTTACCGAACCCATGTCAGCACGGTCAACGGCAAGTCCACCATGATCGTGTTGGTAAGCAACAAGCGGTTCCCTTTGACTGTGGCTCCCTGAAGCTTCAGTCCCGTCACCGAGAATGACCACTCTGTCTGTGCGTTCTCGGTTGGAGTGCCCGGGTCGGGAATAGTCACCTGGTAATTGGATGATTAAAAAATATCTGTAGTTTTTAATTCAATCGGGAAAATATTAAACAATGTAAAAAATGGGTAAACAAAAACCTTAACAGGGGGTACAAATAAAAAATTTAATGCATTTTAGATAAAGTCAACTAAAAATATTACATTATACCTTATTTTGGAAGTCTTAGGAATAATAATTTAGTAACAAAAACATAAATAAGTCTTTTATTTACCTATGAACTACTTTACTTACGGGACTTTAGAGTAAAATTAATTAAAACTGAAGAGACTCAACTTTTTAAATTATTTATTTATGTTTTATTTGCACAGCAAGTATAAAAAGACGGACTTAATGTAAAAGGACATTCTGCATTAGATATTTAATAATAAATTTAATTTTAACATGAACTCAATATAGATTAATACTTTACCGAAACTAAATTTACTAGTAACGTTATGGAAGAGCAACCTTCCGATACAAGTGCGAAAGCGCTAAAAAGATAAAATGAGTCAACCCATGTTGTATTAGCAGGCCTGTCTCACTCCGCGCTATACCTGAGCTGCGCGGTCCCTTACAAGGTACTAATTTAGTGAGGTTGTCACTCGCGCGGTTTAGCTGACTCGCGCCTTAAATTAACAAAAAAGTATTTTTCTCTTATCGATATTCAAGCACATGATATTACTTTATGAGTTTTTATTCAGAAATAGCCACTCAAAAATCCAAAAGTATATACAATTAGGTACCCTAGTTACTGTCTGTGAGGAGTGATCCTTCTGTTCTTATACTATCATTTATTCTGTGGTATTAGTTAAAAAACTTCTGGTATAGAAAATGATTTACCTGTAAGTGTAGTTCTTCAAGCGACCAGGAGTTAGCTTGCGCCACACACTGTCGTGTTGCGGTGATGTATGCTTCCGGGTTGAGCAGACCACCGAGCCACACTGGGATACTCTGTGAAGAAAAATAAGCGTAGTGTTATGCAACTTTTCAACTTCTTTAAATCTCACTGTAAACCTCCTGTAATGCAATGTTTGTATTATATTTTAAAGTGTTGTGTGAAGAAAAAAATGCAAATCATACTAATTGGCTTGATAAAAAAATCATAAAGATGACATTAAAGGTGTTTCCCCTCTGCTTGCCCGCCTCAGTTTTAGTTACAGAAGTGTTTTGGTATGGTGATCAGTTTGCAATTATTCGCAACTTTGGCGGGGCTTCCTTTCTTATGGGGTGGTAGCGACCCGCGAGGGGAGATAACGTAGTTTGATGCTGCTGTGTTGCATATGGTGATTTTAGAAGACTGGAGATCCGTTTTTGTAACGAGGCATTCCGTCGTAATCCTCAAAAGCAACAATGTATCTATATACTGATTTTTAATCGCGGATAGATGTAGGTGTCGTCGTCTATAGGCCGATTTGCCATTAGGTGGATTGCTGACAAAGACATAAAGTGTTTGAAACCGGCAATTGAGATCAAAATCTATGTCACAGCTGAGGATCGCGCGGGGGCCGTTAGGTGGGTAGCTGGCATGGTATATATGCCACGTCACCGGCCCACTGCTGCACATGAGTGTGTAGTGTAGTTTGGGAGTGTGCGGGTGAGGCGACACCTGCAGGCGCTTGGCGCCGCGCTCGGCCGGCACCTGCAGGCGCTTGGCGCCGCGCTCGGCCACCGCGCTGGAGACGGCTGCGAGCTGCGCCAAGCGGCGCGCCAAGTCGCCGACCCACTACTGCACTGTGAGTGTGTAGTGTAGTGTAGGTGTAGTGTGGGAGTGTGCGGGTGAGGCGGCACCTGCAGGCGCTTTGCGCCGCGCTCGGCCACCGCGCTGGAGACGGCTGCGAGCTGCGCGACGCGGCGCGCGAAGTCGCCGGCCCACTGCTGCACGGTGCATCCGCGCGCCACGGCATAGCGCCGCCAGCCCGCCGGCAGCATGCCGCGCACCAGCGCGCCCACCATCGCGCGCGTCTCGTTCGTCTGCTTCATCGACCCCTGCACCACCACAACTCTTCGTAAATATCACAACAATATAACCAGATATCGTATGTTTACACCCTAAGGGATTAGATAATTTTGGAAATAGTATATCCAGATATTGTATGTTTACACCCTAAGGGATTAGATACTTTTGGAAATAGTATATCCATATGGTGCTGAATATAGGCCTCCCATATAGTCTCTGCCATGGTTGCCACGCTGACGAGCGCATTTTCTTAAAGTTTTAGTTTATTATCAGGGAGATGTTGCTGCGCATATCCTGTTTCAGTTTGCCTCTGTCATCTCTAACGGCAGCCATAGACCGATATGGGGGGTGTAAATATCGACACTACACGATATGTAATAGTATGCTCGGATAAAATTTTGCGCGAACATGAAATACTCAAACTATTTATGGAATCATCATTATAATCATCATTACAGCTTTCACAAGTCCAATGCTAAACATAAGCCTCCCTCAAGGAATGCCACAAGGTATGGTCCTGAGCCACCTGCATGGCTCACCAGGTCCTTACTCCATCAGTATCAATATCACTTCGTATACCTTTACCTAGCGTAACCTTTCTTCCCCATCGGTTGTCGTTCTTTGAGATATATAGTCGGTCTATTACAACTTCAAGTTACTAATCCATCCGCGGATATCTTTATTTTTTAAATATATCACACAGAGAAACCCCGAACATAGCCCTCTCCATAGCTCGCCGAATGACCTTGAGCTTTCTTATACGGTCAGCAGTAAATAACCATCAGCGCGCCGAAGTCTGTGCTTACGTCCGCAAAGACATCTGCTGTAAGCGTCTCCGTCACCTTGAAGACCCCACTTTCTCTACGATCTGGGTATTAATAGACACAGAAAAGGATAAAATTATTTATTCTTTTGTCTACCGATAGAACAGCGGTGACCAGAACATAAGGCTATTTGAACACCTCAGTGGAGCCTCTGATGTGGCTCTAAATACCCTACCCCTAATGCACAGTTGGTTTTTCTGGGGGACTTTCATGCCTGTTATCAGGACTGGTCGTTCCCATACCAAAAAACCGATCGTGCTGCGAGAGAGGCGTGGAATTTTACCTTGTCGCTGGGATGCTCCCAACGGGTACAACAAGCAACTAGGGTACCTGATGTGGATGGGCACATAGCCAAAGGTCTCGACCTTCTGCTGACAACCGTTCCATACAGGTACTATGTTTTTTTTTCTTCCGTTGTTTGTGGTGCAAGCTGCGCGGATACCATAACCAATGTGATATGTCAAGCGATGGAGTATTTCATCCGCTTTGCTGACGTGCCTATTAGTGGTAAAGCTCGCCCATGGTTCAACGCAGAGCGCGCTCGTGGTGAAAAGCCCAAACATATGGCGTACATATCCTCGACATATGCTCGAGACCGCAAAGCTCCGGATGTTATCTAAGTAGGGAGCCTTTAACCAAGCCGCCAAGTCTAGCAAAAAGACATTACGGCAAGCCAGTTCGACCGCATTAAACGCATCGGTACAAAGCTCTGTCAAACCATCCGACAGTAGAGCTTTTTGGTCTCTTGCCAAGGTCTACACTGCCTCAGCTGGAAGATGGATTACTGACGCATACTCTTAAGGACAAAGCGGATTTATTCCGCTTCTCTTTTTGCTTGCAATTCGCGCTTGGACAGTAGCAACATCTCAAACAGCGTAACATCTCAATTACCTCACTGCGGTACCCCTATTTCAAACGTCCATATCATCAATAAAGAGGTTCTTAAAACGTTGCGAAGTCTAGACGTGAACAAAGCTAGTGGACCTGATGGTATACCAGCTATAGTTCTAAAGGTCTGTGCACCTGAGTTGTCTCCTCTGTTACGCGCTTGTTCCGCCTCTCATTCAGGACTGGATTAGTGCCCAAATCTTGGAAGCTGGCCAATGTGCAGCCTGTGCGTAAAAAAGGTAGCCGTACTGACCCAGCCAACTATCGGTCAATTTCAATTACCTGCAAGGTTATGGAGAGTATATTCAACGCCCAATTAATGGCATACCTAGAAGAGAATTACCTTTTTAATGACCGGCAATACAGGTTTCACCGTAATCGGTAAGCTGGGGACTTTCTAGCGTATACCATACACGTATAAGGTATTCGCGAACAGTGGAGAAGCACTTGATGTTTCCCATCGGAGAGTTTTAGGTTCTTACGCGACCGGTATTGCAGATCTTAGCTCGATCCCATATATAGTCTTGATGAGCTTGTCATTCATTCAAACCGTTTACTGTATTGCACGATATTGTAACTCAGATAAAACTTTTCGGGGTTTTGGAGCAGTGCGCGAAGGGAGCTTTGACTTGATTACACGTGATCTCTCCAACTTAGCGGTTAGGTTTAGTGTGCCTCTCACCATTCGGTGATCGCTACCAGTTTTTACCCTCGCGATCACTGAGACATCACAATCAGATTCTTCATCGACTACATTTTCATTCAAGTCCTTTATTTCCTCACAATAAGCATAAATGTTTCACATAAAGTAACTTTATGTTCACCAATTTTAGCACATTACCTTTGTGCTGGATAAAATATGCATGCAGCAGAGAAGGAAGAAAATCCTCATCTTAATCTACGAGTATAAACACATCAATGTCTGAAGAATTTTCTGATACAGTAAATGGAAGAATGATAGGTTATTTTAAGGTCTTTAATTAAAAAAAAAACATTTCGTAATTCTTTTGTTTTAAATAAAAATGTTATTTTTTGTATCGCCGTAGAAAATTAATAGAGTAATACGGTATGGTGGTCTTAAACAGTTTCGAAAATAATAAAGGACTAGACTAAAGTGACCTATTATTAAAATTAAAATATTTATTGCAAGTAAAGATTTACTTACTTCATGACACATCATGTTTCAAAATCCGACAAGTCACGCAAGCCTCAAAAGTGAAAAACTCTATGAAAAAAGTCTCACCTCACAGATGGCAATGACGTTCTTGAGATCGTGCAAAACTTGTTGCAGCAGCGAGGCCCCGGCCGCTACCTCGCGCTCGAAGAAACGGTATAGCGGGTCTTTGATGTTCTCCACGGTGCGACGCAGAGTCTGGATAAAACAGAAGCCTCCTTATGTTATTTTTGCACAACTTAGATAGGTAAGAGAAAGCAGTGTTACTTCTTTTATTGTTATGGCGCGAGCGGCGTAAGTCTGATATCTATAGATAGCTTTAGACTACTTACGGGCAACTCCTGTGGGAACAGCTGCAGCCAGGCTGTAGCAGTTTGATGAAGAGACTTCATCCAAGCCGGTCTGCCATCACCGATCACTACAGCGGCATCTGTGAAAATAATTCACTAAAACTATCTTTCACACTAATAGTAAACATAAATAAATAAGAGTGAACGTTAAGTCACGTAAATGTCAGACATTTTCACATTAATAAATTACTGGAATCAACATATCAAATCAAATCAAATATTAAATTAAACTTAATTTCTCTCTCTCCCTTTCGTTCTCGAGTTACCACGGATTCGAACCAAACGGTCTACTTCATCGTTCGCGTGCATGCGTACAGCAAAGAAAAGGAATAAGTTGCCAGTATCTGTTGTTCCATCTGATTACAATGTGGGTGACTTCAAGACAAAGGTGAATAGGCCTTTGTTAAGCCTATAGAATACTATAATACACAATAGAATGGCTGTCAACGTCATTTTGTACGACGATAGGCTTCGCTGGGAGCACACATACAAGCAATTACGTCGTATTATCAGTTAGTCAATACTACAAACCCGATTCGCTGTGTTGACAGATGGATTTTAATACGTATTGACGGCTCCGTGACGCAGTGGCTTAGCAATGAGTTATAGCACTAAGGGCCGCGGATTCGAATCCCGCACGGAACAAGTATTTGTATATTCTACAAGTAATTGTTACGGGTCTGGATGTTTGTCCTTGTGTAAATTCTAGTGTGGAGCTAACGTTTTAAAAAAGAAGAAGAATATTTGTTCCTAAATAGCGTGCAATTTGGCATTTTCTAAATAATTTGCATGAGAAATTTGGAAACGATTGTAACGTCAAAACATATCTCGTGTTGACATTTATACGTGTCAATTGATATGTTAGTGATATTTTAGTGGCTACATGGGCTCCGCCCACTCCCTCGTTCTATCATCATCACCACTTACCACGGGTAGGATAGTAGTCAAGCGCTAACTTAGAATAGTAAAAAAAATGTTTTTCGGGAAACTTACTGGGGTCGTCCTGAGAGGCGTTGTAAGCGAGTTCTTCCTCATCTTCAAGCTGTTGCATCTTCAATAATTTGGACACGAGGTCGCTGCCTTGCGTTGTTAAGAGGACCTGTGTATGTCACAAATGTGAAACTCAGTTCTTCAAACCTTTATGTCTATTGATAGAGGGTTGTTTTTAAATTAGTGAGGACATATATATGAATTATAACATGAGGGAAAAATTGCCTTTATTAACGCCTTAAATTTGTGATTATATTGATGGAATTTTGAATAAATATTAAATAGTCAGTAGATAGTAATTAGTAAATTATCATCAAATATATACAGCATCAATATACAATGAGCACTGTGACAGTTAGACAATATTTATTGTAGACTCGCATTGTAATATATCGAATGTTATAATAATACAGTATTTGTGGTATTTGTTGTAGTGTATCGGTCCGTGGGATCCATGTGCGGTGAAGTTCTAAAAGGAACTGTACGCACGACTTTTTATCGCCGCTGGTAATAAGTAAGATGGTTCTTTCCTTACTCAAAAGCTAAGTATTGCCTCACAGCCACGAAATGCAGCCATTGCTCTTAGCGCTCTACCGCGGTGAGTAAGACTGTGATAATTCAAGTTTTAGTTTTTTTAATTATGGTTATACTTAATGTTTCATATAGAATTCTGTTTAAAATATAGTACAATGTTGGCAAAATGAATTTTTGTATAGTGTTAACTTTAAAGCAAAAATCATAAGCCCACCTTCTCCGCGTTATTGGGTAGACCGAGCCAAGAAGGTGTTTGTCGGTCGGAGAGCTCTTCAATCCACTTAAGGAAGTGGTCGCGTCGGTTGCCATCCGGCATTGTGATGTGGCGCTGGTTGCCGCTCGCCTGCACACAACATCCAATTATCCTACTAACAGTTACATTAATTATAACGAACCATTTAAAAATATTAAAGTTATCACATAATTTGTATTGTAATATTTATAACTAAAATTATTGAAAAAAAATCATTAAAAATTTATTTTATCAGTAAAAAAATAATTTTCTCAGATAAAAAGTCCATCAGGTAGATTTTTTATGACATACCCCATCAACGTTCGCGACGAGAGCAAAGTCCGCTTCAAATGACTTGGGTGTGAAGAGTTTGCACAGGAATGAATGCAGCAAACGCTGGTCAAACAAGTTGTCGATCTTGCCTCCGTAGATGCATTGCGACAGCAGAGTCACCAGTGCCTCCCAAGGGACCTTCTCCGGGGGCAGGTTTGTACGACCCTGAAATTACAATATTTTTTACATATTAGTAAGCCTATAAATAATTTAAAAAAGTTCAAATTAAACTAATCTATCTCAAAAATCAGAGAAATAGAGACAAAAGATATTGTCAGTAGCGGTAGCCGAGGAAGTAAGTTCAATAAAATAATAAATGTTGAAATTTTAATTAAATCTCTGCTGGAACTTGTTATCTCAAGTGTTGATTTAAAAAATTCTGTAACCCATGCGTATACAGAAGCTTCTAGAACCTTGTTAAAAATTATCATAATGAAAAAAGGTTATGGCAAAAAAGTATACCATAGCAGTTGTATCGATCCATGTGTCAAGGGTATCGCAGGCCACACGTAAGTCGGACTCATTGAACTCATAGTACTTGGCCCAGCCCAGTGGCACGTAGCGGAGACGTTCCTGCACAATACCTGGAGGAAAGAATACATAATTATATAAAAAATAATTCACTCTAACTGTAAACAAACAAATTGTGCTACAATTCTGAAAATGGTTATTGGGTAACTTTAATTCTTACCATGGAACCAAGCCAATAGGAAATATAGCCTCGCTCTTTCGGAAGGTGGTTTCATCATGCGAGCCGCTGGTACCTAAAATAAAACAGATGGTGTAAAAATTTGCGGACTAAAACAAACATAGCCTATAAAAGTCCCTGTGCTGGGCAGAGGCCAGGTGAGTAGAGGTCTCTAAGTGCTTTAGCGCATGTTAAAAGAATTTCGCGCAAGAAATATATTTTATTCTTGAGGTATGTTAGTTTCCCCATAATACACGATGTGCATCTTCAACAATTAACCTATCAAACATTAAAATTTTTGCTAAAATCGCTTATTAGTATCTAACACACTCAGAAAAGGTAAAATTCGTTGATGCGTTGTCGGCAGTTTTGTAACGCCTTATTTTTTTTTAAAACAGCAAAGCGAATGTACTACTCTGGTGTGAATCGTTATAGTCGATGAGATTCACTCTGCAATTATTCTTTTATATTGTAACCTAATATAAGACTAAACATAAAACAACACTCCCTGACCATCCATTACAGAGATTCACAAGTTCAAGCACCACATTTGTCCATAATTTGCCATTAAAACTAGCTAATTCGGCCGAAACGGGCGGACGAAGCAAATTCAGCAGAGTGACTTTCTTTGTAACGGTGTTATTGTGGCAGGCCCTGACTGAATGGTCTACTGCATATTTTGCACTCACCGCTATTACAATAAGTATAAAAAAGACATCGGCTCATAATCTATACTGATACATTTACACAATGCAACAAAACAATTACAGAGATTCCATACTTACACAATCGCACTGCAGATTACAATATTAGTTTTATGTAAACGAGTAATAATTCATGAGAACTCACAGTTGCAAATGTCCTGAGCAAGTTGGCGCGAATACCCGGTGGCGGTTCGAATACAACCACACGACCAGCGCGCAGGAGGTTCACCGGCAGCTTGGGACTGATTTCCGTGGTGAGGAATAGACGGAAGTTGGGATGAGGCTGCAGTGAGTGCAGTTTCTTCTCCAATTGTACAAGCCAAACGGGAGCTAAGTGTACGTTCTTGAGCATCACCCAACTGGAATATAAATACATAGTACTCTTTAGTTCTGTTTAAATTATATTTTAAATTTTAATTTCCAACAATGAAAATCAGAAAAAAGGAAAGCAAATTATCAAATACCTTCCATATTGAACAATATAAAACTTTAATGTAACAGAATTATTATAATCTTGTAGCATATGGGCAGTGTATTTAACAGTGTAGTGGCAGTGAAAAATATCCACTGTCCCATGTCGTCCCATGGGTGTCGTAAGAGGCACCAGGTGATGGACAGCAGGATCGGAAGATCCTTCATTTTCTAATTGTTATCATTCCTGATAACAATTAGAAAATGAAAAAAAAACTGCGATTGCCAACCCGCCTGCCAAGCGTGGCAACTATGGCAAGTATCACCCTTACGAGGGAGACCTATGTTCAACAATGGACTTTGAAAGGCTGTAATGATGATGATGATGAACTGTAAAAAAATAATAATTCAATAAAATTGCTGATTAAATAAAAGTCTCACCGTCCACTCTTGCATGCAGTGTTAATGGCTCGTTCAGCTTGATTGAATCCTTCAGCTGATCCAATAGCGATACTTGAAAGCGGTTTATTTAATTCTGTTGCCATATCATCCACTCGACCTATAAATAACACAATTTAAATTAAATTAGAACGATATCAATGTGAGATAAACAATAATAAACTTTATTTGAGTTGCATTCAGGCCCCCTTAACTTTAAAAAAATCCACACAAATGATTCTATATGTACTTTTAGCAGTGAATAAACATTTTATTTTTACAAAATTAGAAAATTAAAAGTAAAAGCTCAGTTACGTGTGAATCTTACCGCTAGCGTCGTATCCCGGAACGGAGCATAAAATCGCAGGTGTGGTGGCGTTCAGCTGAGTCTCGGTAATGGTGGCCAGGTCTAGCTCGGTCTCGGCCTTAGCCATAAAACTGTTGCCCAAAACGGCAGCCACAAGTTGTGTAGCTGCTGCGATTACACGGTCAGGTCGGAACGCCTACAATAATAAAAATACTGTCGTTTAACAGTTTAGGCATAAGCTACAGTTACATTATAACCGCGGATCCACATTATCGCCATGAAGCTCCGTAAACAGGCGTGAACGTGAATGTGGTGGTTTTCGCAGGATTCATTTTTTTTTTGCACAGCAAATAAAGTTATTGCAGCAACAGCATTTAAGTCCGTTTCGCGGCGGGTTTCACGAACGATTGTGAGCATCCCGTGAATGTGGAGGGCACGACTTGTGCCGTGAATTAATGGCGTGAATTCACGGCGATAATGTGGAGTCGCCATAATAAATACTTGGCTTATAGATGAATAATATTCAGGTGTGTTTTCGGCTTATTCGTGCTACACATTTTTTTTGCTTGGGTCTTTCGCTGTTTCAGCACCCATTCATTACAGCCTATCGAAAGTACCTGCTGAGCATAGAATTGCCTCATAGAAGGGATATAGGTCATGTTGTAACGCTTCGCAAGCGGATTTTCTAACCGCAGTTTTATCTCTCGTTTCATTAGCCTCTGTCGCCTATTATGACAGACATATCCACTGGGTGATATGAGACAGTAGATTCTCTTGGGCCGCCATTACACGACGAGCCTGATAAATACAGTAACCATCATTTTAAGGAAAATGGAATTTAAACACGAGAAAGTTATTAAAATCTTAGATGGGCTCAAAGTTTGTTTGTCATTATTATTATACAAAATAATACAAAATAATATATTAAACAAAAGAAGAAACTAGGTGTTTTAGCGGGAATCGATATTTACTTATGTTTTAGTGAAATTTTATTTTATACAAAATAATACAGGTAATATAAAATGCGCAAGTGAAAAGAACTTGTTTAATTTTTCAAGGGACTACAGTGCATATACTTATATCATAAAATAATTGAGTAAAGCCTTAAATGTATAATTTTTTTTCATAAAATTAAAAGTTACAGGGAAAGGGTACAATTTCAATTTTTTTATGTTTTATCTAGTCCACTAACATAGTAATTGGTTTATAAGCATATTATATTAATATGTGAAGAGAAAACTTTGTGCTTATTTTTCAATATATTGCGCGCACGAAGGTGTGTATTTGGCATATACACACACCGGCACGGAAACTTGGCCACTCGTGAATTTGCCGATTATTTGCACTAAAACGTTTTTTTAACAGTAAATTAAGGGTAGATGGATACAATAAGTGTCTCTAATGGTTTTAGAAATTAAAAATTTAATGTTTACTTCACCAAATAGTTTCTTTTCAAGATAACATGTTTTCACTAAAATTAACATCTTTCTTTTCTTGTTCGTTGTTCGCCGTTCTTTATTTCGTTTCTTGATTGTCTATCGGTTTTAAGGTGAAACTTACGGACAGCTCCCAGACATTCTCCCGCAAGATGGCGCTGAAGTCAACATTATTAGTTTATTTGGGTTTTTGTGTAATTGGAAAATTATTAAGTCGTAGTAGATTTTGCGGTTATCGGATATTACATTTTATTGGAATGAGTCATATCATTGCCTCAAAATCTACCCAATTCGACATTGATTATAACATCTGCCATTGAATATAGTGTAGTTTACACACACAGACGTATCCCTACGTTGACGAAGCTTGAACACTAGATGGCGTGTATGTAAAAACCAAGTTTTTATTTCTGTATGTGTAGATTGGGCAAAACGCTATGTACGATTGTTGTAAAAATAAAAGTTATATTTGTTGGCGTAAACTATTTAATTGATTTTTAACTTTGGGAACTAAATTATGTCAACATTGATTACAATATAACGCGGTTTTATTTTTTACACTATTGAATTTTTTATCTAAATAGAAGTACCTATTTGAAGCAACATAATTATGCTGATACATGCCTATTCACTTAAAACTAATAACACTGATGTTTTGTAACAGTACAAATTATTACTTTGGTAATTTTTTACTACTTTTTTTAATTTTGTGACTACTTTGGTAGTTTACCGATTTATAATAATTGTATTTATTGTTGACCAAAAACACATTCATATATGAAACACTGACATAGATATGACGTAGATAATACCACCGAAAACATAATTGCGTTTTTAGAATAATTAATTACTATACCTACGATAAATTACAATATAGTCTTAAATATATACTAGAGAAATATGCAATCGAATCAATGAAAACATGCATACAAAATATGTATAATACACAAGAAATTCCGCGCGCAAATCATGGCGCGTGACAACCGAAATCAGAATTTATTTTATAACAAGTCAAACAAGTGAACGAAGTTTGGCAACGCTTTTTTTTCGTCAATTCAAGGTCAGGAAGGACGGCATAGTCGCTCTATCTATGACTTTTGGTATTTATGTTGCCACATAACAATAATAAGTAACAAAATTGTTTACATTAAAAAACATAGATGTCTAAGGTCATTAGTTTTATGTTATTTTATACTGTTTTTTAACGTTTGGAAATGAAATTAACCAATTATTGAACTTAAGATATCGATTTAACAGAATTATTTAAGGTCACTTGCATGCCATCTAGCGTGCCAATGTTTAAACGTTTTCGTTTGCTTGACAAAAGTCACGCACACTACTAAAGAAGTGTCACAGGGATATTGTTATTTTTAGTATATAATGTAAGTTATTGCCTATAAAAGTCAAACGCGTACACATTTCATTGCAGAGAAGTGATAAAATGATAAAAGAAAGAGTGTCTGTGTTTAGTGTACAATTTGATTAAAAAATGTATGGACGGACGGCCGGCGCTTCCACCTTAATATTTGGGTGTTTCCTCCTCTAGCCCTGATAATCGCCTGCATTCGGTCTGGCATGCTTTGAATGATGTTTCTGACATCAACTTACGGTATGCTGTCCCAAGCGGCCAGCGCTGTATTTCGGAGCTCATTTAGTTCATGGCGGTTTGGAGCTGGACTTTATCTTTTTTTTTATCACGCTCAATCTCAACATGATCAATTGGATTTAAGTCCGGGCTACGAGCTGGCCACTGTAATTTTTGTATTCCAACCTCTTCCAGATATTCCTCTACACAATGTGCGACATGTGGGCATGCATTATCGTGCATGAGGAGGAATTGGTAGTGTCCAATGAACCCCGAATAAGGCATTACGTGCTCCTGAAGAACTTCCTCGATGTATCGAGTAGCTGTAAGCCGATTGTCGATGATGACCAACTCTGTACGTGCGTCGGAACTTACACCTCCTCATATCATTATTGAGCCTCCATGGAAACTCACAGTTTGCGTGATGGTAATGGGTAGAAACCTCTCTTCTCTTTTTTCTCCACACTCGTTCTCGACCGTCTGGAGCACGTAAAGCTATTCAACACGCATCTGTGAACAACACTTTAGCCCATTGCTCGTGGGTCCAATTGTTCTCTTGCGAACTGAAGTCTACGAGCTTTTAAATTCACTTCCTCCATTCGTCTTCTCACCGTACGCCCACTAACATTAACGCCTCTTGCGATTTGGAGCCGCTGGCGTATCTCAATAGCGGTCAGGTAGCAGTTTCTCAAAATCTCCAGAACAATAAAATGATCGTCCAGGGCCGATGTGCACCTTACGCTCCCACTGCCTGGCCTGCGGGTGTAGCGGCCTGTTACCTGGTATCGTTTCAGTGCATACTGCATTGAAGACCGTGGTACGTTAAACACTATAGCAACTTGAAACTGTGTCAGCCCTTGGTCAATTGATGCTACTGCTTGTGCAACTTGTGCTGGTGTTAATGACATATTTATTGGTATTAAAGCTCCTTTAGTTATTGAATTAAGACAAGAACACAATAATTGAATAACCTTACAGTAAACTTTTCACAACATACAAATTTAAAATGTGAACTTAGTCGCTCAAATGACCCGATTCAACTAAAAATTGAAGAATTCGTCATGGTGCACTTGATCATAATGAATTACCCTCTTGAACTTAAGGGTAAACAATTTTTGACGTACCTGATATACCCTACCATACCATACAAACAATTATCAGAAACACTGAAAGCTTTTGCTATCGCGATATTAGCGCTTGGCCAAGATTCCGTGCCGCTGAGTGTAATTCAAGATTATATGGAGGAGTGCAGAAAGCTAAAATTTATAAATGATACGTTTTACAAATATATCAAATTAAATAAAACATTCATTGTTTACGTTTATACCGCAAATGTCAAACACATAATAGCCTGTGGTCAAACAGCCCCATAGAGTAAAGATCAAAGAGTATATAATCACTATGTGCAGAGATTTACTGAAAGATTGGCTGAATGATCTGTGAATTTTGTGTGATTTTAAATGTTCCTTTTCAATAATCTGTGTTGTGTATGTCTCATACAATAATATGCAGTTGAAAGTGTAACTAGGCAACCACTAGCATTAATAAATGTCCGTTTGACATCGAACTTGTGTGGCGCGTTACGTATGTATGTATGTGTGAACGGGCGTGGGCACCTGTATGAGCAGCAGGCGGTACATGGCGAGAAGGTGGGGCGCAGGGGGCGCGGCGGGCTCGGAGTCCCACAGCGTGGGCACGCACTGCTCGGGCGCGGCCTGCGCCAGCCACGCCGCCAGCTCGGGCAGCTCCGCTGCCTTCTCCAGCAGCCGCCGGAACTCCGGCAGCCTGTCGCAGCACACTCGTTATATCCACCACTCTCATATAGCATACTGTATGTTCGGTGAGAGTTGATAAATATTTTGAAAACTCTTACAATAGCGGCTGTCGCTTAGGTATCGCAATCTATGTGACGGGCGTCGCTTATCGCCGCAAGGACAGTTTTATAGGGTATGTTCCAAAACGTTTTCAGTATACTGCCGAATACAAATGACGTCATCCATTGACACTATATTGTGTGTGTCGGATATCCGGCCATAATAAAACAACTTTTAATTGTGTGTGCGCTGAATGAAGCTTGCCAGAATTTGTTTTTATATATTCAAATACAAAAAAATATAGAATAATTGCTGGTATCTTCATTAGGAGGATATAATGATTTTTGGTATACCTCAATCACTGAAAACTAAAGTATACAACCAGTGCGTGTTGCGATGACTTACGGATCTGAGACGTGTTCCGTCACTGCTGGCCGTATGAGGACGCTCAAGGTCGCTCAGCGAGCTATGGAGAGGGCTATGCTTGGAGTTTCTCTGCGTGATAAGACTCAGAAATGAGGATATCCGCAGTAAAACCAGAGTGACCGACATAGCCCAACGGATTAGTAAGCTGAAGTGGCAATGGGTCGGCCATATAGCTCGAAGAACCGATAACCGATGGGGAAGAAAGGTTCTCGAGTGGCAGCCTCGTACCGGTAGGCGTAGTGTAGGGTGACCCACCACTAGATGGAGTGACGACCTGGTAAGACATGCAGGAAGTCGATGGATGCAGGTGGTTCAGGACCGTGCTTTGTGGCATTACTTGGGGGAGGCCTATGTTCAGCAGTGGACTTGTGAAGGGCCGTAATGATGATGATGATGAATGATTTTTGGAGCACAAAATGACAAAATAATCGCCAACACTTTTCCAATATGGCGCAAATGTATGACGTCATATACTGTCCTATGTTTTGGAACGAATCACCAGTAGTATAGCGTCGATTCATGACGTCATTTACATTGGACAGTACACTGGGTTGATTTTGGAACATACCCATAGTAAAAGGCTCGCAGCATTTGCCGAGCGTGAGACTGGGCGGGCGAGCCGACGCGACTGCTTTCTTAAGCTGAACGCACATTTGTCAGCACAGTACGCGTCGCACGCGCTGTAAGCGCCGCATTTACTGATGGCCTCGCACATTGGCACGTACGCAAATATTTTGTATTGTCAACAACTTTTGCAGTTTCTAGGGAAAAAAACTCTTCTAATAGCCTGCTTATCGGCAGAGGAAAAAAAAATTGAGGAAATAGAAGATTCTGGACTCACGATATTAATTAAAGAAGGCATTTGTATGGGTATTGTTATAAGTTATGTAAAGACTTATTAGATAATGATGAACGATTTTACAGATATTGCATTTGATCGATGAATCGTTTTACGCACGTCTTGTCTCACGACGCATAGTTGCCTTCACTATATAAACTAAAAATTATATTTCCAAACTTGTAAGTGGGTTAATAATGGAGCGATCATCTTTCCACTAATTGAAACCTTATTCTACTAAACCACTAGAAATACACTAGCCACCATATACAATATTTCTCAATTAAAAGGGTAGTCGAAACCACCAGTTTTAGTGAAAAGTCAACTAAGTTGGCAACAATAGGCAGCGCCGAATGTACCGTATTATATAACGTCATCAGCATGACTGCTTCAATATTCGGATACTCACTGTGGTGTGTTTGTGTATTATTGTTGTGGGGGGAGGGGGGCGGCCCGCCGGGGGGAGACCGCCCCACAAAGGGGAGGTTGTTTTTTTTTTTTGGTGGGGACCTTTTTTTCGGGCCTTTCCTTCCCCGGCCTTTTTTTTTTTAAGAATGCGCCAGGGTGTGTTATACGCATTGACTGCCTCGTTGGTCTAGTGGTTGTAGTAGTGCGACTGCTGATCATGAGGTCCTGGATTCGAATCCCGGGTTGGGCCAAAAAATCAATTATTGAGCTTTTCTATTAAGAAATTCTCAGTAGTTGCCCGGAATCAGGAAGTTGGCGGTGTCTCACCCCCGTGCCTCGGAAAGCACGTAAAGCCGTTGGTCCTGCGCCTGGTCTCTCTCTGGTCGTGTCAGTTTACCGTACCATCGAACTATGAGAGTGAGGGAATAGAGAGTGCAACTGTACTTGCGCATACACTTGGGCACTATAATCCTGTCCTGCGCCGATGGCTAGCCTCCGTTGACGCAGGCCGCCGTGACCTAAATTTGGTATGGATGACATTATTTATTACTTACCGCATTTTATAAAATACGGCATTTTATAAGCACGGTGTGAGTGTAATGTGCGAGGTTTCCTGTGATTTGATACAACGAATTCTAAAATGCGGCACGTACGGCGCGTGCGGCGCATACAGTGCTGGCAAATGTGCGTTCTGCTTACTATCAGCAAAAATAAAAAGCATGTTATGCAAAATTACAAAGTTTAAGAACCCTAGTTTTTTATCAACTCTCGCTGAACAGACTTTGGCTTTAAAAATAAATAATCGGCTAGCTGCGGATATATAAAGCTGCTATATATGCATAAATAGATGCTTTATAAATCCGAATAATCCATTATAGACCAGGGTCAAAGCCGACAAAAATAATTAAAAACGAAAAAAAATTAAAGTAGGATGAAACCTATTGGAAAAGGAAGGGAATACCACTAAAATGATAGGAAAAATAAATTACGGGCGATCTGAGGTTGGGAAGGGGTAGGGGGGGGGGGAGGTTTTAAGGGTAAAAATCGGTAAATCTCGATTTCCGGCAAAACTACAAGTCCTATAGAAAAAAGTTCAATGGCAAAGTTGTAGATAATAAAAAAGATCTACAACTTTTGTATCTATAGTTTTTCTCCATAACCTCAAAATTCATGTGAAAAATCCAAAAAACCACATTTTTGATTTTTTATTTTTGTCTTTTACAAAAAAATTGTTTTTTTTTCATGATATTTGGTGAAAACTTCCCTCTTTATGACCCAAACACACTGGAATTTTGAAGATTTAAAATATTAATTTTTTCACCCTATTTTGACTCGATATCGAAAAACGCACCCTAATTTTCAACCGAAAATTCTCACGTCAAAATATCTGATTTTTCAAAAAAGTCGTAGGGCTTTTTGTTCGTTGATATCTCTATTTTCTGATGGTGTATAAAATACATTACTATTGAAAAAAAATAATTTTCGAATTTTTTTTAATCTTTATACAAATTTGTATTTTTTACTTTTACTGAACGTTAAGTTCCATTTTATAAACAAATGCGTCGTGTTGATAATATTTAATATGACTTCTTTTGAAAATGTCGATGGTATGTTGGTTTACTATAGTAAATTATATAGGGTATTTTAAAAAAAAAAGATGTAAACAAAGAAGATATTAAAAAAATGGATTGATATTAATTAAATCTATTTATAAATGTATAAAGGATAATATAACACTGAATCAATTAAGATTTCAAAAATATCAATTGGCAAAAATTAAATCATCTTTCATCATATTGGCAAATCTCCCACCCACAGAAGGTGCAGCAGAACAACATTGTTACAGGGGATATTATCAGCTTCAAACGTGGCTGGGTAATGAATTCACAGCAACAGATTAGGGGCTGGAAGCAACATCAACATGGAATTATGCCCAAATTTACAGAAATGGAATTAATTCCGGAAAAATTGCTGAAAACTATTTGCTGCAGCTGTGAAACTGGATGTAATAGTTTAAAATGTGGCTGCCGAAAACATGGTTTAAAATGCACAAATTTATGTTCAAATTGTCATGGTTCTGAACAATGCGCCAATGTGGGGAAAAAAATCTACGAGGAAGTTAATGATTCAGATGAAATTGCGGATGAAGAACCAATGCAGACCGAAAATAATGTGGGAGACGAAGACAATGATGGTCTTGAAGATGTCCAAGATCTAGAATCCGAAAGGCCTGTCGAATTTAACGATCAAGAAATACCATCAAAAAGAAGAAATGAAGATTCGAATTGAATACTATGTTTTGATAAATACAAAGATTAATGATTTTAAAAATAATATAATGTGTAATGTAATCATTAAAAAATATCTCTACTCAATAGTACGATTTACGTGTATATTCTATCTAATGAGATTTTCTAATATATAAATGTAATGAAAATTTAATAAATAAACTTTTATTACTGCAAAAAATAGCAGTAGTCACATTTTTTTAATAAAATCCCCTTTAAATCGTATTTTTAATATTTACAACTATATTTTTTTTTGCGATATCTATGTTTTTGTTTATTAATCTAACATGGAACCTAACGTTTTTCGAGAAATTAAAGTAAAAATTTTAATGAATACCTCGAAATTGTACATAAAGATTTTAAAAAAATAATTCGAATTTTAGATTTTTTTTTTGCATTTTCTGAAAAATTTTTCAATATTAAATGTATTTTTTACACCATCAGAAAATAGAGATATCAACGAACAAAAAGCCCTACGACTTTTTTGAACAATCAGATATTTTGACGTGAGAATTTTCGATTGAAAATTAGGGTGCTTTTTCGATATCGAGTCAAAATAGGGTGAAAAAATTAATATTTTAAATCTTCAAAATTCCAGTGTGTTTGGGACATAAAGAGGGAAGTTTTCACCAAATATCATGAAAAAAAAACAATTTTTTTGTAAAAGATAAAAATAAAAAATAAATGTGGTTTTTTGGATTTTTCACGTGAATTTTGAGGTTATGGAGAAAACTATAGATACAAAAGTTGTAGATCTTTTTATTATCTACAACTTTGCCATTGAACTTTTTTCGATAGGACTTGTAGTTTTGCCGGAAATCGAGATTTACCGATTTTTACCCTTAAAACCTCCCCCCTACCCCTTCCCAACCTCAGATCGCCCGTAATTTATTTTTCCCATCATTTTAGTGGTATTCCCTTCCTTTTCCAATAGGTTTCATCCTACTTTAATCTTTTTTCGTTTCTAAAATTATCGAACCTGCTCTATTATGTAAAGCTCTATTAGCGCATTGTTGCACAGTGCAACCCCATCACATATCCAATGGAAAATACTGAACATTTTTAAACTCCCACAAAGCGCGGTCTTGAGTGGGGTAACACAAACGATTCATTTTTGTTTTAAAAATATCGATATATTACAGTCAAAACCGGTCAAAACCACTTTTGACTGCAAAAATCAGGCAAAATTAGTTTTGACTAAGGATGTTGGTCAAAATCACTTTTAACTGCAAACATATTGGGTAATAGTGATTTTGACCAAATTTTATCGGTTAAAAGTGGTTTTGACTAAGAATGTTAGTCAAAATTACTTTTGACTTATACTTTTTGAAATTAAGTCAATTCTAAAATTATATTTTATATCACTATAATATACGCGGCTTTAAGGTGGGCCAAGGGCTACCTTAACCCACTATCACTGAGTTTTAATCAGGCAAAACCATTTTGCCTAAAACATTAGTCAAAACTGTTTTTGAGTAAGGGTCTCGGCCAAAATTATTTTTGCATGATTTTCGCAATCAAAAGTGGTTTTGCCCAGTTATGAGTTTTACTTGTGACAGATACATTTTTATCTTTGTTTTAAATTGTTGATGTGATTTTTAGGTAAAGCATCTTCTGTTGTTATTGAATAAATTGTAAGTTAACAAATATAGTATAGGAAAACAAGTCTACCAGTGTTACCGACTAATCGAGACATAACTTTTTTACCTATAACTACTACTAAAAAAAATTTGTCCCCTATTTTGCCACCTTTAGGAGTGGAATTTTTACTCCAAATTGTTATGGGATCATTACTGAAGTATAAACTATTTAATAAAAAAGAATCATCTAAACAGGTTTGTAATTAAAGGAAGAATCGTTGAACATACATACAGTCGAAAATAGGAGCTTCTAATTTTATAAATACGCTTTTATTAGCTGCTCGTGTATCTATCTATCTGTGTAAATGAATCTTTTAGTGTAATTTTCAACAACTTGTTCAAACAGATTGACTAGTAAATTTGCACTTGTATTAAGGATCGATGACAATTTAATAACTTTTTCCTAGTATCCTGATTAGGATTACCAGGATAATTATTTCCAGAATCATCACAGCTCATGATCAATGTGTGTTTATTAGTTTTGTTAAATTTTAATATAAATGTTGAAGTGGGTAAATAAGGAAGGTGTACCTGGAGCTGAGGCGCGCGGCGGCGTCGTGCTGCTGCTGCGAGAGCGGGTCGAGCGGGTCGGTGGCGGCCACGAAGCCCTCCTTGCCGCGCAGGAACACGGCGAAGTGGCGCTCCAGCGCGTCGCCGCCCGCGCCCGCGCCCTTCAGCTGGATGCGGCACAGCAGCAGCGCGAACGTCAGCCGGTCCGTGTGCAGCATGCCGCGCGCCACGCGCTCGTACACCGCCTGCGCACCACACACACACTCCTCATTACCATCAAGTCCACTGATGAACATTCACCTCACATGTATTGTTTCGTAGGGGATGTTTTCCATATAGCCACTTTTTTTGCTTCATAGACTGACAATCGCAGTTTTTACAGTTTTAAATTGTTATCATGAAGAAGCTGTTACCCATTTTCTACTTCAATTTTCCTATAGTCACTTACAGCACCCATTGAATGATATGAGGTCGTATAATAATCCCCAAATCGTACAGAATATCATAATTTAGATTTAATATAATTAATTTAGATCATAATATATAAATAATTTAGATTTAACTGTACTTGATGTTGTACCCGTGGTAGGAAAAGGGGAGATCTCCCGCCGGGCAAGGTGTTCTGCCCGGGGAGCGGCCGACACTCCATGTGATAGTTCGGAGATGTTCTATATATACTGTTCATGATTCGGAATGTTGATAGCGTGATTTAGGCTTCGGTGTGTTTCGGTGTGCTAGTGGCGCGACGACAGCGCCGCTACAATGTTTTGTATTTTGGTGTACAATAAAAAGTTAATAAATAAATAAACAAAATATCAACGTAAAACACCAGCAAACCACTTCTGAGTTTTGTTGAGTGAGTAACAGCAACCAGAGACCTCTTTTTTTGGTAACAAAGCATCTAAAGCAGTCGAGGGTAACAACACATCTGTGTTTTAATTTTAACGTAAATCGGTCAAAACATCATTATCCGGTAGACGACGTGTTTGTTAGTTACTTTTGCTACCATTAAAAAAAGGAACTAGCGGGAGTTAATCATACAATATTTAACTGAGATAAGACATGTAACTAGAAAAAATTTGATTTACCTAAACTGAACAAAAAAAACAGGAAACAACACCCAAAACTCAAATGTAATCAAACTTTTAAAACTAGGTATTAACTTTGGAGTTATTAATCGTTCATAAAATAATATAATGGGAACAAACCGTGAATAACTCTTCAGTGATTATATTCAGCCTCGCAGTGTAGTCGGTGACGCCGCTTAGCGAAGAACACACCAGCACAGAACTGAATATGTCGAGGAACATCTTCAATGAGTACTGGTACAAGAAGTGCACTTGGTTGAGAGAATCCATCGTGAAGTAAATACTGCTGCACGCCTGATAAGAAGGAAAAGATTAAACTTGTAAAAAATAATGTGGAAATATCTGATGATTAGGCTCAATCATTATTATAGGCCACATCACATCATCACAAGTCACGCTATCTAATGGAGGGCGGAGAAACTACTTCTTACTCGAGAATTATTCTTCCCGTCTTCCCGTTCTTTCCCGCACTCATAAATTTCTTTATTACTTAGTGGAGAATAGAATTAAATATGCTACGCAAGCGACTAACAACGTGTAACTTTGATAATGGCTCAAGGCAAATTGAATCTAAGAGACAATTAGTTGTATGTCTATTTGGAAATGGTATGAAAAAGTTTAATAAAATGATAAATTCGAACTTACCTGAGATAATGGCAGGTACTGCTGACTCACAGTTTCTATTTCAGCTATAACTTTATCAGTTTCCTCAACCTGGAAGATATTGTTAAATGTTAATGTACCAAGGAAAAAGTAGATCTTTTTGAAAAAGATAACACAGGTTAAAATTTAACCCTTTAATCCTCATAAATATCCCATGCAGTCGTATGCGCCCGGCAAATACTAGAGAATAGAGAATTTTGTATAGATTTTATAATGCCAAACTTCTTCATAGAAAATTAGTTTCTACATATAAGTTTAATGGTTTAAAGTGTTGTGGGTGTGTGCGCGGTCGAATTCGATCGCTAAGAGATTGAAGGGTTAAGAAAATTGCAAAAACAAAATTAATATAATTAAAGTTACAAAAATTAAAGTTACAAATATTAAAGTTACAAATTATAATAAAATATTTGTAACTTTAATTATAATTAAAGTTACAAATATTTTTGGAATCTTAATTTAATTATTTTGTTGATTAAATAAAAAAATCATAGAATTTTTTTTAAATTAAATTTGTTATGTGCCGAGTTGACATAAAACTCTACCTTATGTCCAATATCATCGGCTTCCTTCTTCAGTGTTTCAAGAGTAGCAATGACTGAGTCGTCGTCAAGGATTTTACCCTTTGCGTCGTTAAGAGCTTGCAGTAATGACTTTTCAAGTTGTCTGAGCCTTAGATGGAATTCACCTATGAAAAGGAATTAGCAACAATTTATACTTTGCCAAAATATTATTAAAAAAATGTAATTAAAATGCAGTTAACAATTATGTAAATAAATTCTGCGAGCGCTTCATTGTTCTCTTAGCCAATTTAATTCACAACGCCTCTCTGTGACTGCAGTGACAATTAGTCAGTCAGTCAGCCACTATATTGAGGCTCAAAATCCAATAATATGAGTAATGCATAGTCCAGGAAGAATCAGCGCACAAGTACCGAAAACTATTCCACCTCAATTTTTTATGCGATTTTCTTCAAATTGTCCTACTGATGATATAAACGCACGTTGCCTTACTGTTTAAACAAATATATTTTTTCACTTGCAAGGAGTTGTTATTTTCAAATGCGGCAATTATTTTTATATTTTTTGATTAAGTACGAATAAAAAAAGGTCCTATGACATTTTACGATAAAGATAATATTTTTGGAGCCATGAATTTTTAAGTTTGAAAAATCCCAAATTCCTATACTTCTGACTCATTAAAACATATAAAGAAATGTATAAAAATGTTTTTTTTTTATTCTCGCTTAAAGATATTATTAACTTTTGTCTCAAGATTATACAAAAATATCCTTCGTATTTTCTTTATTCATTTTTAATGAGTCAAAAATATCGAAATTTAGGAAAACTTTTAAAAATTCATAACTCGGAAAATGTAAATTTTATCGTAAGAAGTTATTAATTAGAACTTCATTTATTTGTATTTCTTCAAATAAAACATAAAAAATGTCCCGTTTGAAAATAACCATTTCTTGCAATTGAAAAAAAATCTGTTTAAAGTATGACCGAATTTAAAAAGTAGGACAATTTAAAGGGAATCACATGAAAAAATTGAGGTGGAAGAGTTTTCGATAGTCATGCGCTGATTTCTCCTGGACTATTTATGCATTACTCAAGAATTTGCCGTATCGAAATTGGCTACTATACCTTGTAATTTGAGCAGATCGGAGCGTTTGGTGTCGATATCCGGTCGTTCCGCTTTGAGAACTCTATGCAGACACTGAGACTGTAGCGACGAGCGCGTCACAGTGAAGTTGACGAACGTCACACGGGAGCACATGTCCGGTGGGAATTCAACCGTTGGGTCCCTGCGACAACCAGGTCAGACTTAAGATTTTTTTAAATTTTCGTAATTTACATTGGAATTGGGTAATGCGGAATATGATTATATGGATTTGGAAAAACCAGTCAAGAATGCAAAACCTTAAATTAATGTTGCTCATATTACTTTCGTAGAATATCAGCTAATCACTAAAAAGACGGTGAATATAGGCATATTATTAAAGAATTCATGACTGCTGGTTTATTTTTTTAAGCGTTGTCCACACATTTCCGAATCAGTTTCTCGTCAGTGTGCCGTGCAGGCCCGGGACGGTACATCGGAATATGTGCACACTAAAACCTCGAAATACACTATCTCCATTTTCTTGATATGAGTTAGCCCGGGTAAGGAAGACACGTGTCCGAAGAAAGATTTGGAATGCCATGACCAAGCAATGTGTGGAAAATGCTTTAGAAAATTCATGCCTATGTTCAGCAGTGAAGTTAAAAATGAAAAGGAAGAAATGTATTCATGGTGAGCAGCGAAGTCTACAAGCAGGTCATAGCCCTCTCATGTTGTAAAGAAAATGCATCCCAATTATGAAAATGTGGATGCATTTTTTATCCTCTGCGAAACTCTCAGTTCCTTGTTTTTCGGCTTATAACTTATGTATATAACTTTTGTCATCTCTGAGATCATAGTGAGTGACAACCATTATTTAGGAGCAGCATCTTTCAGTTGATTGTTTAATTTTATAAGGCAAGCTTTGAAATTTATTATATTTTATTCGGTGGTAAAGATCAATTTCGATTCGGGATCAGTCTGGTTTCATGGCCCCAACTATTTTTCTGTCACTAAGCAGCAGACCATAAAAGAGCCCGTATGCTGTGACGTATTTTATACTATTCTCACAGTGTGACAATATATAAAAATTGCCTTTTTTGTTTAAAGTTGGTTGCAGGTGTCCATGAGGTGCAGTAGACACTAAGCATTAGGAGAGACTATCAGTTGTTCATCACCTTCTATTATAAAAAAGTGGAAAATATTTATTCAGATTTGAGTGGAGTGGACCTTTTAATTATTTTTTGCAATCTTTCTCATGGAACATGAGGTGAGTTAATTGATATAGGTGACTTGGGATTGAGATCGTTTACGGAAATCAATAGATATGGGGAGGCCTTCGTTCAAACAAATTTATGATGAGCAGTAACAATGTTAATAAATGAAGCAAATCGTTAATTTACCTAGTACTGAGGAATATAACGAATGATGGACTGAGATCGATGTCCTGGTCGCCGAGTGTGATTAGAACTCTACCGCCGGTACGGCGAAGCTCGCGGTTCAGAACAGGATTCAAAATTGGGTCATAGTTCTCCACATCCTAAAAATATAATAAAAAGTTATGCAAAGGTTACTTAATAAATATAAATTTTATGGAAATCTACTGTGTTGTAATAATGATTGCTTTAAGCGATGGTTAAATTGAACCTTTTCATCAAATCCAATAGGTTTAAGTCGTGTTTACTGACCTGAACAAGCAGCGGGTTGCCAAAACGTAGTGCCGATTCCAAATTCTTTCTAAAGGAATCGTCAAGGAACGATGTCTTGGTGATCTTACGCTCGTTGAATTCCCGCATTATGAACTCAGTGGCTTGTCCGGACGGGTCTATGATTAGCGGGTAGCGGTTGAAGCGCTGCAAGGTTTAAATTTTAAACAATTGGATTTAATACAGTTTCAACATTAATTTTTAGAATTGTTCAACAGTTGTATGGTTCTCTTGTATACCTATGAAATTGCCGTTCTGCAGTACTGACTATTTCAAATCAAAATAATTTTTCTTTGAATAATAATATATGACTAGTTTACAAAATTAAACTTTTTTTTATACCCCAAAATAAATTTATATAAATATGGTAATCTACCTTCCTTAAACCTAAAAGTGTTAGCAGAAATATTTTATCACGTCACAATTTCTGCCTGCAGTCAAATGACTTCAAAGGACAATCATCTTGTTTCGGATTGATTTATAATGTCTAGTAGAAAGTGTAAACAAAGTTCTGATCGTTTTTGTTATGTTTGTGGACAGTTTATATTTTCAAAAAAGAGAAGACCCGTTGTAGATTCGTCAAAAAGTGCATAACTTCATTATTTTTGATTTCCTGTTGCAAAATCAAGATAAAAATTGGGTATCTGATGTGCTTTGCGAAAGCTGTAGAATCGTCTTATTCCAGTGGTCATCAGAAGAAAACGTTCACCTTCCATTTGGTTCACTAATGCTATGGTATGTTATGTTATTGGGATTGCAGGGTGGTTACACAAAATACTGTTGTTTCCTTTGTTTGTGGGAGAGTAGAGCGTAACAACAGCGTTATGTAAGAAAAGAATGACATATTCGGAATGAGTATATTCCGGGCAAAATGAACATAAAATACAAGCTGTTGGTAGATCCACATATACTTCACTGTACCCCCTTTACACATAAAATTGGGGCTCATGAAAATTTTTGTGAAGGCGCTTGACAAAAACAATGATGCTTTCCGGTATTTACGAAAAATCTTTCCAAACATTACAGAGGGAAAACTGAAAGAGGGTATATTTGTTGCCCCACAAATCCGTAAAATTATGAAAGATTTTCAGTTTGAAAGCTTTTTATCTGTTAATGAAAAATCTACTTGGAAGTCATTCAAAATGGTTGTGGAAAATTTTTTGGGAAATAAAAAAAGTTAAAATTACAAAGAAATTGTTACAGATTTATTGTAAAATTTTCAAAAGATGGGAATAAACATGTTATTAAAGATTCATTTTCTACACTCACATATGAGTTTTTTCCCTGAAAACTTAGGATGTATGAGTGACGATCAAGGTCAAGGGGAACGTTTTCACCAAGATTTAAAGGTTTTTGGGATAAAAACTGTTAGGGGATTGCTGTTGGTCCATTATAAGAGAATCTAATTCAAATAGCTATAGAAAGAATGCAAAAATTAGTCATTTTTAATTTTTTTTAGTATTAATACCAAAATTATATATTTCAGTTAAGTTAATAAATATTTCTTAAACCAGACGTGACAGAATTTTTTTATTATTTTTTCTAGATAATTCTACTTAAATGAATAACAAACACACAAACAACATTAAGCTGGGGTGTGAAAACCGTGCAAACTTGTAATTCTAATTTAAAATTAATTTTATATTAAAAACATGGAATTCTTTTATCAAAATCAGCTATTTGTTTATTGTATAGCGTTGTTTTCATCGCATTTGAATCTTTTTCGTCATCGTGAATACGTTAAAATTCGAGTAATTATTGATCTGTGTACTGTCGTGGCAGCAACGCGGCACAAGTAGCGCGGCAACATCAATGATGTTTATGGAGCGAATAGTACAAACAAACGCACTACCTATTATTGGTTTGCCCGCTTCCGTTCTGGAAATTTTGACCTGAAAAATGAACCCCGTGGTCGTCCGAAAGCGATTGTGAAAGCTGATGATACTCAATCTATGGCTGAGTTAGCAGCGGCTTTCGACGTTAGAGTCAAAACAATATTGGTCCGCTAGCGTCAAATTGGCAAGGCAAAAGAGCTTGAAAAATGGGTGCCACACGAACTCAATGAACGCCAGCGCGAAGTACGCGTCGAAATGTGCCTTGCTCAACATGCACACAAGAAGGAATTTTGAACCGCACTGCTATCTGCGACAAAAAATGGATTCTGTTTGACAATCGCATGCATTGCAAGTTGGTTGAATCCTGGTTCAGCACCTAAACAATGCCCTAAATGAAGAATTACCCTATAAAAGTGATGGTTACTGTTTGGTGGTCTAGTCCAGTGTGATTCATCACAGCTTCTTATCAAACTTACAAAAGCATTTCTGCAGATATTTACTGTAAAGAACTGAACGTAATGACAGAGAACTCTATAGCACGTCTTCAACCAGCTTTGGTCAATCGCTCGTGCCCGTTGCTCCTGGACGACATTGCGCAGCTTCATACTGCACATCAGACGGTATCCAAGTTACAAGGGCTGGGGTTGAAAGTTTTCCGTAATCCACCGTACTCACCAGACCTTGTGCCCACACTTATAGTTTTTCCAGAATTTGGATAACTTTTTCGCGGAAAAATATTTAACACCCGAGAGACAGTACAAAATACCACTGAATAATTTGTTGCCTCCCATCCAGCTGATTTTACAAGGGCATTAATAAACTGCTACTATCTTTGCAAAGATGCATCGATTGCATGGACTTCATTCATTACTTTGATTAACAGAAAACTAAAATGCCACTAACATGTCAATTCACACATATAAATGTCAAAACAAGATGTGTTTCGACGTAACAATCGTTTCCAAATTTTGCAAATTATTTAGAAAATGCCAAATTGCACACTATTTACAAATAAATATGTATTAAAATTTAAACGATTTTTTTAATGATGATCTTGAACATTAATCAGAAGTCTAAAATGTTTAAATTTACTCAGTCAATACAGCGAATCGGCTTTGTAGTAGTGTCAATATGACGTAATTGCTCGCATGTGTGCTCCCGGCGACGCCGACCCTAGTACAAAATAAGGTTGACAGCCATTCTATTGTGTATTATAGTATTCTATGGTAATAAGAGCCTATTAAATCTTGCCTTTAAGACGTCTGTATTACAAACGATTACGAAGACCTTAACACGTCATATTACTCTATACTTTGAAAAAATAAGTTGTACAACAGTAAAGAAATAGCTCTGCATACCTTAAGCATGATAGCGTTCTCTACGCAGAGTTCATCCGTCGGCAGTGCGTTGGCCTGCCAGCGGAGCCGCTCGTCCGGGTTGCTGAGGTACTCTGTACGCGCGATGTCTGCACGGAACTTGATGTTGGCGGCCGCCAGGTGGCTTGTCCACGTCGAGAACAGATTTTGACGGTACTAAATAAAAAACGAATCGTTTACTTTCGAATCAAGATTTTTGCATTAAAGTAATTCTAACAAAATGATTATATTTATTTAATGTGTATATTAAACAAATAATGCTAGTTGCATTTACTGTGTATGTAATTGTATAATAATTTGTTTCGATACAGCAAACTCCCGTGTGATGGCGAAGTGAGAGAATTCAAAACCCTTTTCATCACCTAGCCGTCGCAAGAGCAGCCTATGAATAGCTTCCCAAAGATGGCGGTAAATCATCTCGTTTACGTAAGGTATAAATCACTCAGACCAGTGACGGGCTGCAGTGTCAAAGGTATGCGAGACGTCTGGGAGTGCAGTCGTCAATCCGCCCAACGAGTTTGACACAAATCCATCTTACAACTGTATACACTCATGTCAAACACTGGTTATTTATGGGCCGATGGTGAAGAAATAGAAGCAGAAGTTTTAATAGGAGATAATGTTAAACATAATGTCACAACTCGTAACTAGTCCTATGCTCAGTAATGGTCATAACAAAATGCAATCACAATAAAGGGAACAAGTTATTCGCAAAATACCAAGAAACTTTAAAATTTTTACGTAGTAGAGCCACGCTGCAGCTATAATAAAGTTGTATCACAAATGGGTCCGCTCGACCGGGGCAGGATCATAATACTAGCGTAAAATAGCAGCGTAATAATGCTGCGTGTTCCATATGGTGAGTGTAGAGAACCGGAGACCCGTTTTACTGGAATCGACGCATTCCATCTTAGTCCTCAGGGGTGACAACGCATTTGCATTTTGATCCTTAGTTGAGGATAAATGTGGATGTCTATGGGCCACAGCATCCACTTACTATCAAGTGGACTGTGTGCTCGTTTGTCACCTAATGCTATAAAAAAATCTGTCGTATATCACAGCATGATAAAGTAACGCCTTATTTAAAAAAGTGCTTAGCTTCTTTACAAGTGACCTATTGGTATAATGATCATAAAATTTAGCATACTACTACTACACTTCGAATTTAAAGACGAGTCGAACGAGATCTCACAATTAAAATACATACATGCACACTTTCATCCAAAACAGCTCTCCATACAGAGTTAAGATTCTAGACTGTCGGGTAAATATAAATGAATCAGTTACGTGTTGGTCGAAGTATCCTCCGTAAGCGATGAACGCGGCGGATAGCAGCACATCGCCGATGATGGTACTCATTTGCGAGCGGAACGTCTCTGAGCTCGCTTCCCACCGCTCGCGCTCTATCACGAGACTCTTCAGCAGCGCTATCGACCTGTCAACCTTAATAATAACCAAACATTTATAAAATTTCAGTTTGGAGGCAGCATAAAAGACTATCACTATTTTTTTCTCCGTTGGTATCGTGTCGACTATTCTCATATACTAGTACTTCTTCGTAATATAGAAAAGTGATAATATCGAGGAATATTAACTCCTTCACATCAGCTTATATATATCTAGTCTCTTTAGCGATGGTTGATAAAAAGGAGGGTTCCTAATTCATTACAAATTGAGGCCCGCTAATTATTTCTGCTGATGGATTTTTTACCCCAGATTGTGATACTTAAGTGTCAGTCGCTCTTGCGCCATGTTTTCATAGTATTTGTCAACTCTTGCCGACAGACCTTACCTATTTGGCTTGTCATGTCGCTGTGTTGATAACTGTATGAATATAAAAATGAAAAAGCTTAAACAAAATATCAAAATCTTTTGTTATTCCGACATACGGTATAACCATCAGTTTGTATACATACCTAAAATATTATGTATGACGGTCGCAGTGTCAAAGGTGCGGTCTGGTATCGTATAGAGTCCAATGTGAGACATTATCTATGGGGTCGAATAACTCCACGGCTGGACCTGGATCTGGACCTCTCCCGTTGTAGGGAGAATTTGCTTTAATTGCATTGACGATCTCAGTGCCAAACGTATTGCAAATTTGACTCTGTAGTCAGTCGCCGGTCTGGGTTTTTTACGTCTGACGTAATAAGCCCAGACCTGAAGTGTCACTATTACAACAAATTATGTGCACACTACTACATTGCGAATTATTTATTATAAAATAAATAATACCTAAGGTGTAATCGAAAATACCCAACCCTTGACTGGAAAGTGGTTTCCTGTCAGTTTTGGACAGCAAGAAACTTTAAAGTACAATAACATGCTAATTTAAATTTGAACATTCTTGCAAAGAAATAAATTGTGAAACTTAAGATTTACAAAGAAAATCTTCTGAAAAAAGTTGAAGTACCTTAGCTTGGACATTTTCAAGATCAGTCTTTATGGCTTGTGCTTGGCTAATTAGTTGCGCATACTCCTCTTTATATGAAGCTATAGACTTTTCCAATTGTTCAATCAGATCACGCACATCATCGCCCGCCTTTACATTTGTCTGTGCCTGGTCTTCCAAAGCCCTAAGCTCATTACGTAGAGGTTCAACACGTTTCAACATGTCGGCGTATTCGATCTGAAAGAAAAGCTTAATTATAATGAGGTTTTTAAATGTTTCATAAATTATTTTTCGTCAAATTGTCGTCACGTAAATCAAAGTTAAATAATAAAAGCCCGCAATATGTCGTCAATAATACATAACAATTTAATATATTTGTAATTACATTATGTTATTTAAATCGTGAAATGTCTATGACTTACCTGAGCGATAGCCCATTTGACCATAGGACCGCAGGCCATACTGGCTCTGTTTACTTTTTCAAAGTTGTAATCTGGGTTACTGAGGTAGCGAGTTCTCATTTTCTCGCGCACGTCGTCACTGGCACAGATCAAATAAATGATTAGTATGTATATTTGGTTGGGAAAAAAAATAGAACAACACTCTGAACCAAACTGAATGACAAATGCACCTCCATACCATACCATTTAAGACATAAGAAATACATCACACCACAAGTCATGCAATGTAAATTATTTAATTTTAAAATTTAATACCTGGGCAGGATAGGACGTCACTTACCATTGCACAGCAAACAAAATTGTAAAAAACATGTCTTCATACCATGAATTTGGAATTGGAAGACATTATAGATAGCAAACAAATAAAAAGGTGAAATATGGACGAAAAAAGCCTGTCAATTCACTGTCACAAGTGATTTTCAACAGCTTTCTTGGTGGAAATGTCTAGATGAAAAATTATTTATTGGCAAATACATTCATGCAATATTAAGAAATTTATATCAGGAATTGTATAACAAATGGTACAAAGAATTTTGTTTTGCAACCATTTCGGAAACTTTTTCACTGATGTATGTAAGAAGTCAAATTGATATGGAAGTTTTAAATAATAAATATTGACTAACGATTAATGTTTCATTTAAAAATGTTATGTGTTGTTTCTTTTTTATGAAAAGTTGTAAGTACCATCACCAAGACCATGCCATTGTTTCAAAGTGAAATCTGTCATAATAGCACATTTAAGTTCAAATAAATAGTTTTTACTAGTTCAGGGGTCTAATAACAAAGGCAGCAAAGTCCCATATCATTATATGGGACTTTGCCGCCTTTGTTATTAGACCCCTAAGTTATAAGTTACGGCCTTACTCATAAAAATTAACGTCAATTTAAGAAATGCTCAACGCTTCTCTCTCTTTTCACTAAATGATAATAGAAAGAGACAGACAGGTATAGTGATAATTAATATTTACTTTATATAAACTTTAATCAACAATTATAAGTAAGGCAGTTATATTTTAAAAAGCAATACGAAGATTTCACTGCATTTTTTTTAAATTTTGGCATACCATGCAAAAGCAGGCAAGAGGCGTTAAAAATAAAAAATGCAAAAAATCACGAAAACCACTCCCAGTTACCACCCCATACATAGTATTTCGTCTGCGTTTATATAAAATTGATACCATCAGTTTATGATTTTTTTTAATTTATTAATATTGTTGTGCTAGAAATAGTGACTAAATACGTAACTATCCTAAACAGCAAAATGAAGTAAACTTTTTACTTTTTTCGTTTATCCCTGTGTTTCTAGTCAATTAATTCGTAGTTAACTCTCAGCATTTCAATTGTGTGATCTGATGGTATCGCGAAAAGATTCCACCACCAAAAAAAAAACACGAATAAGGAGTAAAAGGTTTAAAGGATAAGGGTTTTTGAAGAATAATAATTGTGATATTGAGAAGGAAACAAAATACACTATGGATCATGTTTGTCGGGCTGAATACTAAAATAAAGAAAATAACATAAGGTGACACAAAATTAAAGATAGAAGAGATGCACAAAGTTTTAAAAATGGATTTAACAGAAAATAGTATTAGATGATATTATGGTCATCTAAAAATCGAAAAAAGAACATAATTCAATACTCCATGATTTTCAGTGGAAGCAGTATTTACAGAGAAAACTAAAGATTTTTTTTTTAATTTAAAAATTAAATATACCAATGAAAGCAAGATTCCAGTTTTATCAATCATAACTTAATGTTGACATAGTAAAAAGAAGTCGAGGAAATTTTATTGTTTGAATACATAAAAATGGCTCAATAAAGTCCAGGTATTTAAATTATACAAAAATTAATAATTATTTGTTATATACAAATAATTATTAATTTTTGTACTAAAAAGAAAAGCAAAATATGCAAGATGATGGATATTCACTCAGACATTGGAAAAAAAAGATAGGGAGATTTGGTTTGGAAGGTACGTGCATCCAAAATTTGATAGACATAGGATATAGGGCCAAGGGTGAGGTATACAAGCGGCGGTGCTCACGTGATGTCCTCTGTGGAGAAGTTGGAGACGATGCTGTTGATGAAGTTCTCGCGCATGATGACGGCACGGATCGCCTTCCAGTCTGTGGCGTTCTCACCGAGCAGCAGGCAAATGGACTCCAAGGCCACTTTCACTATGGCCGGCGGGTTGCCCATCGAGCGCACTTCCACCAAATGCTGCTTCTTTATAGATTTGACGGCTGTACAGTGTAACGGTCGAGCGTCGATTTCGCGTCGCGTCCGCCACCAGCGAAGCGAGAGCGAGAGAGTACAAAAAAGAGAGAAAAGGCGTTTAGCGACGTCGCATGCGGCCGTTGTCGTCACGTTCGGCTCCGGCGTCCGAGCGTACCCGACAACGACCCGAACGACCGAAGCGATTCGACGGTCGAAAGTTCCGGCTCGCGACGATGCGGTGTTAGTCACATACGAACATAGTCATTGCTATTAGTGTGCCTTACGTGGATGCCGTTTTTATTACATACACAGTGTACATAGCGTTATTTAAACATTTTATATTAATAACAAGTCACAGATGCAATGAAGCTCAGCATATTTACAATATTATGATTTATCATTAGAGACTCTAAATAATCATTCATGATAATAGAAAAGAAAATCTTACATTTCATACAATAATAATAATAATGCTTAACAAAATGTGGTTACAACTAAGTATAATGGGATAACATATCAAATGCACGGATACACTACAATGTTTTTGCCAATAAATACAAACTGAATTAAATAACATACGCTTGCTATCTACTGGAATTATCATAAATGAGAAGTCAGTTTTAATACTAAATTAATACAATATCTTAGATTAAAAGATAGCATGTTGTTACAGTTTAAAAAATAAGTAAACTTTACATTATAGCATAAGACCAGCTTAACTTCTCATTTTGGAATAAAAATTCGCAGTCTAAATTTTAAGCCCTTTTTCAATGTAAGGCACGACTTTTGCCACAGCCACAATTTTATAAATTGTACACCATGCTATCATTTTTGTCAAGAACATGTCAACACTAACGTGATATTCTCAGTCTCGAAGTTAACTATAGTCGATATAAAGTTGTCCTTCATTACAACGGAACGGATGCCCTTCCACGTGTCACCCTTTTCCCCGAGCAGGATGCAAATAGACTCGAGTGCTATCTTGACCACCAACGGGGGATTAGCCATAGATCGTACTTCAACCAGTTGCTGCTTCTTGATGGAGCGTACCGCTGTTTCGTGGAACCATCGGGATATTTAGTACTAAACGTGCTTCGACAAAAATGGTACTACATTACGAATTAACACAATAACTATACTAAGATAACAACATAAGGCATGACCAATTTTGTCTAATAATACATTTCAATCACACTCAAATACATTTTGAGTATTAATTGGCACACGTTAGATACACACTATAGTCAACCAAATCTAAGAAATACCTTTTGACGTTTCACATTAATCATTCCGCAATAACTTTGCATAAGCGTACTCACATTATTTAAATAACATTTTACGCAAATCCGAAGAATTATGAAGTTATCTATATTTCATTACAACGTGTATAGGTTTTTATCACTAATTTAAATTTGAATCTTTCAAACAAAGCTAAATATTAAAAAATAACCAGTATCAACTTTTTTTACTTGACGTCATTTCAATGATATGTCGCTATGTACATTACCGTAGTGTTTGAATGATTAAAATTCATTGTTATGCGAATAATCGGCAAAAATATTCAAATAATCGGTAAAAATATTTAAATAATCGAATCATTAATTTTTAATATATTATTTGTTTAATTTAAATTTTTCTTTTAAAATTCCTTAAATTACATGAATCATCAATAAAACAAGTTTTTTTTTTAATTTGTGTAGGCAAAAAAAACTCAACTTTTTGGCTGTTCTTCTATATGTATTCAGAATTTTTTTGCAGAAGAGGGCCATTAGAGCTATTTACAATCTTAAACCGAGAGTCTCTTAAAGAAAAATTTAAAGATATAAATATATTAACTTTGGCCTCTCAGTATATCTATGAAAATTTGATGTAGTTTCACAAAAATAAAGGTAGTTTTAGTAAAAAAAGTGACATACACTCTGTTAACACTAGGAACTAACGCAATCTGGTGCTACCAGTTTCTCGACTCCACGGAGTCAGTAATTCATTCTTGGGGCATTGTATATGCTATTAAAACAAAGTCCCAGAAAATATACAAGGTCTCTCTATTACCAAGTTTAAATATTCAATTAAACAAAAACTGTATAATAAAAAACCGGCCAAGAGCATGTCGGGCCACGCTCAGTGTAGGGTTCCGTAGTTTCCCGTCCGTTACAATAAGTGTTCCCACTTATGAGTTTAAAGGTGGGTATTCATTATGTTCGCGCTCCAGCAGCGCTCCTCGATCCTGCAACTGCTCCCGGTAGTGTGTACTGTTGTTTCCATCCAAGTTCAAAATGATTTTCCTAGAAAGTCCTTATAAAGTTCTACTTTTCAGATTTTTTTTTCATATTTTCTAAACTTATGGTTCAAAAGTTAGAGGGGTGGGTGGGTGGGGTGTGACACATTGTTTTTTACTTTCTGAGCGATTATTTCCGAAATTATTGACATTATCAAAAAATGATTTTAATAAACCCCTATTAATTTTTAAATACCTTTCCAACAATATATCACATGTTAGGGTTGAAATTAAAAAAAAAATCACTTCCCACTTTACATATAGGGGGAGGCTACTACCCTAATAAAACATTTTTTTCCAATTTTTATTTTACCATTTTGTCGGCGTGATTGATACACATATTGGTACCAAATTTCAGCTTTCTAGTGCTAACGGTCACAGAGATTAAGCGAGGACGGACAGACGGACAGACAGACATGGCGAAACTATAAGGGTTCCTAGTTGACTACGGAACCCTAAAAAGGGTTATTATTTATTATTTAATTATGGTTTATGGTCCGATCTATGCAAAATGAACTAAGTCTTGAGGTCTTGCAGTGGTATGCTTGGGTTTAGTTTTAATTTTATCGATTATAGGGTCCCAAGTAGGTGGTAGTACCCAGCCTCCTTCTCTTTTGAAAATGGGATGTTTTTTAATTTCAATAGCCTAACGTATCATCCTTGGTAGGAACCGGTGTTCTTTCGCGAGAATTTGTGGTCTACCAAATCTGATGTAATGGTTGGGTCTGTCTAGGATGTGATCACAAACTGCAGACTTCCCGGAACGTTGAACGAACGGGAACACCGGTTCCTACCAAGGATGATACGTGAGGCTATTAAAATTAAAAAAAAAACATCCTAATTTCAATAGAGAAGGAGGCTAGGTACTACCACCTGCTTGGGATCCTATAATCGATAAAATTAAAACTAAACCCAAGCATACCACTGCAAGACCTCAAGACTTAGTGTGATTTTGCATAGATCGGACCATAAACAATAATTTAAAAAAAGCTGAAGGTACTCCGGGTTTAAAAAAGACATCGGGACGTCAGTCACCTCAGTCCCCCGTGACCATGGATGCAGGAAAGCACCCGAAACGTCGAGAATTAAAAATAAAAATAATTAAAATTATATTTAAACGTGATTAAGTCCGTAAAAGTAGTTTTAATCAATGCGTAGTGTATTTTTATAATCCGGTTTTAATCTTAAATTTTTATAATTGTGCCTCTAGAAATAAGCAGTAACAACAAATACGTAGAAACTGATAATCTTGGGTTTTAAATTACCTGTTTTAAATTTATTTTGGTATTATTCAAACCAAACTGTAAATGATTACCAACTCTAAATAATCTCTATTTTTTTAAGAATCGAATGTTGTACGTTCCCATTTTTTGGTTGGCATGCCTGGTGCAATAAGTCTGACAGTTGTCAAAATGTATTTCTTAGATTTGGTTGACTATAATTATAAAACCTCTATAAAATTAACTAAGCATCTTTTTCTAAAAGGAAAATTATTTTCGAATAATTTATAGATAAGCCCATATACAATCCTTGCATTAAAAATGTTTATCTCTTTATTATTATATATTTTAGTGTTTTAACACTTTATTACAAATATTAGTATGTTTCAATGCAATTTCTGTATATGGTAGAAGTATGTCTTATTAATAAGCAGTTCAAATGTTATCTACTTTAAAAACAATAGTTTCTATGGTAGCATCTCAGCACTCAAACACGTTTTTTTTAAGTAAAACCGACTAGTTCTTCTGAACTACAAATGAGTTCCACACAATAGCTCATTTTAACTGAGTATGTAATTATATTGAAACAAAAACACACGAAGTTTTCATTTATACAAAGAAAAATGAAATGATTAAAGCATGTGAAACAATATAATATAATAAGTATGGAGTCAAACCGTTTTGCGCCTCGATGACAGCCGGCTCCACTTGAGCAAGGTCCGCCATAACATCCCTACGTTTTGCTTCTATCTCTTTTGTCTGCTTTTCTAAGGCAACCTAATATATGAAAAATAATTTTAGTAATTTTGGATTTATCGTAAATTCGAACAAAAAAACACACAAAAATAATGTTTTGCGAGATAAAAGTATTTTTGTGTGAGACATAATTGGAAATATAAATGTTGCAATTTCAATTTTTTTGCAAACTAAATTGAAATAGCGTGTTTTTTTTTTGAAAATGCATCCCCGTTGAGAACGTTATCAAGTAACCAAAACAAAGTTATAGAATTTTGATTCCAAACCTGAATTTCCTGGCTTTCAACTTTCTTCTTTTCGGCTTCATGTTGATCTTTAATCATTTGACGTAATTTTGCATTAGCAGCTTCATTCTTTGCTTGTAGTTCCTGAAAAAAGGTTTATCGCCACGGATTAGCTTCGTAACTAATTTTTAACGAACATAAACTTATTTATTAGTTCAAAGTTATGGTGCCATTCGTATTTTTTTATCAATGCAAACTCCCACATACCTACAACAGACATTAAATATCTAATACCAAAGTGACATTTTGAGGAATATATTTTTGGTCTTTTGAGTCGGATTGTAAGCAACACAAGGCCTAAAGTAATATTATAGGTTTATAGATTTTAAGCAAGTTCTTGAACAGGATTCAACGGTTGTAGCTGGTGATGCAGTTTTGGTTGCTAATATACACTAGGTAATATTAACTCTTCTTTAAAAAGACTAAATAAGAAAAAAAATTGAAATCACATGTAATACAATGCTATTTTATTTTTATATTACAAAAGTTTAATGGACCGCCCTTGAGGTATATAATATAGATTGTTAATTAAAAAAAAAAAGGAATTATTAAAATCTATTCTCTATCTGCGAAGATATCGGGTAACATACATACCTATTAAAACTTTTTATGTTGTTTTTAAATGGAAACAATTTATTAACAAAGAATAACCTACCTACCTACCTACCTACCTACCTAGGGTGAAGTTGTGTGTTGTCTAATTGAAGGCGATCTACTTGGAACATGTTAGAATTTACAAGCAAATTTTCCTTAAATTTTTACTATAAAATATACTGCAGATTTTACCAACACTGTGGTGTTCATCAGTTTAGGTACCTGCGATTTAACGGCGAGACTCTTCTGCATTTCCTCAACTTGCTCGACTGTCTCCGCTATTTTGCCAAGACCAACGTTCAAATGCAATTGTTGCTCCTCCAGATCCGCACGCTTCTCAGCATACAATTTCACCATTTGTTGGATGAAGTCCAGATAGTGACTAAAAAGGCATGAAGGATTAAAATTATAACCTTGTAATCACAAAACAACAAATAAATACACGAAGTACACAGAGTGCATGCATGTATAAAATAACTGATATGTATATAGTATAATTAACTTAGTTATAACAGGCATAATGACCAATAATAGGGTTACATTTATACAGAGTGTTTGGCGCATGGACCGACACAATTTTTCTAGGGTTTTGGGAGGTCATTAGCTACTAGGTTTCACCGATACATACTTTATCCCAAATGTCACGGTTGGTTACATTGATTTTTTTAAATGAAAGAAAAATATACTCAAAATGTTTCCTTTAATTCGAAACTTTTTTGTTTGTAGGTGTAGAGGCACAAACTAAATTTTGTTGTATTCTCCAGTCTTTTAAATCTAAATACATCTTTGTCAGAGAAGTCGTTGTCAGAAAAGTTATTTCGAATTAAAGGAAACATTTTGGGTATTTTTTTTTTCATTTAAAAAAAGTCATCAACAACCAACCGCGACATTTGGGACAAAGGGTGTATGGGTAGAACCTAGCTAATGACCTTCCAAATCCCTGGAAAAATTGTGTCGGTTCATGCGCCAAACAGCCTATATAGTCGTGAGCTTTAAGGTGGGTGTCGTAAGTGAAGACAGAGAAACATAACCTAGAGACAGGCAGTAGCATCTTTCTGATAAAAATAAAAACTGCGGTTGCCAACCCGCTTGCCAAGTGTGGCAACTATGTCAAATTCTATATGCCTCTCCAAGGCAATCAGACAGGAACATATACACACACACGCACACGCACTCAGACTCTCACACTCACACACACACACACACACACACCCCCACTCACCGCGGCGTGATGGCCATGGTGCGGTTGGCGCGCTTGGCTAACCGCGCGTTGGCGCGATGCAGCGTTTGGTGCACGTACACGCACGCGTTCACCACGGCGTCGCGGTGCGACGGCCGAGCGGCCAGCTCCCCGCACGCCGCGGGGAAGTCCTCCGGCGGGACATACTCCGCCGACTCAAGGTCCATGCGACTCGTAAACTCCTTGCCCACCTGCGCAACACAAATTACGTAAACAAAATGCTTTATGACTGACCTCTATACTGAATATTTTTACCGTCTGGAAAAAATACGGTGTAACAGGTGAACGGACTAGAAACCTAAGGCACTGATATTTTACAAAAAATAAAAACAAAACATTTGAAGCAAATAAATAAATCAATTAAAATCTATTGAAATTCAAATCATATCTTATCAAGCCTAATCAAGCCCTACTTTACGCACGGCAATAAAACAATAGATTTAGTACGCATCTTAGTCAATGTCCTTTCGCACGGTCACAGGCTCAAGGGCAAAGCCTTCAACAATTAATTTAGCTGTGGTTAGCCGAGGCATGACGTCGCGTCGCCGTCGTTTTGTTTATGTTTTCGCATGTGTATCGTAAACATGTACCAATACTCTAATGTCGAGTATCTAACAATGACTAGTCAATTCGGTGATACGTGGATAGGTCGCGTTTGACTTGTGAACTGGTCGACGAGATCACCAGACCTAACACCGCTAGAATTTTTGTTGTGGCTGAACTAAAACAATTAGTGTACACTGAAGAAACATAAAGTAATAGTTATTTAAAGTAGCTTATAGTAAATGCATATAATATGATAAAAAGTGATAGAGACACGTTTCCAAGTTAAACAAACACTTTACAAAGACGTGCTAGTTTGTGTTTAGAAGGAAACTGTAGACAAACCAACTTTTGAACAATTACTGCAACAATGCTCAAGAGGTCATTTTATTAGTAAACAATAATTGTAGTATAATTTAGTAAATATTAATCAGTGTAGTTTGAAAATAAGTTGATTTCGATCTTTTAAATACGCCATGATGTTGCAGTATAAGGTAGACAAAAACTATTATTAGAAACTGTTTATCAATTAATTATAACGGAAGATAAAATTTTACACGTGATTCTTCTCAACTACAACATAGTAGACGGTACTAAGCCCGTAAAAGTATGAAGGAAAAATCGAAATCACGAAAATAATAATCTGAAACGAAACGTAATTTACCTACTTACCATTTCCTACCAACTTTTAAATATAATAATGTCATTCATTCATATTTTACAGCCCCTCACAAGTTCACTGCTGAACATAGGCCTCCCCAAAGGAATGCCACAAAGCACAGCCTTGAGGCACCTGCATTCATCGACTACCTGCACGTCTTCCCTGGTCAACACTTTATCTAGTGGGGGGCACTCACACTCACACTTCCCCTACCGGTACGAGGCTACAACTCGAGAACGTTTCTTCCCCATCGGTTTTTGGTTATTCGAGCTACATGGCCGGCCCTTTGCTACTTCAGCTTACTAATGCTGCACTGTTGAGCTACGTCGGTTACTCTGGTTCTACTGCGAATATACTTATTTCTAAGTTTATCACACAGGGAAACCCCGAGCATACCCTTCTCCATGGCTCGCTGAGCGACCTTGAGCTTCTTTATACGGCCAGAAGTAAGGACTACGTCTCAGATCCATAAATCATCACTGGCAATACACACTGGTTGCTCAATCTCGTTTTCAGATTTTGAGGTATACCTGACCAGATGTGTCGTAATCTCCCGAACGCTATTTCGCGGAGTAGAATCCATCAATCACTCTCGGTCGAAGTTGCACTGGCCTAGTCGGACTTTCTGTCCTAGGTAAACATACTCGTCGAAAACTTCGAGCTTATTGCTCTCAACAACTACCGGCATAGGTGTGACATGGGAGTTACACATGACATTTGCTTTGTCCATGTTCATCTTAAGACCTATCCGTTGGGAGAAACCATTGAGATCATTGAGCATAGTGCTTAGGTCCTCCAGCGGTTCTGCCATAAGTACTATATTGTCGGCAAATCGAAGGTGAGTGATGTACTCGCCATTGATGTTAATACCGTATCCTTTCCAGTCCAGTAGCTTGAAAACGTCTTTCAATGCAGCAGTGAATGAAGAGCTTCGGGGATATAACGTCACACTGTCTTACACCTCTCTGCAGTTGGAAAGGTTTCGTACTCTGGTTCAATACTCGGATATAGCCATCGTAGCCCTAGTGTACGAGTACACTTTGATATACCGACAGTCAACTTGGCATCGATGAAGGGACTGAAGCAAAGCCCAAATTTAGTCGGAATCAAAACTTTTCTCATAATCCTCATAATCATTCATTTTCTTACGTGGTAGAGCCATGCTGCAGTTATATTTGTAGTATACTTGTAGCACGAATGGGTCGGCTCGACCGGGGAGGGCCACGCTCTCACAGAATACCAGCGTCAAATAGTAACTTAATGCTGCTGTGTTTAGTATGGTGAGTGTAAAGAACCGGAGCCCAAAGGGTAAAAAGTTACTGGAAACGAGGCATTCTACCTAAGCCCTCACGGATGACAACACATCTGCATTTTGATTCGTAATCGAGGATAGATGTAGATGTCTATGGGCCACAACAACCACTTACCATTAAGTGGACTGTGTGCTCGTTTGTCATCCTATCATATAAAAAAAATCAAAACCGGTAGATTGTACTCTTCGCTCTTATGTACAATTTGCCTAAGAGTATGTATGTGCCTTTTCAGAAACCGGATTTTTCGGAAGGCTGGAAGTCGTGCATGCGAGACTAAAGCACAGCTCAAATTTAGACGAAATCAAAACCTTTCTCGTATTCCACATACGACGCAAAGTGGTAGAGAACTCTTCGCTCTTATATACAATTTGTCGAAGACTATGTACACTTTTACGGAAACCAGCTTGTTCGTGAGGCTGGAAATCGGGTGTGCCGCTTGTGCGGGACGTTGGAAATTTGCATGCGAGACATTTCGCTCTGACTTTCGAAAACAGCACGCAGACGCGGCTCATAAACGAAATCGATTTGTAGTTCTTCAAGAGAGCGATGTCGCTTTTCTTGAAGACCACCACACTTCTGTTCCAAGCTTCCGGAGTAATGCCACCGTGGAGAACGTAATTTAAGAACTTCTGAAGGACGCCAAGTACCTGTTTTCCTCCAGCTTTCAGAAACTCCGCTGTAATTTAATCCTCAACGTAGTTTTTAATTATGATCGCAAACTTTGATTGAACTTTTTATACATATAATCGTTGGTTGGCTGTTATTAATTGTGTTACTTTTGAACAACTTGATCAATTGAGGTCACATTTACATAATATACCTAATTGTTTTGCACGAGTTATTTGTTTATAGCTATGTTAAGATCCAATCGGCGCCACTATAAATAAGTTATTAACAAATTCTCTATTCGTGGATCAAAATGACTCGTATTCACAATAAAATGTTGATTTAGCGCCAAAAACAAAAGCACAAAATCTGAATTATATAGGTAGCGTACCACACCGTAGAATCTACTGGAAATTTCAGAATAACATCTACCGGAAGAGCTAGTATACTATAAAACAACTTCATTTATGATCGGATGGATGACATTTATATTACACCTCTATCATGAAGGTTAGAGAACAGGAGAACGATCACTATGTACTAAAGCAAAGCCCGACTGTCCTTGAAAATTGTAGAATTTATTATAGCGGCGCTGACGTCGGTGAGTAGTGACTGCGAAGTTAGCTGTTTATGAGTACAAGTAGATGAAGTTAGTTGAATAATGTATAAATTTTCTCCGCCGCATTGGTGAGAAAATTTTCATGCTCCGTAATTTTGTATTGTTTGACAAAAAGAAACATTAAAAAATGGAGAAATGTTTTATTGTGCGTGGATGTGCAAGTGGTTTAGCATCTGATCGGAAAAATAGACTGAAAATGACTTTTATTGACCGAACTTAGCGATCGCAGCGCCTCTCTTATGGTGTCCATATTTCTGGGACACTATTTTCTACGGCGATCGTTCTCCTGTTCTCTAACCTTCATGACCTCTATGAAAGAATACTCCGATACATAAAATCAGTTAAATCGGTAAAGCGGATGGTCAGACAAAATAAAAATAAATACTTGGAATAACGCGCCGTCGCTCCAATCGCCGAACCAGTTGAGCACACATCTATTAAATAGTGCGGGCGAAGTGGCCGCGCGGTCTTTCAGTCCTTCTGACGATGGATTCATTGTAAACACTACGTGCAAATTACGCATTACTTGACCCGTAAACCTGCAAATAATATGTATCAGATAAGCCTGTACGTTTTTCTTACTTTGCTTGAAAAAAGGTAAGTAAGATATGCAGAAATTTACCATTTGTATAATTCATCATTGGAGTCCAACATAAGTCCTTCCCTTTGAGCACCTTCTTTACACTGAGTCATCAACGCTGCGAATTCATCGCCTTCGAATAAACCAGGAACCTAAAAGTAATAAACACAGTGTAAGATTAGACTTCTCTAAAGAGATTTAAAACAATGTACTATAGATAATAATATTGAATTCAGAGTGAATGTGTCATTTTTCAAGGAATGTTTGATAAAATTTATGTGTTCATAATAATCTAATTATTACAAAAAAAAATCCTGCTTCTTTCAAGGATAGAAGTACTTTCCGAACCGAAAATCTTAAGAAGTTATCTGAATTAATTATTATAATAATAGTTAGTACTGTATTTATGTAGCAGATTCAAGAACTAAGTTTGTTATCAATTCTTTTTTTTGTTATACAATATGAGACGACAGGTGGATTAATCATCGACGGAAGTGGATGCTTTAACCTATATACACCTTTATCTATCCTTGATAAAGAATAGAAATGCGTTATCACTCCCGAAGACTAAGATGGATGCATTGTTAATGGTAAAAAGGGTCTTTACTTTTAAATATTAATTTCTTTTGTTACATACATTTTTGGCTATTCCTATAAAAGCGCAATACACCTAAATATGAATGAATACATATAAAATTGAAGAAACTTACCTCTCCATTGGCAAGCAGCGTGTTCATGCGTTCTAAGAACCCACTATCCAGTACGTTGGACTCGTCAAGAATGAAGGCAACCTTTTCATCGCGACAGCCGGCGCGTCGCAGCACGGAACGTAAGTCCTCGTCAAAGTCTGCGCCTGTGTACTTGTTGTGCACCTGCGTGAGACACGGGAAATGTTAATACCTCATCTTAAACCTTGAAATGTGGCGTGAATGAGACGAGCTGGAGTTGTAAATTAATATATATATTATTAAATTTCTTCATACCTGTGCAAACCGAGTTTGATTTTCGCCGGCACTTTTAGTAAGTTTTAGAGTTAACATTTTAAATACTGATTTACCACGCACTCGGCCGCGAAGGAAAATATCGCGAACCCTTTATTGTTTTATTTATTTACTTGTGCACCCAGTTCTTGCCAAGCACCTTGATAATTTTCTTACTAGCTCGCAGCATGGTTTCAGAAGTGGATTGTCAGTTCAAACTAATTTGTGTAATTTTACTTCTGATCTTTTAAAAGAGGTAGACAAGGGCCAAGAAATTGATGGCATATATACAGACTTTAGCAGTGCATTCGACATGGTTGACCACAAGCAACTCATAAAAAAATTTCTCTGTATAGTATTGGTCCTTCCTTGATTGGATGGTTTAGATCTTATTTGGAGAAGAGATCTCAAATTGTTGTTGTCAATGGTTTTGAATCCAAACAGTATCAAACTCAATCCAGAGTGAAGAACTCCGGGGTTTTAATAACTAAACCTGTTTTTTTATCTCTAGATTTTTTCTTATTTAAGTACATAATTTATTTGAATAGTTCTAATTTGCATTGTATTGATCGGATGATATTTGTACTCCAAATTAACCCAAAATTGCATGACTCAATTTGTGAATGTTATGTACACTTGTTATGGATATACATATCAGAGAGTATAGAAATGTGTATGTTTTCGTGATTGTCATATATGCATATTGTAAGTGTACTTTTTAAATAAATACATAAATAAATTAAAAGTATTTTATGGACATGATGAAGTCTGTCAACAATTATCAGCGCACTCAAGTGGACTCCTCCCTAATACAAACACTTCATAAATGACAGTCTAGTACCCAACAGTGAGGCATTATATAGATTTTTAATTGAATTGTTTACCAATCTTAATGATTACTATTATAAAAGATTTCGACCATGGCAAAAAATTCCCTACATCAACCTAATATTCTTTATCTAGAGTTACACTTTGATCTACTATGAACTTATAACTTCAATAGTTTTAAAAAATTGTAAGTGAAAGTTCTAAACAGTAAGATTTTACTTTTGACACGGAAATTTTTGTTATGACTACCTTTATCTGGAAGATGCTAAGTCCATTCATCCAGGCCACGAAACGGCTGAGCGTAGTTTTACCAGCTCCCGATACTCCGATGAGAAGCAAGTGACCCTGTGGCTGCCGGAAGATACGGTCGATACGTAACACGTGGTCTAACACTTCGTCGAACAACACCAATGGTACATCAAGTTCTTCTTCATAAAATACCTAAAAGAATAAACAAGATATTGGTAAATTAAAGCGAAAATTAAGATTTAATTCCTGTGATAATATTATGAGTTATATTTAGAATTTAGTGATGGACAATGTATTACAGGATATTATTTGGTGCGGCTCGTGATGTGGAAAAATCTTTCATTACTATTTATATACTATTCATTAACACTTTATTGTATTTATTGCATTGTAAGTAAAGTAATTGATATTATAACAAAGTTATGGAGAAATTCGAGGCATTATAATAATCATGTTTATAAGAGACACAATTTTCTAAATTTATTTCTTAATAATTTAAACATTAAATGCGGATACATTTAGTGTGGTAAACTTGTAATTTATCTTTTCAAATATGAGAAATAAATTAAAAAATAAATAACTTTTTAAATATATTATAATGTTTCAAACATAATTTAAAATAATAAATAATAATCAATCTTATCATGATGACATTAAATTAAATCACTTTTAAGGATAAATATCGATAAATTATATACTTATTAATCAAAGTTTAGAAAAGAAATTTGAATTGAACATTTTCACAAGATTATTACCTTAAGTCTTGCTTTAACATATTCACGAAGCTGGTCTCTTTGAACAGGTACGTAATCCTTACTTAACCAGTTGCTATACAGAATGGGTCGAGCCAGAGCTTGTTCCTTGTTGATGCCTGCAATGATAATCAATGTTATATTTTTCATCATTGACAATTATTGTAAAATGTGTGACCGGAAATAGTCTTTAAGTTATACCTGGGAAGAATCTCATAGCTACTGTATCTATGTTCTCATCGGTCCACTGTCTTTCGGAATCTTCAACCAGACGATCTTGGAAGAGACGCAAAGCTTCATGAGCCCAGAGTCGCACTAATCCTTCCACACTCAAATTGTCTAGAGGTCTGATATGAAAATAATAAAATGGCAATTAGAATATAAGCAAATATTTGTTTTAATATAAAATTTTAAAGTCAGCTAAGCGAAAAAACAAGCGATGGGGATCCTTTCAACAAATAAAGTCATTTTCAATGAAAGTGATGGAAGTTTCAAACTTTTGTGTCTAATAAATAGTGACTTACAGCTCTTATTACTTTATATATTTATTTTGGAAAATGTGCATATGCATTTGATTTTAATATTTTTTTTATAATTATATTTTTTAAGTATATTAATGAAGATGGGCAATGAGAAATTCAGGAGTACCCTTAACCGGGGTGCTTCGAGCTTGTATGTATGGTTATGATATATGGATTTTCTACGTGGTAGAGCCATGCTGTAGTTATATTAGTAGTATAGTTATAGCACGAATGGGTCGGCCCGACCAGATAAGGACCACACTCTCACAGAATACCAGCGTGAAATGGTAGCTTGATGCTGCTATGTTTCGTATGGCGAGTGTAGAGAAACAGAGACCCTTTTTACTGGAAATGAGGCATTCAGACAACGCATCTGCATTTTGATTCGTAATCGAAGATAAATGTAGATGTCTATGGGCCACAGCAACTACTTACCATCAGGTGGACTGTGTGCTCGTTTGTCACCCTATCCTATAAAAAAATGGATGTAAAGGAAGCAAGAAGAGGAGTCTAGTCTTTGTCTACCCCTCCGGGTGACAGGCGTGAGTGTTTATATGCAGGCAGAGTGTAGCGTGTCGCGTGGCGGTGTGGGTACCTGATGGCCTCGCAGATGCCGCGCACCCAGCGCGTCATCTCGCGCGGCGAGTACACGTAGTGCGGCTGCATGTCCTGCGTGAAGCGCTCCTGCGAAGCCAGATACAGGCGCACCATGGCCTGCGTCAGCGGCTCCGCGTACCCGCGCAGCGCCGGCTGCATGCGCAGCATCGCGCGCGTGAACGTGCCGTAGATCTGCGCAGCGCGCACGCCCACACAATTAATTATACTACTACGTACTCTACGTACGAAACGTTGCATTTTTTTGATGTTCACTACTTGCGGACGTCTTAATAGACTACGTAATAATTATTACTTAGATAAATCACGCACGCAAGCTAAATTTAACTTTATCGCTGCGCATGAGTGTCCGTGTTTGGCTTTGGCCTTAAACTTTCCTTTACCTACGTTACGGACGATATTCTGTGGTTACACAGAGTTTCAACGAAAGTACAGTACATACATGTAGTAGGATCCTTTTATTAATTATTTTATTTGCAACTTTTAACTTTAACCTCTCAAACGGCAAGCGTCCAAATTTGACCGCTTCGATATTTCGTTAAAATTGAAGAGGTCAAATGTGACCACACCCACCTACTTTAACCCATCAATACTTACGTTTAGAGACTACTTTTCTATGAAGAAGTTTGGCATTATAGAATCAATAGGAAATCTTCTATCCTCTAGTGGATTAAAAAGTCAGTTAGTTTTTGGATATTTATTTATAATCTACGTTCATTTCGTAAGTCATTTTCGTGTGAATGTTATTGTGTTGATTTTTGGATTTTTCTAGCGTTTTAGTATAGTGTTTTATTATAAAATTGTAATGAAAGTTTTTGTGTGAATATAATTTATCTTTTTACGTAAATAAATTGAGTAATATATATAGAAATAATTGTGATTTTCATGCTACCGACATCCGCTCGGTATTTATTTTTTTTTTGTTATCAAAATACAATAAAATATTTTTGTAATGAAGTAAAACTTGACTTTTGTTTAGACCACAGGATAGAGAATTTTGTATAGATTTTATAATGCCAAACTTCTTCATATAAAAGTAGTCTCTAAATATAAGTTTTAATGGTTTAAAGTGCTCTGGGTGGGTGCGGTCGCATGCGAAGCGGACCACTCGGGATATGCTGGACGCACGCGACTGCATGGGATTTTTATGGGGATTGAGGGGTTAATGTCAATAATTTAATTTATAATATTTTATATTCTTTACCATCTCTTAAATTTAACTCTTAAATCTAAACTCGGAAAACATGAACACGGAGTGATAAAATTAATATTCGTTAATAATTTTTAGTGAATAATTTGGTGTTTTTTTTTTAAGTTAATATTATGTCTTTAAAATTGTTAATGTTAAATTACACTAAATTCTATACAACTATTTTATCATGTAACTAAATATACTAAACAATAAACGAAATTAACTAAGCACCTATTTACAAAAAATCTATTTATGTAAACAGTTTTAAAAATACTTTGAAACTCAATAGTACATCGCGCGCCTAAAACGCGCTAGCCCTGACTGCGTAATGTAACCTGAGGTTCCGCACGACTACGATTGATACTTCACGCAGGTGGCAAGAGTGACAAAAGCCTGACACGGCCCGCACGAATAACACGTTAAACTGCAACTTATATTATGCACTACGCACTAGAACAGTCGCTGCAAACGCGATAGAATAAACGCGATAAAATCCGTAAATTTAGTTTTATTCCATATGAAATTTTATTTTCTGACGCCATATATTTCATTTATTGCATATTGTTTTATTTATATTATGAACTATAAAAAGGAATTTACTAACTAGAACGAATTATTTAACAGCTTGTTGCTGTTAAATAATTCGTTATTTTATATATATAATTAGTAAATTTAAAAAGTAGAGTATGTTAATAGCGAGAGAAGTAGGTCATACAATCAAACTTTAATGAAGGAGTTTGCATTTATCCCAAATGCGCAGACATTAACTACAATCAAATAGGTACAAAAAAAAAAACAGAAATTTCACATTATTATAACAAACATATTTTTTGATATCTTAATAAATGAAAAATATAAGGGTGGTAAAAATTTCACCTGTTCCAAGGAAGTTTCTCCAGGATAATCAACATAGATGACTGGAACGTGTCTAAGCAGTCGATGAGATAACGGCTTACGACCAGGATCAGTAGGCGGGTTACAAGCCCCTACGAACTGAATGCGCTCCAAATGGACCCATGAATGATCTGTGAAAATAGTATTCATTATAATTTTTTGAGTAAAAGTGTTTTCGTATTGATTAAAACTACTTTTACGGATTTAATCGGGTTTATTTTTAATTTTAATTATTTTTATTTTTAATTACGGACGTTTCGGGTGCTTTCCAGCACCCATGGTCACGTGAGACTGAGGTGACTGACGTCCGGATGTCATTATTAAACCCGGAGTACCTTCAGCTTTTTTAATTATTGTTTATGGTTTAATTTAAAAAAAGCTGAAAGTACAGCTGAAAGGACATCGGGACGTCAGTCACCTCATTCCCCGTGACCATGGGTGCTGGAAACCACCCGAAACGTCCGGAATTAAAAATAAAAAAAAGTTTCAACGTGTAGTGTTCGCGTAAATATAAGAAATCATTATGTTTTCGTATTCTTAAATGTTTTACTATATTGTTTATTCGTAAACGTTTTCAAGCTCATAAACCTTGAGGGGTCCTTTTTTTTTTTTTTTTGCGGATGGAAAATCATCTAATGACCCCTCTCGCTCTGGGTGGAGCGTATGGGAGTGTCAGACTTTTACTGACTAAAAACCATCCGTGTTCCTTCAGTGCCCTTACGTTCCGGAGCCGCGGTATCTCTTTCGAATAGCCCGCAGCCCCGGCAGGCGTCGGCCCTTGCGGGCCCCATCACGCTGCTGACAGCTCTTTGAGGCGCGCGTGGAACAAAACGCGCCGTCGACACGGCCTGTCGTCGTTAGACGGACGGACGACGAGCTACCCATTGCTCGCCGTCCACAGGCCCGCGCCTACGGTGGCCGGGGGCCACGACGTAGCCCCCGACGCCCGGGGCGTCTCCCGCGGCGGCCGGGGAGGAAAGCTGCTGCTCTTTCCTTCTCCCGCTCCGCCACCTCCTTCGCTAGCATCACTGCTTCGCAGAAGGTGGTGACGGCATCCCATTCCGTCTCGCTCCGGACCATGGCTTCGACCAGGGCCGGACGCGAGAGGTCGCCGCCGCCTATCGCCGCTACGAGGACACGGCGGTGCTCCGCCCAAGCAGGGCACACCTCCACGGTATGTTCCACCGTGTCCTCCGGTCCATCCTCGCAGTGGGAGCACCCGGGCGTTTCCTCCCGCCCGATTCGGTGCAGGAACCTCCCGAACACACCGTGTCCGGTGAGGACCTGAGTCAGGCGGAAGGTGAGGATGCCGTGGCGTCTCTCAAGCCACTCCTCAAAGAGGGGTCTTATCGCCGCTATAGTGGCGTGCCCAGCACGGGGTTGCGACAGTCGCTCTCTCCATGTCGCCATGAGATCGTGCCGGAAGTCTGTCCGCTGCGCGACAACTTGCCGCGGCAGCGGGGTTTCCCCCCGGCATAGTGCCTCCGCGCGCCATTCGTGGTTTATGGATTAATTTAAAAAAAGCTGAAAGTACAGCTGAAAGGACATCGGGACGTCAGTCACCTCATTCCCCGTGACCATGGGTGCTGGAAACCACCCGAAACGTCCGGAATTAAAAATAAAAAAAGTTAAATTATAAAAATAAACGCGATTAAATCCGTCAAAGTAGTTTTAATCAACGTGTAGTGTTCGCGTAAATATAAGAAATCATTATGTTTTCGTATTCTTAAATGTTTTACTATATTGTTTATTCGTAAGCGTTTTCAAGCTCATAAACCTTGAGGGGTCCTGTGTGTTTGATGTTTGGGTTTTTACAATTTTGAATAAATTACGCCGGAGCAGGTAGGCGCTGGCTGGTGTAGGCGTGAGTCCCACCACTCCTGAAGATTTGGATTTTAGGAAACTTATATTTTGTTCGTGATCGAACGAAGATATAGAAATGATGTAGAAGCAATAACTATTAAATTAGCCAATTGTTCAAATGAAAAATACATCTTTCACAACACTAGCATGTTAGTTGCGAGTAATTGTCATGGTGCGTATGCATTAAACTCCCGTCCGTGTTGGCATACAACCACGTTCCGTCTACGTCCCGTGCACGTGCTGATACCGTCCTGTATGCAGTGACCTTTATATACCATTGACTCGAGGTACATGCCGCGGGGTGATTGGTAGATCCGATGCAGAGAGTAAAAATGGTTGTAGACATCACACTGGCTGGTTGCCGTGGATGGCGGGTGTCATAGAATACAGTTCATTACAAGTGTACTGCCAATGTTGCTACGCTTGCCAGGCGGCTTGGAAACCGTAGTTATTTATCTGTTATATTTCCCTCTGTCGCTTCTTACAAACCCGATGGTATTTGGATTTAATACGCCATCACTATACGGCACTGTACTATGTAATATATTGTTACTAAATAAGGATAGATAACAGAAACACCAATGCTTAAAAATACTAATGTAAAGTAAATTAAAAAATTCTTACCACTTGCCCTGTAGAAGCCCTTGTGTTCGAGCAATTGACGTAGGAAAGAAATGACACGCTGAGTGCCGTACTGGTCCATATCTGGCAAATTGATTTCATCGCAGAACAGCACTAACCATTTGCCAAGCTAGAAACAAAAAATATTTTGGTAATCATTTATAAATATATTTTTAATTTAAAATATAAATAAAAATATTTTTGATAGGAAAACAAGAAGTTGGGCAGAATTAAATACGTTATTAGGTAAAATTTATGGTAAAAATTGAATCAATAATTATGTAATACCAGGAACACAGAGATGACATAGACCAACAATTTCAATTCAATGTTACGTTAAATTGATCATAGTTCATAGCTCCGGTGAGACATCATTAATTGCTAAGCCTACAGTCTACGAGGTTTTTAGCATGAATTTGACCACAAAAGATTGATTGCTGATCCTGTATTGTAAAATAATGTTGTACAAATGGATTTTGAGACACACAATTTAACTTCAATAAAGGAGGTTATCAATTTGACTTTTTTTTTTTTTGAAATATGTGTTTACCTCAGAACTTTTTTCTAGGCTAACTGATTTTGATGATTCTTTTATATTTGAAAGCTAGTGCTTCTCATGTGGTCCCATATAAATTAGATCTAGATCTGACCAGTAGTTTTGGAGTGATCCTTAATAATGCGTATTCAATTGACTTCCACTAAATTGATGATGTTCACATTTATTTATAATGAAGTCGATTGTACAAAATTTTTAATTTTACAAATTGTGTGTATTCGATGTCCCTTTTGTTGCTTGTTTAGTGTCCTCTTAAGAGGATTGTGAAGTTTCTATACGCGACGCGAGTAGGTATTTTCAAAAATGCTATCTGTTTCATAACGCTCGCTTTGCCTCCCTCCGGGCGTGACAAACTCAAATATAGCATAAACATATTATAAACAAATTCTCACGCACACTACAATAGCAGCAGTAAGCGACGCTCGCAATTCTTTTATATTATATATTAGAATACGAAGGTAAATTTTGCTAGTGTTTCGAAGATTAGGTAATATAGCTCAAATGAAAAATCGGCGGTCCCGAATCCGTGGTTCGAATCCGAATGTCTTCGGCCCGAATTTTTTCGAAGTTCCCTTCTTTTGTGAGAAAATCTATTATTTCGAGCCCGTTTTAGTATTTTTTTTAAAAACACGAAAAATTAAATTAAAACTAATTGAAATCATGATTTTTACTTATATAACCAGTTCAGTTTTTTTTATTATGTTGGTAAGATCGAAAAATATCATTCATATTACATCCGTATGTAATTTGTATCTAAATATAATTTCCATAAAAAAAATACCGAGCAAAGCTGGGTCATCCAGGTAGTCTACATACATGTCTTTGACGGCAAGTGACATAATTATTCAATTTGTTTGTGTTTCTTTGTAATTGTTATAATAATACAATAAGTATAATCTTATTGCAAAATGTGTGTAGACATTTAGTAGTACTAACTACATATACCTTATAGAAGTGAGCTGTTATTTTTATATGTAAGTATCTACCTATCTAAATCTACCAAAGGCAAATGCCAGCTTTTACGATGAGTATTATATTCATTAAAATAAAATTAATTTACACCTTTTAGAATGGAAGTTTAAAAATTATAGACGAGGAAGAAAAAAGTCGACAGTGTTTATCAACAAAACGAAAAAAAATTCAATTTTCTTCGTAAATGGAAAAGATGGGTAACGCCAACTTCTAAAATCAACAGGTATACCACATAACATACATAATATTATTTATTCTGTGATCATACTTTGATTGGTAGGTGATAGACCGAAATTTATTTCGCCAAAATATAAAATTATTTTGTAATAGCTGATGTTGATTTTTAAGATTTAATAAAAGGACGAGGTTCTATGTTCGGCTGTATGTTTTTTCTTTTATTTTATTTTTTATGTATGTTCACTGATTTCTCCATCGTGGACCGATTTTGAATACCTATTCATTTTTTCTTCGATAATGTATGTCTCACATTTGGCCTCATATAAATGTCATAGATATCATTTCAACCATGCTATGAGTATTCATCAAACCAAGGTTTAATACTCAAAGCAACCATGACATATGTTGTAATTGAGTTTTATTGAAGTGGGTTGTACAAAATTTTCAATTTTACCACTTGTCCGTTAGAAAATGTTGTTCGTATTACTAATTCTAATTACAAATTTACTAAATTAAAGGTAAACTAGCTTTTGCCCGCGTTAGTTAGCCATAAAATATATTTTTAACTATTATCGTTCTATTTATTTTTCAGTGACTGAGTTTGACAAGGAATTACCGGACAGTAATATGAAGGGAGGATGTACTCCTAATATTCGTCGAAAGGATATTACAGGTCTACCAGCGCCACATCGATGGAAGAAGGCATAAAATGGAAGGTTTCCAAAAATAAGCGTTGAAAAATATGGCGTTAAATATCACACATGCTGATTGGCGATGGTGACTTTTATCATAATTGGACTGTTGATTACTATGCCATACGGTTCCAACCTCATGGTTAAAAAAGTAGAATGCAAAAATCATTTTTTCAGAAATTTTTATTTTAAATTGAAGCAATTGGGGAAGAAAACTAACAACCAATAAGGTTACTTATCAGACCTTCAAGAAAAAGAGTTGTGAGCAATGTTTTGCGTCGCTTTTACGTGGTAGAGCCATGCTGCAGTTATATTAGTAGTTTGTAGCACGAATGGGTCGGCTTGACCGGGGAAGGACCACGCTCTCTCAGAATACCAGCATCAAATAGTAGCTTAATGCTGCTGTGTTTTGTATGGTGAGTGTAGGGAACCGGAGACCTTATTTACTGAAAACAAGGAATTCCACCTAAGTCCTCACGGATGAAAACGCATCTGCATTTTTATTTGTAATCGAGGATAGATGTAGATGTACATGTGCTCGTTTGTCATCCTATTCTATATAAAAAAGCAGTAGTTGGCGCCGTGAAACATTGGAAGAACGAAGACATCACTGACGTGGAAAAAATTAAAAACATCAAAAATGACATAAAAATCAGTGCCAATCATGTTTTTAAGAAAAGAAAGAGTTTTTGGCTTTTTTGCAAAGAAACGAGGACGAAATAAAAGAATTAGAATTGGCTACTAGAGGTCAAAGAGACAATGTTTGTGAATTTGTGATACACTGAACGGAGAAAAAAGCTAACTGCATATAAATTTGGAGAAATTGCAAACTGCACCCTTACTGTATACTCATTTCAAAGGAAATACGGCAACCGAATATGGAAACCAACACGAATCGGAGGCCATACGAGAATTTTCCACAACTGCGAATCTAAAAGTTTCGGTGTGTGGACTGTTTATTGATTTAGATGATTATTAATTTAGGGGTAATTCCCGATGGACTTATCGGAGATGACTCTCTAATTGAAGTCAAATGTCCTATTTCTGCTTCTAATATGCCACATGTGGAGGCCATAACTGAAAAATGATCAAATTTTGTTTGATACGAGAAGGACAGATGATTTTAAAAAGAAGTCATGATTACTATTATCAGGCCCAGGGAAAATTACATATAACTGGTAGGCAATTTTGTTTTTTCATAGTATGGACGCTACATGTTTTAGCGTATGAAAAAATTAAGTAAGATGACCACTTTTGGACAGAAAAAATGCAGCCAAAACATAAATCATTTTATTTTCTGTGTTTATTACCAAAGCTGATTGACCCTAAAGTACCTAGAAATATGGCAGCTCGAGAAAGAGTGTAATAATAAAGTAATATGTAGTAATAAAAAAATAATTTCCACAAGTTGTTACTTTTTTATTTATTCATCTACCTAATTAACTGTAATCTCGAAATCTTTTTAAGTTACAGTCCTTATTCATTAAAGACTCTAACATAAAAAGGCTAATTAGCTAATGAAGTTATTCACAGATATTATTTTTTCATAAGAAGCATTATTTTGTGTAGGTTTTCGGTATTACTTTCTTCTCCCTAGGCTATAATATCTTTTTTAATTATTATTTTTTAAGTTACCCTCACACTAGGACTTTCTCCTGTATCGTGGAGGCAGTTTTTACATACATAAATTGCACAAGGACAAACATCCAGACCCGGAACCATTACTTGTATTGTTCCGGGTCTGGATGTTTGTCCTTGTCCGTGTGTGTATAAATACTTGCCGTGCGGGATTCGAACCCGCGGCCTTCAGCGCTAAAACTCATTGCTGAGTTACTGCGCCACGTAGCCGTCAAATCTATACATATATGTATATAGATAAAATCTCCGACATCTAATAACAACAAACCACAACTACAGCAGTATGCGTATGCCCCTGCCTCCCGACTCGTATCGTGCGATAGAGAGTTGAAAGATTTGGAAGCAATTGCCTACATTTCTTTATTGAAATATTGTTTCGGGCGATAACATTTTTACCCCCCTAAACATTAACGAAATGAGATAATTTTGATTCAATACACTTTAGTCTAGGTCTGTACGTTTTTCTTTTTTAGTATATCAGTTTAGTTTAATTAAGAATAATAAAAATGGAGTTTTTAAGTCAAAAATATAGATATTTAGATGCTAATAACTTATATTGTACGTAATATTTCTTTAACATTAAAACGTACGGACCTAGTTTTTTGTTATATCTACATTTCCAAAAATTTTGAAAATTAGACTATGTTTACTGGTGGGAAAACGTTATCGCTTTTTGTATGAAAATTTACAGCTTCACAATCCTCTTAAATGTAAAAGAAAAATTATACCTGTACAGGTGCAAGCACCACGCCATTAGGTGTCTTGCGATATTCACAGTAGTGATCAAATGTTTTGAGTAGTAACTCAGGTGTTGTCGCTGAAGAGAAGTTGAGGCCAACTACTTCCATATCAGGTAATGCTCGGAGGGCAGAGAACAAAGTCATGGTTTTGCCTGAGCCAGGAGGGCCACATAATACTGAAAAAAAAAAAAACATAATAAGAAATGAATACATACATTAAACAAAAGGATAAGATATCTTTTTCAAAAAATAACACCATTTCATTTATGGTACTTTAGCTATTACAGTAAAAAAAATAAGTAGCAGATGGTGAAAGAAAATTATTGGGTTCCGCTTGCTACTTAGGCTTTCATCTCATAATGTAGTCTGCTAAACCGAAGTAGAGTTTACTTTGTTTATAGTTAATTTTATTTTCTATTCCAATCTTGTGTCGGTCTTTTTAGTGTATTACTTTTAAATTGTCTTTTACGCAAACGGGATTTTGATGTTTTTACTTAATTTATTAATTACGTTGCCTAAGATTTGCTTTAAAAGAATATTTTACCCTACCTAAGGGCTTGTGCTCCGCTAGCCAGGTGTAGAGCAGTGCCTCGTGGCGCACGGTGTCCAGCGTGGGCACCACGACGTCGGGCGCCGCCACTTTGTGCGTCTCCACTTCTATTTGGGGCACTTTAGCCGACCACGGTACCCATTCTCCAGTTATAGACACCTGTTAAAGAATACGCAAAAAATTAAGACTTGTTGAAGCTAGGAAGAAAAACACTAGAATTAGTCCTAAAGTAATAACATGGCAAATCCACCCTGGTATAGTGCACTATTTACAGATTGATGAAAATTAAGAATATAATTTAACTTCAATTATTAAAAAAGGTAATTGATAGAATCAGGCGTTACTTTGCGGAAATTCATTATAATAAAGATATTAAACTTTAATTCGCAACCATCCGCTTTAATTATATACAATGATGTGTCTTATGTGTGAGGTGCTCTTCAATCCAGGTAAGACATCATTGTATATAATTAAAGCGGATGGTTGCGAATTAAAGTTTAATATCCTTATCATTAAAAAAGGATACAACTGGAGCTTTCTCCTTACTTTTTAAAATTATATCTTATTGTTTATGAGTTTATGAATGATATTTAAGATATTTACATTAAATTGGATTGGATTGGTTATTGGTAAACTAGAATATGATTGTGCTTAAAGATAAAAAATAAAACAAGATTATCGTAATATAAATAATATACTTAATAGCCACTTTTTATTTACCATAAACATAGTAATTTAAAACGAACAAACCTCGAAGTCGATGATGTGTTGGTTAGCACCGCAATTCGGCAAAACCATTGTGCTAGCTGATCTTATAAAGTCACCCAGCTCATTACGATCCTGTAAAACATTTATATCTTACTTAATAAACAAAGAATATTTTTTGCGATTAATTTTTTAACGGCTTCTTAAGACCGATTTACACTTCGACAAGTACAGTAGCAAGTTTCGTTACAGGGCAGTTGACAGTTAACGGTTAAGTGGGCAGTAGCATTCAAACAGTGTTCGTGGCCAGTTTAGATATGGACATTAGTTCATAGAGTTTGTTCGATTACGTTTTAAGACTACAGAATTTTTCTCGTTTTCGTTTAAGATGGTTCTAGGATTACATCAATAATTAAATGATATAGTCAGAGAAATATTACTGGTTGTTGGAAGTTTTTAAGAATTTTCATGAGTGCAGCATCTCGACCAGGTTTAATTCTATAATTTGAATTTCTACTATTATATAAACATTCGTGTTCTAAATACTCCTGTACGAATTTATACGTCATATCTTTCGTCCATTTCATTATTAAAACCCAATATAAAACGTATAAATATTCAATAAACAGTACCGTACAAACTTTGTAGCGAGTTTAAATAAAAAAGTAAAATTATACGTTTCGGCGCGTAAACGATGCGTCCAGTCAATTTATGCACTGAACTAAACTCGCTCGTTCACACGAGTGGCGAGTTTAGTTGCGGGTGACGGTAGACGCGCGAGAGGGCAACACTTCGCACTTAACTCGCCGAAAAATTGCCCGGCCGGCTATCCCATTAGACTTAATTGTTAACTTGCTACTTAACTCGTTTATTGCCGTTCAAACGAGATTTTCTACTTAACTCGCCAGGTTCGCAAGTTAACTCGCTACTTTACTTGTCGAAGTGTAAATCGGTCTTTAGGATGTTGTTTAAAAAAATATGAAATCAAAATGCAAACCTTCAATTTAGCATCACCAGCAAAAGACCATAGGAGAGAGTACACCAGCCACTTCGGCACATACGCCTCTAGCTGGTCGTTTGTGATCGGGAAGTCAGGATGCTGTCGATTGTACGCGAGAATGTTTCTAACACCGCGATTTAGCATCGAATGTAAAGATGACAACGCTCTGTGTCGGGTGAAGTCCATGATGTGGTCTAAGGAAGCTGCACGTTCGAGGCATTTCACAACCAGACCGTCGCCGTAGAACAAAGGTTGCAAAATAGCGGCAACGTCGCGTTGAGTCTAAAAGCAGAAAAACAGATAAACAAAAAAGCGATATTTTTTAAAACTTTATTTAAACATAAATTATTTCATTTGGATATTTGAAAATTAAGGCTCCAGAATGACAAATTTTTTATTAGTTTTCTAAACTTTGGTTCTGTCTGGAATATGTCTTTAGGTAGATCAATTCATAGCACCTGTAATCCTGGAGACAGTATGTTTTCTGTTGAGTTCTGATCTCCACCAGCGGTCGGTGCCGCCATTACAATACTGAAAGAGTCTTCCTCGCCATCTTCCAGAGGAATATTTCTTAACCTAAAGAAATAATATCATTATGAAAAATAAAATTCTAGCCAAAATTTTATGACCATGGATACATTTAGAGAGGCATAGAGATCACTGAAAACAATTAATGTGAAAAAGAGAATTTATACAGATAGCTTTAAGGAAGAGCAGGACAGGTGAAATTTTTAAATATGTACAAGTTTGGTGGTGTCCATACCTCAGCAAGTAGTTCTCGAAGATCATCTCCGTTGATAATACATCTTGGGAGAACCAAACCATACCGCACCGTGACACTGTAGCGAGTGTTGCATATTTCAGATCTTGTACCTGGACAAGTAGCAAGTAATAAGATTAACACATAATTTGATATAAGTACATTAAACTACAAAATTAATTATTCTCAAATGGAGATGCAGTACACATGAGGAATATACATAGTTTTGAATAATCAAAACACAAAATTGTTTGTTTCCGAGATTTCTTTGAAGTTATAAATATTATAGAAATCTTTCCTGTTTGTGGTGTTAATTATAAGATATATTTTTACCACATCGACTGCCTCGTTGGTCTAGTGGCTGTAGTAGTGCGACTGATGATCATGAGGCAATACCTCAAAGGTTCGAAAGGTTCGAATCCCGGGTTGAGCCAAAAAATCAATTATTGTATTTTTCTGTCTAGAAATTCTTAGTAGCTGCCCGGAGTCAGGAAGTTGGCGGTGTCTCACCCCCGTGCCTCGGAAAGCACGTAAAGCTGTTGGTCCTGCGCCTGATGTCTCTCCGGTCGTGTCGGTTTACCGTCCCATCGGATTATGAGAGTGAGGGAATAGAGAGTGCACCTGTGCCTTGCGCATACACTTGGACACTATAATCCTGTCCTGCGCCGATGGCTAGTCTACGTTGAGGCACGCCCCCGTGACCGAAATTTGGTCTGGAGGACATTATTATTATTTTTTTTACCTCAAACATGACGCGAACATTCGGCGGCAGTGACAATCGCTCGCCGTTGGGCAATGTGAGCAGTTTGTTGTCGTCCAGTACAGAGTTTAAGTTCTCAACCCACTCTGGATCCACGTCACCGTCGAAAATTATCCATTGTCGCTTGTTGATTTCACCACGAACGTTGTCGATTATTTTCCTGCGTAAAGTTTTCACTATTTACATTATCGGTATTATAAACATTTCAGTACACACACGTAACATCCTAAGAAATTTTTTTATAATACTAAATTACGATCGATTACATAGGTTTTAATTATTTTGCGCGGAACGCTAATTATTTTCCAAAATAAATGTAGCCTAAGATACTCCTTATAACATCAGCTATCTGCCAGTGAAAGCCCCGTCAAAATTAGTCTAGAGATGCCAGAACAAACGGGTAGATAGTGGGTAGACAGTATGCATAAGGTATTTAGCTGTTATTTTGATACAACAAACAGACACAATGATTTCTTAAATTTACGCGAACACTACACATTGAATAAAACTAAATTTACGGATTATACCGCGTTTAATTAACTACTTTTACTTAATTTTTAATTCCCCACGTTTCGGGTGCTTTACAGCACCCATGGTCACGGGGGGACTATTACGTTTGACGTCCCGTCCGATTTAATATTGAAAAACTGAAGGTAGCCGGGCTAACTATGACATTGGGACGTCAAACATCTTCTTCAGGCACTTCAATTTTATTTATTTTTATAGATGTAATAGATATAACTAACCACTGCCACTTCAGTTCAATGAAAGGTTGACTATGTCAGTGAATTGGATCGATTGCGGATATCCTCATTACAGACATTAATCACAAAGAGATTCAAACCACAGTTCCTCTATATTTTAAAAACGTACTTAAAGCTTCCTTATGAGGCCATTTATTGCTGTAGGACCACCATCTTGGTTACGTAAGTCATAATTTTATTGGCTGAATACCGCACGGTTAAGTTCGATTCGGCGATTGACGGTCTTCCATGGTATTACCAAGACGGACTTGACCAACGACCAAAGTAGGTTTATAATAGGTTTTCTATTATAGGACAGATATATGTTATCAATTAGATATGAAGATCATTTAATGACTGCGTAGCTTGTGACTTACCTTAGTATATGGGTAAATAAGCCATCAGTCCATTCACGTGTGTTGGGATCAAGTACACCATACAGGGTTTCCTTTGACATAGCCTTAGGGTCTATCACATGCGCCACTCCTTCTACACCTTCAAATCTATAAACAGTCAACAATTATAAGAATATAGAATTTATTTCAAAAATATAGTAAAATTTTACACAATTACATGCTTTTGTCTCCTTGATTTTGCTTTAAGATCTAAAAATGATCTAAGCTAACAATCGGTTTTCATTTTGCTACATTACAAGAAAAACTATTGCATTACCATGCGATGAAGTCATTCAACATTTTTTATCTTATTATTTGAAAATGACCACTATCATGTTATTGCTAAATTATTATTTATTTTAAACCATATAATTAAACAGTCTAACTTCTCTAGTCATTACTTAACTATTTTTCCAAACATTGCATTCATATCGCTTCCCATTGAATTAAATTATTGTCAATATTAAAATATTAATATATTTTTATTTTCATTATTTTGGTTATTAATCAAGGTATTTTTTTTTTAACATTGATATTATCAAGGTTTTGTGTTTGTTTAAGCAGTGTGATTTTATTAAATTCATATGATTAAAGACATTTCGATTGTACCTTTCAAGTGCTTTAAGAAGGACACGCCAAGCTGTAGACTTTCCGCTTCCAGAAGGACCAACCATCATCAATCCATGATTCAGTTTACAAATTTGGTATAGTTGGAGTACCTGTATAACATTTTAAATAAGTATAATTTGTTTTTTTTTTCTTTTTTACTTATAGAAAGACAGTGCTTTTAATCAGAAATTGTGGTAAATAGAATTGTAATGATAACCAAAAGTAAGAATATGTATGCTAGTTTTATAGAAATATGCAAAAGAAGTATATCAGAAAGAATTAGCTGGGAACAAACCCAAACATAAAACTATAATATAATAAAAACAATTATAACTTTAAATAAAATGTTTAGATTATCACCATTACATAATATTAATATTGCTAATGTAAAGTTGGTAAAATATTTAATGTAATGTAAAATAAAAACATTAATGTTATACATTAACATTTTTAATGCGAAATGAGAAGTTGCATTCAAAATAAAACACGGGAAATATATAAGTCTTTATAAATTACATTTAATTGTTAAGGGAAAATATCGGTCAATTGAACTAACTATTGTCCTGATTTTATTTTGATTTTTTCCTTGAGTAATTAGTCTATGTTATCATCACAAAATTAAGTCTATATAGGCATAGAAAGTTATTTACAAATACAAGCTTATATTTAATACCATAACATATTTTGAAAGTAATGAAAGTAGTGCCCCTTTTGATGAATAAAGATTAGATGAAAAAGTTTTACTTATAGTAACGACAGAAGTTTGTCAAGTGTAGAGTTTTGGCGGGAACTTGGCCGACGACGGACTGTAGCTCCTGTTTTGTCGCTTGAATAATCGTTTGAAGTGGATTTTAATTCGTAAAAGTGATGTGATTTTGTGAATTAAGTGTCTGCGCGTGTGAACTATTAGAGAAAACGACGAAACAAGTGCTTTGATGTTGATATAAACCTCAAGTTAATTTGGGCGCCTTATGAACTTGATTGGCTGTCGTCAAAACCTCCCAAAAGACTTCGCCGTAAGGCCAGTTAAAAAAAGTTGTCAAATGTATGAAAAGTTTTGCGTCTGCCAATGACATATTGAAAATGCTGTGCACTTAGTGTTAATAAGAAACAATAATGATAGAATGTAATATATATATATATAAACAAAAGCGCACAAATAGCACGAACACACAGGAACAAACACCTATATAAGAAAACAACCCTTCCCATCTGGCAATATAAACCGTTTGTGATGTCGTCACAGGAAAATTGATAAAATATTTTTGCTTGATGTTTTTTGCTACAAAGTCTGATGTCATAAATCAATATTTATGTATTATATTTTTCTGTGAGAACACCAAACGGCCATGATGCGGCCTAAACTGACCTTTTCGATCCACGTGCTGTGCTGCGCGCGCGAAGACGCGTTCCTCCTCTAGTGCCGTTATCGGGTTAGCATGAAAACGCACATTCATTCACACTCGCTCTTGTTGTTTATGATACTCATGCATGCAGAAACTAGGTCTTTATTTTAAATTTTTTGAACGAAACGAATTTCTTTTTAATTAACTTTACATTTTTCCTCGGACATAATATAAAAACATAGTTTCAAGCAATGATAAGCAAAAATGTTATAAATATTACTTTTAAAACCATTAATGAGTTAAAATATTATAAATTTTATTTCATTCATATTAGAAACACTTTACCGACACCCAGTTGATGATTTGGATGGTATAATGTAAATGAATTAATTAAATAAATAAAAATAATAACCATGCTTATGTTGGAAACTCATGAAGCACTAAATGTAACGTGATAGGATTTTCACTGATGACATGATAGATCCCTTATTCCTCTATATTAGATTTAATTAGTTTCGAGTTACACCTTACTTAAATAACCACATCAAAATTAGAATTTAGATCAAGATTAATATTGTTTGTTTGACCTCACATACCTTATCCATCCAAGTCGAACCCTGTTCATCTCCTTCTCCGCACACTAAAAATTCTTCGGCACACACACTACGAATTTCATTTTTCAAACCTAAAAAAAAAACAAGTATAGCAAGCGGAATGCATTTTAAGCGTTGAACTTAATTTACACAGATATTGTTTTATGATCAGCAGTGAAACTGCATAAATATGGTGCGACATCTTTTGCCAATGGGAATCGCAACACAACATTATTGCTTTTTTATTTTAATTGTGGTAATATTTTGTAACCCGAAATCAGAAAGTGAATGGTGTTTCACCGCTGTACCTCAGGAAGCACGTAAAGCTGTTGATCCTGAGCCTGATCTGTCCCCAGTTGTGTTGGATTACTTCCCTTTATTTATTTGAGTACAGAGCCCGAGTATGAAAAATATCAACTTGCAGAGATATGTAAGACGGGGTGGCGTTATTTCCCCGAAACTTTCCACCTCTGCATTGGAAGAAGTTTTCATGCTACTTGACTGAAAAAGGAACTGGTTACAACATGAATGGCGAGTATATCAGTCACCTTCGATTTGCCGATGGTATAGTCATTATATAGCCGTGGTAGCTCAGATGGTTAGCGCTCGCTGTAAATACCACAGTATGCGAGCAAACCGGGTTCGATCCCCGCCGGCACCAATGAAATTGTTAATTGCAATTTTAAGTGCTGATTTACCACGTGCTCGGCGGTGAAGGAAAACATCGTGAGGAAACCTGCATGTCTGAGAAATAAGAAAAACAATATATATTTCGGAGACATGTGAAGTTCGCCAACACGCATTGGGGCAGCGCGGCGAACATTTCCTTGTCCTAAAACCCTCTCAGAAATGAGGGGAGGCCTGTGCCCAGCAGTGGGACGTATATAGGAGGTAACTATACTTTACTTTTATAGTCATTATGGCAGAATCGCTAGAGAACCTAAGCATTGTACTCAATAACTTCATATTATCTCCCAATAAAGAGGGTCTTAAAATAAACATATCAAGACAATAGTCATTCATATAAAATCTATGCCGGTAGTTGTTGGGAACACACACAACACAAGATATTGATGAGTTTGTCTATTTAGAACAAATTGTATGACTAGGTAAACCTAACTTTGACTGCGAGGTCAATCAACAGATCCAAGAAAAGTTCAGGAGATAAAAAACTCAAAACTTATAAACAAGAATGTAAAACCAGTGCGTGTTGCCAGTGGTGATATATGGTCCTTTATTACGGCCGAAGCTCAAGTTCGTTCAGCAAGCTATATAGAGGACTGTACTCTATTTATCTGCAAAATTCAAATTCAAAATGAAGTTATCCACAGTGCAACCAGAGTTACAGACATAGCCCAACGCAATAGTAAGTTGAAATGGCAATGGGTTGGCTATATAGTTTGAAGCGGTTCTTCAAAAACTACTAATGGGGATGAAAAGTTCTGAAGTGGTGTGACGACCTGGTAAGAGATTCGGGAAATTGATGGATGCATGTGGCTTAGGACCATGCTTCGTGGCGTTCAAACAAAAGAATTCCCACAAGCCTTGGTACAGCAGTTGACTTTAGAAGGGCTGTAATGATAAACATAAGTTGATAACTCACCAGTCATCTCAGCCCTAGTATAACCAACGTTGGGGAACACATCATTAAGCAGAGAAAATAGTAGAGGTATGTCTTCAGCTACTAGCTTAGGCACCATAGTCTCACAGACCGATTGGATGAGAATGTCCTGTTCAGGAAGAGATTCTGCAATAGATGCCTCATCTGGTACTTCGTTGCCGCGTTCAATCAGATTCTCCTGCAAAAATAGCAATAGTTATTTTTTATTAGTCTTCCTAATAATCGGAGGCCAACAACTGCACAGAAGATATTACAGAATCACAAATATATGTGCATAGGTACCTCGTAATATCTACATGTGAAAATTTAGCACTGACTTTGAAATGCGTGCAAAAATACAAACAGACCTGCAGTCTAATAAATTATACTATTGTTGCGCGGCTAAGTTGACATCTGGCACTAGCGCCATCTAGTGTCGGGTAACAGAGCGAGGAGAGAGCGTTCCAGAAAATGACATCACTAATCTTTCAACCGACAGCGCCATCTGTTGTCGAAACGAAGAACCAAGCTTCTAGAAGCCTGACACTCGAACTTTCGATGCTTAGTCGATTGGCGCGCGTACTTACTTGAATGTTCTGGATTTTTCGGTGCTAGGGTGTATTTATAGGCGCTGCAAGGTGCGATCGGGGAAGTATTGAATTCGGCGAGTTTAGGAGCGGAATAAAGTGAATTAGTGTGCTTAATTATTGGTGTTTTAAGTTTTAATTTGTGTAAAGAAAATTAAAGTGTTAATTTAGGTAATCCTATCGGCAATTTTTATTGTCACGAACCTCAAGCTCTTAACACTATTGTACAAATGTTAGGCTCAACAGAAATTGGGAAACCAGGTATTCTGAATACTAGGTCCCACAAACATTATTATTATTTGATATAATATACTGAGATAGAAACCTCTCAACGTTTGCTTTTTGATCAATGATAAAAGAATACCCCATAATTAATGTAATACATATTTGCTTTGTTAGGTTACAATCTATATGTCCCACAGCTGGTCTCTCTTCTGAGAGGGTTTTGGAATAATTGTTACTCCTCGGTGCTACAGCGCGTGTTGGCGGATTTCACACGTCCTCGAAATACTTTTACTCTTCAAACATGCAGGTTTTCTCACATTGTTTTTCTTCACCACAGAGCATGTGGTATTTCAGCACTTAATATTGCAATTTCTTTGGTGCCAGTGGGAATCAAATAGAGTTTGTTTGCGAACAATAAAATTTCCAGGGAGCACTTAGATCCTGGGCTAGTCGTGATGATGCCTTGTCAATTCGGACCAGAATATTTGTTGTTATACCAGAAAATTCGATAGAAGATAAGAAGTCTCACCAATGTTGAGACAGCTAGATTAAGTTATTTTATTTACTTTCATAGCGTAATGTCTTATGGGATTTTGCTACGGGTTAATGCGACTGACATTGAAGTCATATTTGTTTTGCAAAAGAGAGCCGTACTGGCGATTTATAACGAGTATTATTAGATTAAGTCCCCTAAGAGAAAAATAAATAAATATATTAACTTTGGCATAGCAATATATTTATGAAAAAGTAACGTAATTGTAACATAAATCTTTCTGAGTGGGCGAGGTGTTTACCATTACCTGCGAGGTTATCCATTACTTACCAAACACTCTGTATATTATGTTTTTTTTTATTTATTTATTTAAAAAAAACCAACAGCGATTTAACAATTTTAAGGACTTAAAGTATACAGCTTAAATGTAAGGCCTATTAAAGGTTTTTTCTTATTTTTATTATATATATATATATATATATATATATATATATATATATATATATATATATATATATGTTCACAGATATGTAACTAAATGTTTATACTAATTACACTTTTGTATATGTGTATGTAGAAGTAATATTTGTTTTATTTATTTCTCTGCAAAACTTTTACATGCAGCCAGTGCAGAACATTCTTTTATGTTATTTAATTTAATGAAATATGAAATATCACACCTGTTTATTTATTTATTTTTCTAAACGGTTACACTTATGTCAGATTTACACTCAACAATCAAGTAAGAAATGATTATACTAAATGATGCAAAGTATGAATTCATTTTCATATTATAATAGAGTTGATTTATGTTCATTACTATTTATTTATTTTTGTGTAGGGAGTCCTACTAGATGGAGTAACGACCTGGTAAGACATATAGGAAGTCGACGGACGCATGCGGCTCAGAATCGTGGCTTGTGGCATTCCCTGGGGGAGGTCCACGTTCAGCAGTGGACTTATGAAGGGATGTAATGATGATCATCATGATTAAGCAAATCAAAATGATTTACTCGTTTTGCACCTCATTTATGATTTTAAGAGCTTTAGCTTTAAAGGCTGGTTTACTAAAAACAAAGAGATCTACATCACTAAAGATCTCATTGTATATCCTGAGCATTCGGTTTATAGGCGCATTACGTGCATAATTGGTGCCAGCAAACGGCACATGCAATGTTGTCTATTCATGCTTATGTTAAAGACAATTTACATAGTAATTGGAAAAAGTTAGAGGATTTTGACTTTCGATGTAATTTATCACTGATTTAAAAGATATAACTAGGAAGAACCAGCACTATATAGTAGTTTAGTGAGTGGAATTTTGTTCCAAGTATAATGCGATGATATTAATTTTATTTTAGATATTTAAAACTTAGAACACAATAACGTATTTAATACCTTAATTTTTTGAATGCGATCACGTTTAACGTTACCGGCTGATACGAGCACGGATTTCAGAGCACGCAAACCAAAATCGTAATGCGACTGATTTGACAGTTGTTCGTCACAGAGTCTGAAAAAGAGAGGCAGTGTAAATCAAGCATGTACTTTTACAAAGTTTTGTTAGTAACAGAAAACAATAAATAAAATGTCATTACTCTACTATCATTGACAATTGAGCTTACTTGAAGAAAGGCACAATTTTGCAAGCCAACTTTTCGGCTGTCCTGAAACCTTGGCTGAAGAGCATAACCTCGGCGATCAGTTGCCTATCGGGTGTTGTCATTGCCAAGCTACGGAAGAGTTTCTTCAAATTGTCGGGCAAGTTGGAGCGGCCGGCGTAGCCCGGGTTCATAGTTATGAAGATTGCCATGTCCTGACTCACGCGCACTTGTTTGCCAACTAATTCCACTGTTATCGATTTTGCTGTAAAAGTTTTTTTTAAAGTATATAGATTTAAATGTAGCTTTTTATCTTGGTAATTCTAGTTAAATATATATATATATATATATATATATATATATATATATATATATATATATATATATATATATATATATTATTACCCGTATTATCGCCTTCCTGGTGGCTCTTTAGTGCCTCCTGTATGGTCTGCACTTGTTGTGACACGGCCGACAACATTCTCTCTTCCAGTCGATTGAACTCGTCAAAGCAACCCCAAGCACCAACCTTTAGAGCAAAAAATCAATTTTTCTTAGACGTATGAAAAACCAACAAAACTCATTAATTATATTTTAACTTATACGTCACTTATGTTATACGAATTTTATTTACCTGACAAAGTCCAACAAAGATCCTTCCCATAGCTTGGAAATCAAATGTCTCATCACAATTAAAAACTAGCACAAAGCGTCCAAGCTGGTTTCCAAGCGCCTTTACAGATTCAGTCTTTCCAGTACCAGCGGGCCCTTAAAACATTGAGTATACAATTAGAGTTGCGATTTTTAACATAAATTAGCAATCCGCCATGGCTTCGCACGGGTCGTTTCTGGATCTCTACAACAGTGCGACTTATCAGGTCTAAATGTGAATCAAGCCATCTAAGGATCCATTTAAACACAAAAAATTTTTCATTAATATTGGTTTTAAGCCGTTTTTGAGTTTTAGTGAGACTAACAGACAGCAATAGATTTTTAAATATATACTTCTAAGTCCATAAAATATTCTTAATAACCTCTCAAACCCATAGCGGCCTCATGAGACCGCGGCTATATTCCGTCAAATCCCTAGTGGTCTCTTGGGACCGCACCCACCCACAGCACTTTAACCCATAAAAACTTATATTTAGAGACTACTTTTCTATGAAGAAGTCTGGCATTATATAACCAACATGAAATTTTCAATCCTCTAATGCAGTAAAAAGTAGTTAGTTTATGGTTTTTTATTTATAATCTACGTTCATTTCGTAGGCCTATTTCGTGTCGCGTGTTATTATGTTGATTTTTGGATTTTTCTAATGTTTTATCAGTGTTTAGTATAGTGTTTTATTATAAAATTGTTATAAAAGTTTTTGTGTGAATATAATTTATCTTTTTACGTAAATAATTTAGAGTAATATATAGAAATAATTGTGATATTCAAGCTGCTGTTCTGTGCTGGGTATGTACATTTTTAACTATGAAAATACAATCAAAATCTATTTGTAATGAAGTAAAAGCACTAAAACAAGTAATATAACATGACAAATAAACAGAAACAAGTATTATATTGAAATTTATAATGAATATTATTGAAAATAAATGTACGACAAATTCAAGGTTGGGTTATTTTTAGCGACGCTGCGTCACACGACGCGAGCGGCCAGTGTTAATCATTTTAGCTGGCGGCGGAGGGGATAAACTAATAATCTTTAAAACATCCAAACGATTGTTGGAAGATGAAAATTTAACCACTTATTCTCTATGCTAGATAAACAAGCATATTAATTGTTTCGCCAATTTGTATCTTTGTTGATAAGTGACAGATCTATTTCTTCTATTGATATCTAGTTAAAGGGAATCAGGTGTCTATGATGTTGATAAATGTATTAAACAGAATTTTAAAAGTTAGGAAGTATCTAGTTACCGAAAGGCGAGCCTCCAAGGCGGGCTTCCAGTGCTTGCGTCATAGTGAGGTAGCAGCGATCCGTTAGTGGCGTCTGCACCAAGCGGTCCTGTACGCCCAGGTACTCGAACCCGTAAAGGAATTTCGCGTTTGCCATATGGATTGTCAGCTGTTGCAATACCTTTTAAAGATAAGATAATATAAAATATTGTGCCAGATATTGAACGTGAATTTTTAGTCTAAACTGGTAAATTAGGTAGCTCTACATAGCATACAGGTGAGGTCAGGTGTGCAAATGGGAAGGAGAAAGGGAGAGGGGGGGGGGGGGGGGGGAGGGGGGGGGTTTTAATTGGGGTGAGGGGGAAGCTTGAGTGGAATTAAGTGAATTAATGTGTTTAAATTTTAGTGTTTACTTTATTTGTGTTTGTGTTTTTGGTTTGCAATTTTTGGTAGTGTAACATAATTTCACATGATTCAACTTTTGATCTACTTCTATTTTTAGTTTATACTTACTTATAATATACCTAGGAAAAAACCTACGGAAATGTAAATAGGGCGCTCCTTCAAAACTTTACATGGCAATTAATAAATATATTATGCCAATGTAAATGCAAACACTGCCTACAGCCAATTTTGTAAAATAAAGTACATATGTCATTGAGGATTTGGTATATTTTTACACATGTATGTATCTAAATTATATGCTAAATAGAGTAATTAATTAATTTTTTTAAAAATAATTGTAATCTTAAAATCATTGCCTAAACCCAAGTGTGTACACAAACAACAAAAAATAATTTAACAGTTTCGTTTTACATAATATAAGGCCTTGGTCGCCAGAAAACTATGAGTTGACATTAAGACCAGGTCAGTAAATGAAAATAGTTTTAAATTTTTCTTTGTCCAACCCTCTTCCCGGTTTAGCTGGGGTTGGGTTTTCTTGTACGATTGCGCCAGAGAGGTCTACTCCGGCTTGTCGGTGTACTCAGGTTTTCTCTCAGGATCTCTTTCTGCATGTTTGACCACCAGGTAGCATGTGGTCGTCCTCTTCCTCGCGGTCAGGAATATTCAAAGCTATACGTATTGGATGGTCATCATTTCGCCTAAGGAAGTTTTTAAGTTTTGTGAACATCTATAACACTATATTTATAGAAGTTTTCTGATGCGCTTACGTCATTATTCCTGGGGTCAAAGTAGAAACGCATTTCACATAACCACTCGAATGACCGCGGACTGGTCACGTTAGAAGCGATGAGACGACGTGTTACTGTACGTTTGTGCACGAACTCGTTGATCTGTAGAACGGTAGAAAAATATAAATTTATAATATTGGAATACAAATATTTCGTCAGGAAATTTTGCTTTCATATCTGAAATTTATCAAAATCATTGTTTATTTTTAATGATTTATTGAAAATTAGTAACTGACGGCACTAAAGTGATTGGTGGCAAGTAACAATACTTTCTCCGTTATCTGATACACGAAAGATCTCTTAAGAGTGAAATACACGCTCTTTATTGACAAATGAACATGAGTGAATGAAAGTCCACTGCTGAACATAGGCCTCCCCAATAGATTGCCTTATAGTGGAGTTATTCACCACGCTTTCCAAGCGGGTTTGAACCACCAGATTTTTATTTATTGTCGTTATTAAGGGGAAATATAACCTCAAATGGCTTAGCAAGATCCTCCGTTATGCCGAAAGTATTGCAGCATTAATTTTGAAATAAATATATGGTAAAATTGAGGATTAATGTTAAGGTTTATGTTAGACGAAAACACGATTCCGTAAAATTTTCTCGATAGAAAAAAAAATCCAAAGTTACCTCCAAACTGAACAATAAACCGCTGTTATTCATAAAATACTTTACAGTTCGACGGCAGGAAACAAGCTTCACGCGCCGATAGTTTAGGTAATTTGTTTTTACAGTGAAAATAATGATATTGTAAAAAAAGTAAATAACATAAGCACTGCTTTATGGTTAGTTCAGTTAGTATGCAAAGTTTCATGATCTTATTTAAAGTATTTTATGAATAACAGCGGTTTATTGTTCAGTTTGGTATTTGAATCGTGTTTTTTTTACATATATTTATTTCAAAATTAATGCTGCAATACTTTCGGCATAACGGAGGATCTTGCTAAGCCATTTGAGGTTATATTTCCCCTTAAGGAGACGCTGCTGCCCTACAGTCTCCCGATTTCTTTCCCTCTGTCTCATCTAACGACACCCACGGGATGATATGGGGTAGTGTATATTTTTATACTACCACTATATGGTTCAGATCTATAAAATTATTTCAATACTGGAATTAAAAAAGTATAATGTAAGATATTAGTTGATATAACGTGAAGTTCTATTTACCAAGTGCTCGAGTTTCCTCCTTCTAAGCGGCGGTTGTTCCTGCAGCACGGAATCGGCGAGAATATTCAACATGTTTTCAACATGGGACAGCACCTGTTTAAGTCCATCGCCTCCCCCATTAGTTAATGCGTTCTCAACATCTTCTGACCAGAGTATTTGGGCTGCTAGGACTACTATTTGAGCCTGTAGACAAAATTGGAATTATGTAGTAAGATAAATAATAAAAAGAATATTCTAATATATATTATATATAAAATGTTAACACAAAAATCTATAATAACATACTTGATACTTGTCGCACCATTCAATAAATTTCTGTGGGTCGACATTTCCATCTTTAAACTGTTTGACGTCAAACACAGCATCCTTGAGCCGACAGGCAAGAGTGACGCGCATCTCCCGCTCTACCAAGGACAACCAAGAGTTAATCTTGGGATTTTCTATTGTAGATACTGGCGATATAAAATACACCTGTAAGAAAACCAAATTATTGGAACTGCTTGTGTATGCAAATATTATATCAAAGATAAACATCATTTTTACTTCAAACTTTGAAGAAGGTATATTTTTGAAAGATATACGATAAAGGAAGCCAATTAAAATTAACATTTAGCCAATAACTCCATAGAAGAGATCTCTCTCACCTCTTCTCCCTCACGGGAAGCTATTCCATTAATAATAGTATTGTCTTCGTTAAGAATAATAGCCGCAACGCCAGCGAACATTTTCTTGAAGTGTTTCTGCAGTCTAGCTATGTTCTTGCTGTTGCCAATGATCTCAAGCAAATCTTCATCACCCACAAAGTAGAAACTAAAGCAAAGTTTATCATTTAATTATTCAGTAAAAAATTATATCATATTTTTAATTCAATATTTATTGTGTAAAATATTACACTCCAAAAATGGTAAATAAAAGATCGCAAAAAAATAAGGTAGCATCACTTAGTAATTAAAAAAATAACCTATAACTCAATGTGAGAGATTGAGTTAGTAAAGCATTTTAGTTAAACATTTTCTATTTAGCGTAATATAAAGGGTTATTTTGCAATAACCGGGCAAATTTGCAGAAAAAGTTTAGATTAAGTTATATAGGCCATTTAAAAAATCTTTTAAATTCAAAATGCGTTGTAAATTTTAAATGATTTTACTGCGCAAGCACACATTCGTAAGGGTCGATCGGTAGGCAAAAACGTTGTGTTCCATAAATCACATTCATTTTGAGATAATTTCACATAAAAGTAGAAGCCTTATTTACTGATATTATCAAAAACTGCCATAATCATTATTTGTATATTTGAACTTAAGTTTAAAATTTGGCTACTCTTAAAAAATAACCCTGTATGTTATAAAAGTAGTCTACTTACCGTGGGAAGCTACTTCTTTCTCGCTCGAGGTATTCGCCAAGTGCCTTCTGTATCTTGCCCAGAAGATCAGCTAAGCGTTCTAAAGATCTTTGCACGCCAGGTATATTAAGTACATCCATAACCATTGGAGATTTGCTAACTTTCTTCATAAGACCCAAGAACTCGGAACTATAAAATTAATAGAGTTTATTGTAGTTGTATGTATACTATATAAAGTTAGTAAGTAAAGTTATAGCCTATATACGTCCCACTGCTGGGCACAGGCCTCCCCTCATTTCTGAGAGGGTTTTAGGGCAAGGAATTGTCCGCCGCGCTGCCCCAATGCTTGTTGGCAAACTTCACATATCTTCGAAATATATTTTTTTCTTACTTCTCAGACATACAGGTTTCCTCACGATGTTTTCCTTCACCGCCTAGCACGTGGTAAATCAGCACTTAAAATTGCAAATAACAATTTCATTGGTGCCGGCGGGGATCGAACCCGGTTTGCTCGCGTACTGTGAAATTTACAGCGAGCGCTAACCATCTGAGCTACCATGGCTCACATGTATACTATATATAATCTATAATTAACTATTTTTTATAATTTTACTGGTGCAATACATTATAATGTCTCTTTTTTGTCAAAAATATCCGCGACCGCGCGCACAAATATGTAGTAATCAAATCATAACCCGATGAAGACAAACAATTTCTTTTGGTAAGAAACCTTCACGGGCATGCACACATGCTATAAGAAGAAACCTTGTAGAAATCTTGTCGTAAAGATTAATGTGACTTAATTTCTTACACATACAGATCAAAAATAAATAACTAATAAAATAAAATATTTGATGGGAACAGTATGATGTACGTAATATCCAAAATAAAAGAATAATAATGTTATATCCTACCTAATGCTCTGAAAACGACTGGTTTCCACAGGTAGCAAAGTCTTGATATCGGCAGAGCCACTGAAGATGCCTTCGAGGTATACCCAGCGCCTTTGTACATCAATCCATACATCGAACAGAGCATTGATGCGGTTCAATTTCTCTTCCCAAGTCAGGGCTTCTTCTTCAAATACCTGAAAATATTGAATTTTTATAACCCCAAATTTAAGAATTAAACCAAAGTGAGTTAGTTTTTATATTCAAAAGTAAAAATCATGTCAGATTAATTTACAGTGGATTTCATTAATTATGACCTTGGTTGTAGCGACCATTTACCTATAGCGACGTTAAATCTAAGTCCCTTGAATTTAAAGCATACTTTAGTACAAAATTCATGTGGCTTTAGCGACTTTGGATGTAACGCCAAGTTCAGGTATAGCGACTGTTTTTAATGAATAATTTGTAACAAATTCTTAGAAATCCCATGCAGATATAGCGACCGGAGTCGGCCGCTAAAGACACAAAGATTTCTTTTTTTTTTCACAAATATTTCTTATCTTTTGTTTACATCTACACAGATGGTCAGCAAATGTGGAGACTTTTACCTTTTGTTTATAGATATCAGCTAAGTAGGTAGGGAAGCGTGTACGTTTCGGAGTTAAATTTATGGTTCAGTTACAAAGTGATATTCTGAGTAGCATTTTGAAATGTACCAGTGAATAACTATGTGTGCGAATATTTTCAATAATAAAGAAATATAAACTATACATGTGTACGGGTCTGTATCTCTTTACATCTGCCTGTAACGACTTACGGATATAACGACGAAAATAGAGTGGTCCCTTCATCGTCGTTATACCCGAAATATACTGTATATAAAAATCATATCCATATAAATTACCTTATAATACGGCGAGAGTTTCATAGCGGCTACACTGTTAATATGTTCTTTAACTTTGTTGAACAAATCATCCCAGCCGCGAATGATTTTGCACTTGTTTTGGTAATTAATCAAATCTAGCTCGTAGCTCTGCCATGACTCGCGAACCTGTGAAATTAAATTACTAATTATATGAGACAAACTAAATCAACTCTTAACTTTATATGTGGTAGCGCCATGTTGCAGTTATATTAATAGTATAGTTGTAGCACGAATGGCTAGGAGGGACCACACTCTCACAGAATACGAGCGTCAAATAGTGGCTTAATGCTGCTGTGTTTCGTATGGTGAGTGTAGAGAACCGGAGACCCTTTATACTGGAAACGAGGCATTCAATCTTAGTCCTCACGGGTGACAATGCATCTGCATTTTGATTCGTAATCGAGGATAGATGTAGATGTCTATGGTCCGCAGCAACCACTTACTATCAGGTGGATCGTGTGCTCGTTTGTCATCCTATCCTATAAAAAAACTTACATTTAAAAACTATGATACTTTTCAAGAAATATGACATTACTATTTACAATTTTTAGACAAACCTGTTTCAAAAACTCCTCAAGAGCCAACTCTCCTTGAGCAACAGAAACAACATCCTTGACTGTGTGCTCGTTGTGTAATAAGTCCGCATCCCACACTTGTCCCAATGTCAGTTCCGAAAGCGCCCACTCGACACGCAACGCACGGCAAAGTTGACGCCAGTGACGCTCCTTCAAAGCGTCCGATTTCAACTCCACTATTAACATGTTCACCTGGTGAAAACATAATGTTATGTTATGCATCCCACACTTACATATATCAACTACTTTTGTTAATTGTTAGCAAAAATCATTAATAATATCTATGAGAAGATTATTAATAAATAATAATTGAAGCAACTGAAGAATCGATGTAACACCATAAATACCTTCGTATAGGACTGCAAAAGTTTGCGGACATACTCGTAGCTGTCGTACATACGCAGACGCGCCGGCAATTCCTTAAGTTCATTCAACATGGCTTCCAATTGTTGTCTAAAAGTAATAAAATTCAGTAATATTTAGGAGTACTAGGGATGTGACACCAGTTTGTTTTAAAGCATAATATTGGGGGTGGAAAATTAGAGATCATTAGTCTAAGTGTACATAATGTAATATACATGGTGTCATGCTTAAAATTCTCGAATGGGTTAGCAGGGTCCCAAGACAAGCAAGTTACTTGGACCAGGTTAAGCCTAAAATATTGGTATAGATGGAAAATTGGGTAAGAAGTGATAGGTGGCCAGCCCAATGCCTAGACCTAATCAGAGAGTTGGCACATTATTTTCTGATATAGGGTCCCACATGTCCCCACGGGACCTACGGGGCAAATACATCATACATAATATGTTTTAAAGAATAAAAAAAATTGCAAATTACTTAATTAATTACCTTAGCTTCCTAGGCTGTACCGACAGCCAAGGTTTCTCTCTAATATCATCAATTTGAGTCCAAATTTTGCTGAGTGAAGACCAAACGCCACGCAAGTCCTGAAGTTCTTCCATTACCACTGTCATGCGTTCATTGTTCACTGAACTGCCTATTATATAAAGAAGAGAAATATTGTAAATTTATTGAAACTGTTTATTACTAAGTTTAAATCATATAAAATTAAGCAAAAGGCACAAATCGCTATAGTTATTATAGTTAAAACGTAGTACAAATTATATAAATAGACAAAGAAACACGCATTCTCTGTTAATTTATTTAATATTAGTTCGCATCTAATGGCGGAGTAAAAAAATCCACTACCGCGTATCACCGCTTGGAAGTCTAAGAAGTGAAAGAGAGAAAACGCAAACAGGAGTTAGGCAGCAACATCTTCAAAAAATATAATTTTTTTACCACTCATTTATGCATTATAGCCTGTCAAAAATTACACTGCTGAACAAAGGCCTTGGATTTTGCCACAGTTGCCACACTTGGTGGGTTAGCAAAAGCAGTGTTTTTATATTTAGTTACAAAACGAAAAGTTATCTGTGAATACAAGATGATATTGTAACATGTCAGAAACTTGCAGCTTATTCTGTATCAAATTTCTAAATTAAAATCAAATACTTACCAGTATCATGCAATTCAAGCGCCTCTTTAGCTTTAGCAACATTATCTCTCTCATCCTTCAGTTTGGTGTAACGAGTTTCCATAACCTGCAAGCGTGCTAAAGCATCTTCTGGTCTGGTGGAGCCATCTGTTGGTTTATTACGTTCCCATTCGGTGAGGAACTCCAAAGTTCGAGCTTCTACAGCTTTGTCCTCAGCTACAATCTTTTGCTGGAGTGACGCCACCTATAATTAAATTGAGTTTTAAGTAAATAATATAAAGATAAAATAAACGTTTCAACAAGTACAATTAAGAAATAATTAACATTTGAGAAGTTCTCAGAGACCAAAGGAGGCATTCTCCTATAATGTCGAAAAGTCTGCTGAAATAATAGCCTTTTTTTACTGTGGTTAAATTAACACATCACATTGCTGGGCACAGGCGTGGTTAATGTAGTAGATTATTATAATAAAGAGAATAATATCCATATCAAAATTTATTTCATGTGAACATTTAAATAAAATTAACACCAGAAAGTATAAAAAACATTGTATATGTAAAAAAATGGTTTATTAAAAATAAGAGTAACTATTTGAATACTGACTTGAGTTTGAATAGAGGAATCTTTTCGTCGCATTATCTCATTGAATGCGCTCCATTCGCCTTCGATGTTATCAACATGCAGCCATTGTGAGGGAAACTGGAATCTGCCAAATTTAAAGAAAAATAGTAACATATTTCATTCATCATTTAAAATAAAACAAAGGTTTAATAATTTGTTCTATCAGTATTAACGAAGTAATTACTTATAAAAGCATTACTTATTACGTAATTAACTTAAGTAGTATTTCTATACTTATCTGAGAGAAAAAGAAAGGAGAGAGAAAGAGAGAAAGAGAGAAAGAGAGAGAGAGAGAGAGATATGTAGAGGAGGGAATTAAAGAGAAACTATAAGCACTACTTAAATTGACGTTTTGTAACTAAGGTCGTAATTGTTGGTACCTTTGACGTTCCAAGATGCGTTGTGCTTCTTTGTAGGTTTCAACTTGCTTTTCCCACGCTAGCACCTCGCGTTTTAGTTGTTGTACGTAAGTGATAAGAGATACTGCATCGCTAGTAGAAGCTGCCTCTGTTAAGAAATATATTAGCAATATGTTAATTATTGGGAAAACTGAAAAAGTGCATAAAAGCAACATAGACGGTAAACAGTTTCCTTTTCTTTCATTCATTCTTGTCTTTCACAAGTCCCCAGTAGAAGATAAGTCAAAAGGTACCTGTGTCCAATTTTCTGCCTTACCAAGCCGTCACTCTAGTGGGGAGGTCGCCTTATAATTCGTTTAATATGAGGCTTCTATTTGAGGACCTTCATCGGTTGTCGCTAATTTAAACTATATGGCCGGCCCAGTGACACTTGAGCTGACTGATCAGTTGGGGTATGAAGTTTATTCCGGTTCTGAGTATGTTTATTAGTTATTTTTTTGAGCAGAGAAACTCTGTGCATGGCCCTCTTATGGTAAACATATTGACTATGACGTGCTATTTACATCATTGTGGATTGAAAGATGTACTAAGTTTTAATGTAATTTGGATGTATTAATATAGAAAGAAAGGCAGTATTTATAATTATTATTTATTAATCCTTATTATGCAAAGGGCTATATATGTTTTACTAATTTGTGGCACTGTGATACATAATATGTGTATAACCTTTCTATTAATCAATGGCGTTGGCAGAAAAAAGGGTAAGCAAAAGGTGGGATCCTATTCAAATATATGTTTGTAAAGTATTCATATTAAAAATATCAATTTTATAAAGTATATGTTTATTTTCCAGGATTGTTAAAAAAAATGTAAAATTCGTTCTGTATTTTTTCAGAGGGTTGACATATAAGCATTGATGAATGACATATACTCCTTCCAGTCAAAATCAAACAAGCGTTAAAATTCTATTACAGTAGAATATAGACAAATTTAATAAAAAAGTTACACTTCCGCGCAAAGAATTTCTTCAGTATCATGGAGGTGTTTTACAATAATTGCTTTATTGGTAAGCTAAACAATTCATAATGCCCACTGGAATGGAAATCGCGATCCCCGGCGCCATAAGTAAACATTTAGTAACTGCACTGACGAGCCGTAATTTAATTTTAAATAACTTGTTTCTTTATACAAAAAACAACTCTTTATTTCCCGTGATTTTCTAGAATTAAAAAGTTTTTTTATTAAGAACAAAAAATCCACGTCACGTACCAATGGTCTGCTGCTCGAGTTGTCCTCTGGACTTGGCAAGGCGTGCGTGGAACTGCACCATCTCGCCTCCGAGCAGCGCGCCGAACTTGCCGAGCACCTCCTTGTGCCACGCATCGTATTTCAACGCCACTTTGCTCTGCACGCGTGCGAAGTCTATCACCACGGGCCCGTACTCCCGCCTCGTATCTGATGTATCGAATGTCGTGCGCGATTTTCTGCACGAGTAAATTGAATATAATGTATATATTATACAATTTGACACAAAGAAAACACGCGCGCGTGCACGCGTACACACGCACGGAAACACGCACGTACGCACGGACGCATGCACGCACGTACGCATGCACGTACGGGCGAGTACTAAAATGTAATACCTTACAGCTAATACTCTGGAACGCAGCAGTGCAAGTACATTTACTTTGTGACAAAAATAGGACTAATAAGCAAAATTATTAATTAGGATAAAGTGTTTTTATATCTATAAAAACCATAAAATATAACTCAATGGCATAAGTTTTACGCACATTTTGAAAAATACCATAAATATTATAAAAATATTCTTGTTTTTTCCATTACTCGATTCAGAAATGACTATGATGCTATTATTTATATATGTATATGTTTAGGAGCTGGTACTACGACGGGGGACCGTGCGTGTGTGTAAACTGAACTTGAAATTTTGGGAGTTTCTTTTTTTTGAACCTTCGGCACTTACAATCACTTACAACTTTATATTGTTAGTAAAATTTATTTAATTATTTCGACAAATATTTTGTATTAAAATAATTAAGCATGGTAAAATACAAAAATTGTACTTACTTAATATCATTTAGGCACTTGATCCATAAAGTAATATCTTCTCCAAGGCGTCCATATAATGTTTCAGGTTGGAGATCCCAAAGTGCTTGATAACTGTAGGGAAATATAAATCATTCAAACATAGCATCAAATTAATAAAAAATTTAAATATGTCAGTATATAATTAGGTATGTATGAGAAATCAGTTTACCGTAGCCATTCATCCACATAGTCGCGCACTTGCGATATTTTTTTCTCAATGGCGTCGTATGCGTTCTCAAGAGGCGACGAACCGCCAGGCAACTTCGTCAACAGGTTTCTGTATGTGACGGTTTGAGCACGAGCTACGCCAACCTGGTATCTGTAAGAAAACACATGTCAGTTGTGTGTTAAAAATAGAATATTTAATGAAATTTTTTTTGTTAGCCGTGGACAATTTAATGTCCTTTTATATTTGTTTAAATTTAATTACAAGTTTTGTGTGAATGTTAATTCATTTTATAGCCTTCATTAACTTAAAAATTTTAGTTTTTAATCAAGCGCCGTAAATAGAAAATTATATTCCCGAACGTGTTTTATTTTTTCTGACGGAACTATTTAAACTTTCTCTAAAAATTATAAGAGGTTTAAATACTAGGCGATAACAATATTAAATTTATTTACAAATACAATCACGTATTAAAGTTAAAACATTTTTGTTCTACCCGTAGTTTTATATATTTAGAGAACATAACATAGCAATATATTTATTACATTTTAATAAAAAATATGTAAGTTAATATTAAAAACGTAGAGATGAATACAAATGTTATGTATTTTTCATTTCAGCAAACAATGACGTTCCCTCAAGACACAACAATAACAGTATTAACTAAAAAACGATAGACATATTCGGTAAAGCAATAACGGAACCTGGTGCTTTGCAGACGGTGTAGACTGGTGACGATGGCTTGCCACGCGAACATTTGGCGCATCAGCTGGAACCGCGCCTCCTCAAGCGACGGGAACAAGTACATCTGCTGGTTCGTTATACGGACTTCGTGCACCACACGGGCAATCTGTGCAATAAGGTTATATCATTTATTTATATTTATTGCGCTGTATATCTATAACTTTTTAATTAGGTTGGCTCGAAGGACCAATACGCTAGACCTTTATAGTAAAAAAAGGACTATGATCCATGCATTAAACATTTAAAGGATTCAAAACTAATAACGATGTAAGAGTACATGAAACATTAACAAGGATTACCTGTGGTTCTCCTCCAGGCTTATGCGTAGGAACAGCTGGAGAGTAAGTATCCATTGACAGATCAAGTTCGTTTGCCTTGCCAAGTAATGCTGCTGTCCATGCTTCTATACCAGCTTGCAGACGCGCCGCTAATTTTTTCTCGACCTCAAAATAAAACACGGTTTAGATTATTTGGATGATATATCGAACAACCGAATAGAATTCGGAAAGTTAAAACGATTTCGCGGCGGCACCTCTGTACCTACCATCGAATGCTTATCTTGTACTGAGTAAATTGCCGGCGCACATGCTTATGCTTTGACTAGTTTTGGGCGAAAAAAAATTCGTAGTGTTATTCTTAGTGAAAATTAATAATTATATGATAAAAATGGAAACTGAGGACCAAAGTAAAGTGAAATTTCCTAATGTAATTTAATGTTTCTTTGTTTGATTCCAAAAACATTTTATCAAGCTTTCTATTTGCTATAATTGGAAATAAATCTAAATATATAATATATCTAAATATAATAAAAGTAGATTTAACCCATAAATAAAATGTACTTTCAACAGTAAAATTATAACATGCATACCAATTGTATGGACACTAGTATACCACTTTACCGAATGTAAATATATATTAGAGCCTTGTGTGGCGATCGGCCTGATTCTGGCCGATGGTTAATTACGCGCTCTGGTAAGCGAGCAGTTTCTGGTAGATCCGCGCATGGGTATTTGGCGGGTAAAATAACCGGCGACAATGATTGCAATGACACTTTTACTTATATAAAATAATACGATGCGATACAAAGCTACTAAAGTACTACAATGTTTAGAAATTATTTCGAATAAACAGCCAGTGTGGCAGTCGTACGTGAATGTCACTTTTATGTGTTCGCCCGTCCCGGTTTTTGTCCTTTTTTTATTGGTAAATCAAATAAATAGTGAAGTTTGGTGCTATTTTAACATGGAAGGGTTAATAATTAACAGTTTTTAATTCATAATTTAGGGATATGTATCCTTTTTACTAAAAAAATATATTTTTTTTTTCGAACATAAACGGCCGTTATACCTACTTACCTTACATTTATCTCTATTGTTGATTAACAATACATTATATACTTTTTTAGAAATGAAACTTTGTCTAAATTAAGAACTTGAACCATACTTGACGTTAAAATTATGGCACGCCACTTCACTCGCTCCTTTCTCAAAATAAAAGTAACAATATATGCTATTTTTTGTGCGAAGCTTTGGTTGCCGTTCGTATGTTAAGACTGTAAAAAACTTTTGGTGTAAAAAATATATAGAAATGTGTGTTTTTTGCTTTTTTATCAAAAATTAGTGTATATTGATGAAAATAAATAACATTTATTTCATAAATGAATGATTTTTCTGTTTAATTTTTACAAATTATGTACAAAATACTAAAAAAAAAAATCAGTTTTCTAACTTTGAAATCGGCTTAATAAAATCTATTAGGTCGTATTCAATTAAGATAAGTACAGAATAATAGAAAATAATATAACAATTCAAATGACATAAGTTTTATATATAGCTCCAATACAATATTTTGGAGAAGTTACTAATTTAATCGCCACGCGCCGATATCGCGGAAACTATCTGCTAATGCTTAACAGATGCGCATTATTTGCAAATGGCCGGCCGGCCGACAAGGGGATATATATATATATATATATATATATATATATATTCAAAAGACATTTTCAATACCTCCTCATCAAGGCGTTGCACCCATAAATGAAGATTGCTGTATTGCCGCAACGAGAGGTCATCAATGGCGCGCTGCAGACGACTTAGGATATCCGCGAGGCTCTGCGCCGAATATGGACATGTCTCCAATGAACGGGTATCTACTGATATCTGCTCTTCTACGGCTAGTAAATCTTCAACCTTAATTTAAAAAAAAAAAAAAACAATAATATTAAATAAGAAAATATACTGGAGTAGAACCACATAAAAATAAAGGATATTATAAAACACACAGTACCTTCTCTTGGAACAGTAGCACGACTTCGCTCAACTTTTGCACATAAGGATCCAGTTTGAATGACTCCCAAACGAGAGCCATACCTTCAGACACCTGGTTGAGTACATCACGGCGTAAGCCCGCTACTAGTGGTATGATCGAAGCTTTATCACGGATCTGTAATGTTACAGCACAATAAATCAATTTTTTTTTCAGAGCTATAATATTTTGTGTATAAAATATACAATATTTTATAGTCAGAGTGAAAGTTGCAGGGTTAAAATAAACAATATGTTTTTTTGAAATACGATAGAAGTGTTTTAATGATATACATTAAGGCCGAATACGACGCGAATGACCTTGCTAGTTTCGCAGCAAACCACGCGCCGCCAGTACCTACGCTTTGTTTATATAGACATGTATAATACCTATAATCAAAGCCGTACGGGCTTTGATTATATTTGACTGAACTAGCTCAGATGCAGAGTAATGAACAACACAGAGAGCATTGCTTACTTCTTAAATAAATTTTTCTTATTTAGAATATTAGTTCCAATAGATTATAAATTCTGTACTTTATTCGTTATAAAATATTGTTCGAAAAGTTATTGAATTGATAACGATTTTTTTTCTTAATTGGTGCATCGTACGTAAAGAATCTCATATAACTGAAAATGTTTGTTCTTGTGAGTCTTACAAGATGCCGTAATGCAAATTGCATAAATAATAAAGAAAAAAAAACTAAAAAGTCGGTGATTGCCCCATAGTGGGGATATGTACTGTGTATGTAAATTCTCACAAGACTACTCCGACTGGTCAATCACTTCACATCCGAAGTATTTCGGTTTTTCTTAATTATGTACTTTTACCCCATGCTTTCGGACAATACATTGACCGACATTATTTGCGGTCTCTGTGCTTGCACTACTCTGTACATTCTTTTCCGACTGGGTCTTGATATTTTACATTTTTAGTGTTTCTCACTTGAAACTAGAAAAGTATAAATGATCAGTTTGGCTAATGTAAATGAGTAAAAATGCAACCTATTAGGCAGCCTCAAACAAAAAATTACCTTACTAAATATAAGTATTAACCTCAAAATACAACATTCGAGCAGCGTTCATGCGATAAACTCTCTTTGTTTTACCACTTAGGTAACATTTATTTCTTTTCCTACCCATATTTACATTTATAGATACTTAAACGCGTATAAAACAATAAATTAACGATTTTCGCTACAGACACATCGACTGTTGTTACCTTACGTCACACGTCGAAGCGCCTGGTAATTTATTACGGCAAACTTTTATCTGGCAATATACGATATTATTATTAGGTGTTTTTAATTAAAACGAATTATGTTAATAAATAATATTTTGTATCGAAAATAAAGATAGCAGGTACCTTCGGAATTACAATACAAACATTTTTACGTAAAAGAATTTTTCCTAAATTAAAATTCACAGAGTTTTGGAAGAACAATAATTTTATATATCATTTCTTAACATTCTTTTATTTGTTGGTATATTCATTTGCTTTAAAATTTTAAAATGACGGCGACATTGTGAAGGACCAGAACAAACCTACAAAAATGTTTTAAAGCTTAGAATTACTTCAGGTCAAAGTTCTAGTCAAGAGAAATACATTAATTTTCGCCAGTTCTCTTCGTATTCGGCCTTAAGCTATTAAATAAATAAAAAGCTAAGATATTTGACTATTTCCTAAATACAAGCATATTTAATGATATAAGTACAAGTCAATGACTAAACTAATTGCAATATACTGAGTGATACACAACCATGCAACCTAATATCAAACTACCTTCGTATGAGTCCTATTATTCAGCTGCATAAATAAAAACGCATGTGTTAGTAATTCCACTCAAAATAATTTTGTTTTAACTTTTGAATGTATAGATTATGTGTAGTAAAATGAAATTTTATCAAGGCGTTATAAGTGCCGAATTTCATGTTTCTTTTAATGTGCCTTTATATTGCAATGTGTATGACAGAGATAATGTGAAATATATTATACCTTTTCTAAGGTGCGTTCATAGGTACGAACGCTTTCGATCAGCGATATCGCAAATGGATAAAGTTGATTTGCCTGGTGCGCTTTATTGACTATCGCCAAAGGTACTCTGAAAACATCAAAAGTTAAAGTTACAGTCTATATACGTCCTACTGCTGGGCACAGGCTTCTTCTCATTTCTGAAAGGGTTTTTAGGGTAAAGAAGTGTCTGCCGCGCTGCCCCAATGCGTGTTGAAATATTTTTTCTTATTTCTCAGATATGTAGGTTTCCTCACGATGTTTCCCTTCACCGCCGAGCACGTGGTAAACATTATATAAGTTTAACTTTTTTGTTAATAGGTGATAAACGAGCGCACATTTCATTTAACGGTTTGTGATCACTGTGATCGGACTACTGAGTAGTAAAAACCAAAATGAATTAATTTTTACTAGAATCCGTAATCATCTTCCACCATACAAAATGACAATCTAAAAATTTCATAAAATTTCATAGTAATTAAATTATATTAAATAGTAATCATTACCTGAATCCAAGATTTTTCAGGTTTCGTACTTCTTTGTAGAGCGTTATTATTTCAGGCAAGAAGTTTACTTTCAGTTTCAAGATTGTACCAGTTTTGCTGGATCGAGCACGCACTGACTCGATGGCGAAAATTCGCCCGGACACGCCGAGATTTCGTTGTTGCACCTAAATTATGAAGAAATTTCAATATCGTTTATAGCCATTGTTTATGAGAGAATTAGGTTTCATTAAGAGTGTTTGTTTTAAATAAATATTAAAACTTTAGATAGACTTTATTTCGTGGCGCAGTGGCTTAGCAATGAGTGGTTGCGCTGGGGGCCGCGGGTTCGAATCCCGCACGGAACAAGTATTTGTATAGACTACAAATAATTGTTCCGGGTCTGGATGTTTGTCCTTGTGGAATTTATGTTTGTAAACTGCCCCCACGATACAGGAGAAAATCCTAGTGTAGGGGTAACGTTTTTTTTTAAACAAAAAAATCCATCCACACTACATAAAAAAATAATATGAATTTATAAGAGACAGTTCCATGTCAAATCGATGTCTGTAGTCTCTGCTTAACTCTCTGTGTGACAGCCGTGAGAGTTTATGTATACTGGGTGACTTTTTTTACCGTCTGGAAAATAATATGGTGTTTTGTGTAAGTGGAATAGAAGCTATCTTCGAAAGTATTTACAAAATATAACGCGCCAGCGAGCATGGCATCGTTGGGCGAATGCCTACAGATGCCCACGACGAATATCGTAGTTATGTAGGCACCAGGCGGCTGAGTGGAAGCAGGCGACACATCATTGCAGCCAACATTTAGAATGATGCGTATTCAAAAAGACCTTACTATAGTACTGACCTTCGTAATGCTTGCAGCGCTAAGTGGTTTTTTTTATATGGCACCATTTATGAAATCCAGATTACCGACGTTCTGCCGGAATTAAGTTACCATACGTTGACTAAAATGTCTATATCAATTTCTAGACTGATTTCAGAACGACTAGTTACGTCCACTTTCTTTATGACAAAATTTCTAGCCACTATTAACTTTCTAGTTTTGTAAAGCATGTCAAAATTCAGCATTATCAGCCGCATTTTAGAACGCAAAAAGCTGATACATTACAAGATGTGCATTACGACCAGGCGTTTATTAATACGTCTTACTTCTTAATTGGTTGCGACATACATTTGTGCCGACTGAATGCAGATAAAGCGAGTGTTACAAAGTCATTGATTTGAATTTCGATAATTTTAATTGATTTATTTGTTTAATTCAAAAATTTTGTTTTTATATTTTTAGTATGAAAAGTATAAATTAGTAGTATTTATTGGTAGATCAATGTCATAACATATTAATAGCATTAAAAAAAAGTTGTAAAATATCAGTGCCATAGGCTTCTACTCTGTTCACCTGTTATACTCCATTTTTTTCCAGACGGTAAAAAAACCATCCAGTATGTATACATTTATAAAATATTTAATATGATATACCTTTCGTGCCCAATCGTCAAATACTTCTTGAGTGTCCAATTTGAGGCGGAAACTATCACCATCAGCTTTCAACTTCTGACCTTCAATATGGTTTTCCCAACCTTTGCCTATAGAAAATAATCGATTAAAAAATAAACAGAAATTTTATAAATTTATTACAATATATTATTTAAATACATAAACATTTTTTTAAATTAAAACATTTACAGTTCAATAGAATGTTTTGTTTTTCATATGAAATCGGAATTTTATTAATTGAAACATACCTAGAACGTCTTCTACTCGCTTAAGGTAAGCAGTGAGTTGGTGATCAATCTGCTTAGCCCAGATTATCGAGCCGGCAACGGGAGGCAAATCGCGCACCAAGGACAACCGGCTGCATTTTGACTGAGGGTATTGCACCTATCACCAAATAAGATCATTGAAACCAATGTTAGTAATAGCAAAATCCATGAAGGTTAGAGAACAGGCGAACAATCGCCGTAGAAAATAGTGTCCCAGAAATATGGACACCATGAGGGAGGCGCTGCGATCACTAAGTGCAGTCAATAAAAGTCATTTTCAGTCTATTTTTCCGATCAGATGCTCAACCACTTGCACATCCACGCACAATAAAATATTTCTACATTTTTTAATGTTTCTTTTTGTCAAAAATTACAAAATTACGGAGCATGAAAATTTCTTACGAAAAAATGAAATGAAAATTTGTACATTATTCAACTAACTTCACCTACGTCAGCGCCGCTATGTATTCTACAATTTTCAAGGACAGGCGGGCTATGCTTTAGTACGTAGTGATCGTTCTCCTATTCTCTAACCTTCATGGCAAAATCTTTGCACTTCTAGTTAACCAAATCTAAGAAATACATTTTGACGGCTGTCAGACTTATTGCACCAAGCATGCCAACCAAAAAATGAGAACGTATCATATTAGATTCTTATAAAAATCGATATCGATTAAGAGTTGGTAATTATTTACAGTTTGGTTTGAATAATACCAGAATAAATTAAAAACGGATAACTTAAAACACAAGATTTATCAATTTCTTCGAATTTGTTGTTACTGCATATTTCTAGAGGCACAGCTATAAAAATTTTAGTTAATTTCTATTTGAATTTCAATAATGCAGTCCATATTAATGTCTCTTTCAAAGTCACATGATCAATATTTTTGTTTTTTCTACCACTTTTGCCCAATCATCCTTTGTGACATGGACACCTGCTACAAGGAATATAAAAGAAACAGTTCAAAAGTTAAAATCGAGTCACAGAATAGAAAGACAAATACAAAATCACAAAATTACGCACAGTAAGCTCCCGAAATGGCGGGAGATTGAAATTACGTAGTGGTTTTTTCAGCGCAGCCTTGTATATGAGTTTTGCGCCTACACAAATTAACGTTGACAAAGTTAAACTTGTTTTATTCATGATTCATGTAATTAAAGGAATTTTAAAAATAAAAATTTAAACAAATAATACATTAAAAAAAATTAATGATTCGATTATTTGAATATTTTTACAGATTATTGGAATATTTTTGTCGATTATTCGCATAACACCGAATTTTAATCATCCAAACACTACAACAAACAACTACGGTAAGGTGCATAGCGACATATCATTGAAACGACGTCAAATAATAAAAGTTGATAATAGTTATTTTTTAATATTTTGCTTTGTTTGAAAGATTCAAATTTAAATTAGTGATAAAAAACTATAACACATTGTAATGAAATATAGATAACTTCATAATTCTTCGGATTTACGTAAAAGGTTAATTTAAATCGTGTGAGTACGTTTGTGCAAAGTTATTGCGGAATGATTAATGTGAAACGTCAAAAGGTATTTCTTAGATTTGGTTGACTATAGTAGCGTGATCGACGGAAAGGTATTTGCAACATTTACTTTTATATGATGTGGAATATCTAAGAATAAAATAACAATACTACATTTATTAGTTTTACTAATAAATTTGTAGATTTCTAATTTTCGCTACGTTTCAGCCCTTGTTTTACTGGCAAACTTCGGTTGTGAAATTAAACTTTATGTTCTTTGGTTAAGAGCTAAAGTACTGTAGTAACTAAAACTTCTGATCATTTTAATTGATCAATTGTTTAGTTTAGCATTATATAGTTGCAAAACTACATATTTGTGGTTGAAACTTTTTGAAAAAAAAAATTGATGTAATAACATCAATTTTTTTTAAGCAAATCAATAAATGAGAATACTACTTCAACCAGTACTTCATTCCACAAAACGAAAGTAAATTTGGAAAAATGTTATAAATTTGCGACTTTACTGACCTTAAACTTTTCATGCAGAGTCTCAATGTCGTCCTTGACACGCTGTATGAGTTGCGTTTGGTACTCGCGGATGGCGCCACGTATATGCGGGCGAACAAAAAGCGCGTTGAAACGCGAAAATATGCGGAACATCTCATTAGCGTTCTTAGCAGTGCCCAGCTGGTCGCGGAGATGAGCTGTTATACGAGTCTCCACGCGATCTGTGTAAGCAATCATATAGCAGAAATAATAATGCTGAACACTTATTGTCTATTAGCGATCCACCCCGGCTTTGCACTCAAACATACATAAAAAAAACACCAAAATCGGTCTAGCCCAACAATCTTCAACTTTTTGTGTGTAAAAATTAGTAAGATTACCCATTATGTAAATGTTATTAATTAACAAAATAGTAAGGTCTTGGTCTTGCTTGCTAATTATTATTTATTAATTTATTATATGTGAAAAAAGAAGTCCCACTTCATAATGATTTATTAATGTACCATGTATTTCGTTGAATAATAGTATAAATAGGTGACTATGCCCCCTCAATACTTCATATACACTATAAAAAAACACCAGCTACCCCGTCAGTGGAAAAAAAGCAAACAAAATCTTTACTACGCTTCTCAATAGCTGCTCTTTTTTATAGAATAATGGTGACAAACGAGCACACAGTGGTTGCGCGGAAAACCATTCGTATTTTAATTTTGTTCGAGGGTATGCTTGCCAAGCGTTATCCTTTCCTTAACCTATCGTCCCTCCATACACACCGGGGTGGTGGGGTGAGACGGGAAAGAAGAGATTCTAGAATGTTGCGTGATTCTCGCAACCAATGAGAAGCGCGCCCGACCGAGATGCATTGATAGGAGGGCCGAAGCAATGTAAGCTTCTCGCCTTCGCGTCGCTAGTTAGAACCGCACCTGGAGCAGTCGAGCTCCAGAAGTAACCGCCTCACCTAGTGTGAGATATCGTCGCGCACCGCTCTCTTCCATCGCACCACCGGCCAGGCCCGCATCCCTGGGGCCCCAGGAGATCCGCCAAAAGTGGCACCGCAGCAACAGAAGCGTCCAAGCCGCATCGAAGTCACACCCCGGTAAGTGTGTTTCTTTTTACTATAACTCAATGCCTGCTTGAGTATTTGTTTGTTAGTTAATCCGCCCCATTTCATTCCTCCTAATGTGCTCAAGCAGGATTCCTTCATAACCTTGGCAAACAATAGATATCGGAAGAGCGAGTGCATTGTCAAGGAACCGCGTGACACCTCTGCCATCTTGTTGAGGCAGAAGAAGCTTACCGCATATACAGTCCATCTAGTACAACACCTCGCGTAATAGGGTCAAAGCTCGACCGGGGAATCGGACTCGGCATCCCTAAGGCCCGCCGCCCAGTCCACCTGATGGTAAGTGGTTGCTGTGGTCCATAGACATCTACATCTATCCTCGATTACTAATCAAAATGCAGATGAGTTGTCACCCATGAGGACTAAGATGGAATGCCTCGTTTCCTGCAAAAAGGGTCTCCAGTTCTATACTCATACGAAACACAGCAGCCATAAGCTGCTATTTTACGTTGGTATTCTGTGTGAGCGTGGTTCTACCCTGGTCGAGTTGACCCATTTGTGCTACAACCGTAACATATCTGTAGTGTGGTTCTACCACGCTAAAAATATTATATACCACCTCATTAAGTAACTGGTTTATAATTTTATGTGCTTTCTTGCTTTTAATACCTTGTGTGTGAAGCTAAATATAAACTTCAATTTTTTATTTATCATTCGACGTTTCATACTATGATTAATTGAAAAATCATAGAGTTCCAATATTTGGCTGCTTACCAATCCTGTCTTCATATCGGCGTACAGCCGCCTCCCAAGCGTCACATCCTTCTCGTGAGATGTCCAAACAATCCACTTCCTTCACATTCTCATATGCTAGGTTAACCTGTAATAATTTAATTATATTGCAGGTATTTGTTTACCAGATCCTAAGAAACAGACATGATTTAAAAAATAAGTTACGTAAGTCCATTAATTTAAAGTCGGTTAGGCGAGCGTTGATAAATATTATAAAAAAACTTCCGCAATTGTGTAACGCAATCTGTGTGACAGGTATCAAGCGAAAATAATAAGCAAGCCGCAACTTGTTATAAGTTGGACCTCACCTTTTTAATAACTCTCGCAGAATAAACTTTATGCCCAAGAAATATTGTTACAGCTATACATGCCTTTAACCTCTCAAACCCCTGGTCGGATACGACCACAGCGGTATTCCGTCAATCCCAAGCGGTCGGATCCAACCGCATTTTAAACCATAAACACTTTTTAGAGACTTCTTTTCTATGAAGAAGTTTTCCATTATAGAATCTATATGAAATTCTCTATTTTGTAGTCGAAAGAAAAGTCAGTTACTCTATGAATTTTTATTTTTATTCTGCTGTCAATTTGCGACATTTGCCGACTATACAAAAATGGCACAATTTTAAGTTAGATTAAAAATAAAAATTCATAGAGTAACTGATTTATTTAGGCCACAGGATAGAGAATTTCGTATAGATTCTATAATGCCAAACTTCTTCATAGAAAAATAGTCTCTAAATATAATATTTATGGTTTAAAGAGCTATGGGTGGGTGTGGTCGTATGCGACGTTTAAAAACTGAAAATTCATTGAATAACTTACTTTTGTTTAGACTATAAAATAAGGAATTTTGTATAGATTCTATAATGCCAAACTTCATAGAAAAGTAGTCTCTAAATAAAAGTTTTTATGGTTTATAGTGCTGTGGGTGGGTGTGGTCGCATGCGACTGTCGGTCGGGATTTGATGGACGCATGCGACCGCTTGGGAATTTTAAAATTTTTAAGGGGTTTGAAGGGTTAACTGCTGAACACATGGATATTAATGCTTAAAATAGCATTTAACAATTTCATTAGTCTGCTGGGGTCAACCTCAGTTTTCTTGCAAATTAAGAAATTTCAAGGCGAGCTCTTATATCCTAAATTTTGCTTGGTATGACACTGATAAATACAATATTCTTTCATTTCGTTTTTTATACCGATCATTATAATATTTATATTATTACCATTACAAATAAAGGAGATGTCATACCTCGGCAATCGCATTAGCGTCAGCCGCGTCCATGGGCAGCGAGTGTGGTTGGGTAACTTCTCCTACAGCCTGCTCAGTGTTCACATTCGCTCGGGGACGTAAGACCTGTCCGTAAAATATTTCAATAAATATTGTTGTAATTATGGCGTATATAAGAGAATAATAATTCTTTTCTCGAAATACCAAACTCATTGGATGTGATTGTGGATCTCCAGGGTTGGGACCCGAGAGAAGTGTGAGGAGTTTTACCAGTGCAAGTGCATAGAACTTCCGATTATAAATAAATTAATATAGCATAATACAATGGTGTAGTTAATTTTGGTGGTTTCTTAATATAACTAGTCTGGATATATTTTAAAAAATCATATTAACAATGTTCCAAGTAAATTCCAATATATTGTTTTACCTAGGTTTAGAACCGAGGACTCCCCACCGTCAAAATAAACTTACCCGAAGCATAACAGTGCGAAGCTGTTCATGATGCCTTCGGAAGCGACGCATGTGCTCCATGCGCGCCTGAAGCCGCTTGTGGGACGGAGAAACACGCCATACCATCTTTAGATGTTCATCACGCTTCTTCTTTACGATATCACTAGGAAAAAAAAACATTATGCATTCTTATAACGGACTTACTCTTCAGTCACGTTTGTGTCTAAATGCAGTGATTAGTTCATAAGTTAAAACCTGACATTTGTTTATTAAAAATAATTACATTTATTACAAAAAAATAAAATTAATTTCCGATATCATTGAACCTGATTGAAATTTTAATAGGACCACTGATATATTGAATGAAGTATGCTAATGGTAAATAAATATTGGTTATCTAACTTCAATGATTACGAAAATTAAAAATATAAAAGTAGTCAAGGATATAATTTACAGTATATATCAGGTAATAAACTTATAAATATATAATAAATAATTTATTACTTTGCAACCCTACGCTAACCAATTACAGTGATGTGTCTTACCTGTATTGAAGAGCAACTCTCGCCCTCCCTCAATTGCATGCACTAACTCCGTCACCACTACTTCCGGCACCACTACTTCCAACACCACTATTCCAGGTAAGACACACCATCGACGACAATGCGACACGTGTTTCGCCTCTACACGAGGCATCTTCAGGTAACGTAGACTCTACGGCGACTGACCGCTAAGTGAGCGGCGAGTTTTTTTTTTTGCGCCCGAAGCAAATATGGGCAACCCTCCGGAAAGCGGGGGAGGGAGGCGGTGAATGCTCATAGCATACCACGCAGCCGGCTGCGTGGTTATGTGGAGACTTTTACCCACTAAACACCGCCTTTTAGGAAATGGCTTAACGATCTGACTAGAGATCTCTAAGCCGTATACGAACGCGACCCTCCTTGGCAGAAAGGAGGGCGCAGAGCGGCGAGCCCGAAACAGCTGCTATTTATACACGCCGACACGACCACTCCCCACCAAAGTAGCGACAGACCGCGCCGCGCGATAACAAATCTGCGACTAATTGTTATGACTAATATTTTTTAAACATTATTATTATTGTTTTTTATATTGATATTATTATAGTTATTTATTATTATTAATTTTCAATTATTATTAAAGATTAGCCTTAAAGATGTTATTATGATGATTAGCCTTTAACAAAGGTGAATTAGAAACATTTGTTTGTTCATTCAGCAGTGCATTGTTACCATTATTATTTTTTTTAATCTCCAACTGTTCCAGCACACACAGCCGCAGCCCCTTACTAACGTTGGGCTGAAAAGTTCGTATCGTTTTATAGAAAAACACATTTTTTTGGCAAAATTCGATTTTATTATTCAACATAGTTGCCATCGAGGGCGATACACCGATTATAGCGATCTTCCAACTTTTCAATACCATTTTTGTAGTACGATTTGTGTTTAGCCTCAAAATAGGCCTCTGTTTCGGCGATTACTTCCTCATCGGCTTTAAATTTCTTTCCAGCGAGCATTCTCTTGAGATCTGAGAACAGGAAAAAGTCGCTGGGGGCCAAATCTGGAGAATACGGTGGATGCGGAAGCAATTCGAAGCCCAATTCATGCAATTTTGCCATCGTTTTAATCGATTTGTGACACGGCGCATTGTCTTGATGAAACAACACTTTCTTCTTCTTCAAATGGGGCCGTTTTTTCGCGATTTCGTCCTTCAAACGCTCCAATAACGCTATATAATAGTCGCTGTTGATGGTTTTTCCCTTTCCAAGATAGTCGATGAAAATTATTCCATGTGCATCCCAAAATACGGACGCCATAACCTTACCGGCCGACTGTTGGGTTTTTCCACGCTTTGGATTCGGTTCATCGCGTGCAGTCCATTCAGATGACTGCCGACTGGACTCCGGAGTGTAGTGGTGGATCCATGCTTCATCGATTGTCACATATCGATGCAAAAATTCACTTCTATTGCGGTTGAACAGCTCCAAACATTGCTCTGAAGCATCGACACGCTCTTGTTTTTGGTCGATTGTGAGCTCGCGCGGCACCCACTTTGCACATAGATTTCGCATACCCAAATATTCATGAACGATATGTCCAACACGTTCCTTTGATATCTTTAGAGTGCCAGCTATACAAGTCAACCTCAATTTACGATCTTCCAAAATCATTTTGTGGACTTTTTTTATGTTTTCGTCCGTAACAGCCTCTTTTGGACGTCCACTGCGTTCATCGTCTTCGGTGCTCATATGGCCTGTACGGAATTTGGCAAACCACTTACGAATGGTTGCTTCGCCCGGCGCAGAGTCCGGATAACACTCATCAAGCCACTTTTTGGTATCAGCAGCACTTTTTTTCATCAAAAAATAGTGTTTCATTAAAACACGAAATTCCTTTTTATCAATTTTTTTCAAAATAACAAAAGTTGCTTCACTCAAAATGCTGTATCTCACAAACTAATAATCAGACAGCTGTCAAATTTATACACGTTTCTTTTGAAGGTTGGTACTACCTAAAAATGATATGGATTTTATTCTAGTGGCGCCATCTCATAGAGACGATACGAACTTTTCAGCCCAACCAATACAAGTAACATGCTTTTGTTTCTTTCTTTACAAAAACAAAAGCATGTTGTTCGCAACTTTTTGTACGCGGTTCGATCTCGAAGTGTCCGGCGATATGTGTGTAGGTTGACCTACTTAGGCTCCATATCGGAAAAAATAGCTAATACTCTTAGGAAAAACGGCATTAACGTGGCATTCAAAACAAACAATTCGCTTAGGAATATTTGTAATAATAAAGATAAGTTAAATATTAGTCAAAAATCGGGTGTTTATAAACTTGTTTGTGACGAATGCCACGCCGTTTACGTGGGTCAGACTGGTCGCAATTTCGGGACGCGCTATAAAGAAAGAGCATTTGGCCGCGTACAGAAATTGCAATCCTGATAAATCCCATTTTGCTAACATCTCGTGGACACTGGACACAACCTAGCCAGCGACCATTCCTTTGAAGTCTAACATACTTGTAGTAAGGGGCTGCGGCTGTGTGTGCTGGAACAGTTGTGTGGAATAATGGTATGGTAAAATGAACAGTGGAATAATGGTAACAATGCACTGCTGAATGAACAAACAAATGTTTCTAATTCACCTTTGTTAAAGGCTAATCATCATAATAACATCTTTAAGGCTAATCTTTAATAATAATTGAAAATTAATAATAATAAATAACTATAATAATATCAATATAAAAAACAATAATAATAATAATATTTAAAAATATTAGTCATAACAATTAGTCGCAGGTAATTGTTATCGCGCGGCGCGGTCACTCGCTACTTTGGTGGGGAGTGGTCGTGTCGGCGTGTATAAATAGCAGCTGTTTCGGCTCACCGCTCATTTAGAGGAAATCCTTATCCTGGCGCGTAAACTGCGCACCGCTCAGTCCCCTCAGGACCGTCTCCTTGCTCTTACTGAGCACATCAACCTACTAAGGTCTTTGTAATTAAACTATGCCGGAGCCCTCTGCTCCCGCAATATCTCACGGTCGTATCAAACCAAAGGGTTTGTCACTTGTTTCATTCGATATCCGCGGTTTGCGAAATAACCTCCCAGAGCTTAGGCTATTTCTTTGAGATCGCGAAGCCGACCTCCTCCTCCTTCAGAAGACCCACCTCAGCCCCAAGGTCTCTAAAGGCCTTTCTATTAAAAATTATTCACTTCTAAGTAACGACAGACCCGACCGCAAATGCGGCGGTACTGCCATCTATTACAAAAAGTCCCTTCATTGCTCCCACATATCTACTCCGACGCTTACCATACCGTATGGAAGCCACTATCACTAGATTAGCTATGACGACACCAGTCAATCATTATAGCCTCTTGCTATATCCCTAGCGGAACCCTCCCCGTTAAGAGTGATTTCGAAGCCATCCTTTCATTAGGCGAGTCAGTCATTATGTTTGGAGACTTTAACTTTAAGCATACTGAATGGACCTGTCGCACTACTAACAGTAGTGGCAGGCTGCTGCTCAATATCACTCAGTCTCTCGACCTGACTGTCTACAGCCCACTCGCTGCCACCCACTATCCCGACATTGTTAACTACGCTCCTGACGTGCTAGATTTTGCTCTAGTTAAAGGAGTGTCCCTTACCTTACCTTAGAGCAATCGAGTCTCTCGATGATCTAGGATCCGACCACCGTCCTGTATCCCTCCTTCTTGGCCATCAGCCATCTCCAATTCCCACTTCCAAAACCTACACTAACTGGAAGGGCTTCAAGAAGTCTCTAGCCTCAGCTATAGACTCTCAGGACCCTCCAATAACCCTTTCTTTCGACGCCCTCGACAGTACGGGGAAAATAGACACCGCGGTCGAAAATCTCACCTCACTTATAACATCCTCTCTTAAAGAGAATGAAAAAGTTGTCCCGGTTGCTAAAACTAGTCTTCCCCTAGATATTAGCAACCTGATAAAGCCAAAAAAGCTGCCCTCCGTAGAGCTGCACGCTATCCCACTCACGAATATAGACTCGCGGCCCACCGCCTTCAACGCAAACTCCGTTACCGCCTCCAAGATTACAGAGACCACGAAAGGGGCAATCTCATGGAGAAAATCTCTCCCTCCCACACAGCGTACTACCAGATGGCGAGAGCCCTCCGGATAGACGCTATAACGCATACTCCCCCTCTGTCTCGTCCCGACGGCTCCATTGCCTTCGAGGACGAAGAAAAGGCTGAGTGCTTCGCTGACAGCGTCGCCGCTCAATGCTCTCTTAGCTCACAACCCACTGACCCCATACACATCCAACTAGAGGACGAGGTCCGTCGCAGGAACTCGCCCCCTACCGCCTCTGACCCTATCACTGTGTCCAAAGATGAGATTTCATCCACCATCAAAGGACTTAAGCCCAAAAAAGCACCGGGTGCGGATGGTATCTCCAACCAAGCCCTCAAACACTTCCCGGAGCAGGTAATCATTATTTTTAACGCCTGCTTCGAATTCAGTTACTTTCCCACCTCTTGAAAGAGGCAACTGTCATTGGCATTCCAAAGCCAGGCAAACCTCACCACCTCCCCTCCAATCACCGTTGCATCAGCCTCCTTAAGGGCATGGGCAAACTTTTCGAACGAGTTATTCTCGTGCGCTTGAGGCGCCATTTGTTTCCCACAGACGGCGACCCTCTTGTCATCCCACAACAATTCGGGTTTCGAGCCAAACACTCGTGCCCCCAGCAAGTTCACCGCATAGTGGAATACATCCTCAGCGGTTTTTATCCTCGTCGTCAAAAAACCATCGCGGTCTTCTTTGACATTGCCAAGGCATTCGACAGAGTCTGGCACGAGGGCCTTATCTACAAACTGTACGACTTAGGCCTCCCGGACCGTCTCGTTCGCCTTGTAGCCTCCTATCTGAATGATCGTACCTTTCGCTTTAGACATGAAGGCACGCTATCCTCTACTCGTCAAATAAAAGCCTTTGTCCCTCAAGGCTCTGTGCTTGCTCCCCTCCTATATATACTATTCACCAATGACATCCCTATCCCGTCGAATGGTGTTAAACTAGCCCTCTTTGCAGATGACACAGCCCTTTACTCTAAAGGCAACTCACTACCACAGATTCAAAACAAGATCCAAAAGTCAGTAAGCGACTTAGGAGCTTGGTTCCAAAAATGGCGTATCGACGTAAACCCGGAGAAAAGCTCCGCCGTTTGCTTCGAATATAAACGACGTCGTCTCACCACCACTCCGCCAATCAGGATGTTAGGAACCCCTGTCCCATGGCAAACTAAAGCCAAATACTTAGGCGTCACCCTTGATGCAAGGCTCACTTTCGAGCCCCATATCAAGAAGGTTACTCGCACCGCACGATTTTACAAGGGTAGGCTCAACAGCATGTTTGCCAGACACAGTAAAATGTCCCTCCGCAACAAGCGAACCCTATATAAGGTCTGCATACGACCTGTCATGACCTACGCGGCCCCCATTTTCGCACATGCTAAGCCCAAAGCTATAAATGAACATCAAATAGTCCAAAATCTATTCTGTCGTAGGGCCACTAACTCGCCCTATTATGTCCGTAATGCCGACCTACATTGAGACTTAGAGCTCCCAACAATCCAGCAGTTCCTTAAATCACTCTCTGAGAGATTTTTCAAAGCCTCAGAGTCCCACCCAAATCATCTCATTCGTGAAACAGCTGCCTATGCAGCCCTCTCAGAAACTCTCTCTCGGACCCCCCCCAACAAGCTTTCGGCTGACCTGAACTGCTTCCTGGCGGCTCAGGCCGAGCCTACATAACACATCCCTTAATCTGCCTTAGTTAGGCACTCTTCTATGCGGCTTTTCGCCGCTTGCGCCCTCCTTTCTGCCAAGGAGGGTCGCGTTCGTATACGGCTTAGAGATCTCTAGTCAGATCGTTAAGCCAGTTCCTAAAAGGTTGGGTTTAGTGGGTAAAAGTCCCCACATAACCACGCAGCCGGCTGCGTGGTTTGCTATGAGCATTCCCAACCTCCCTCCCCCGCTTTCCGGAGGGTTGCCCATATTTGCTTCGGGCGCAAAAAAAAAAAAAAAAAAACTCGCCGCTCACTTAGCGGTCAGTCGCCGTAGAGTCTACATTACCTGAAGATGCCTCGTGTAGAGGCGAAACACGTGTCGTATTGTTTTCGATGGTGTGTCTTACCTGGAATAGTGGTGTTGGAAGTAGTGGTGACGGGATTAGTGCATACAATTGAGGGAGGGCGGGAGGTACTCTTCAATCCAGGTAAGACACATCACTGTAATTGGTTAGCGGAAGGTTGCAAAGCAATAAATTATTTATTATAATGGATTTCCGCAAAGTAACTCCTGATTCTATCAATTATCTTATAAATATATGTGTACCAGCGATCCACCCAGGCTTTGCATGGGTGATTTCTGGATCTCGACAACAGTGACACCTACCAGGTCCACAGGTACACACAAAAATTTATCAAAATCGCTCGAACCATCTTCAAATTTTTGCGAGATTAATGGACAGTAATTGATTTTTATATAGGTATAGAGAATATGTAAATATGATATCGCTTGTTAATTGTGTATAAATTATCTTACCGTAGAAGCCCTTGCAGTTTTTCATATTCATCATCCCAGCAAGAGAAAACTTCAAAACACTGTGTCATGACTCGTTCAAAGTCTTCAAAAGGTATGTGCATCAGGCGTCTAGTACCCAAAACCTGAAATTTTTTTATACTAATTACTGTTTAAAGTCATTCAAAAGTTACTAAACATTAAATTTATTGCTAGGAAAACTGAAACAGGAGATGGCAGCAGCAAGCAATCTGCCAGCCTAGCGTGGCAACTATGGTACGTGGCAAATATGCCCTTCCTCAGGCATTGGAGAGGACTATGTTAAGCTATGGACTTTTGATAGGCCATAATTAATAAATGATTAATTAAAAAAAGCAATTTCATATTCTTGCACAATTTTTACTTACCTTTAAAAGTTGTTGTCCCAAATCGCGAGATATGGCTTCGACTAGTCTCAAACCACGTTGAATGGGGTATTTAGTGGATCGGATTTTGCGAAGATGTGAAAATATTTGTTGCACTGCCAACCTTCGAATTGTAAAAGAACAACATTTTAAATTCAATAAAAAAAGAATTATGATACTTTCTAAAATAAATGCTTATATAGCATTTCGCAACGCTTTTAACCCTTCAATCCCCATAAAATTCCCATGCAGTCGCATGCGCCTGTCAAATCCCGAGAGGTCGCATGCGACCGCACCCACCCACAGCACTTAAAACCATTAAAGCTTATATTTAGAGACTATTTTGCTATGAAGAAGTTTGGCATTATAAAATCTATACAAAATTCTCTATCCTGTGGTCTAAACAAAAGTCAGGTTTTACTTCATTACAAAAAGGTTTTATTATATTTTGATAACAAAAAAATATACCAAGTGGATGTCGGCAGCGTGAAAATCACATTTATTTCAATATATATTACTCGAAATTATTTACGTAAAAAGATAAATATTATTCACACAAAAACTTTCGTTACAATTTTATAATAAAACACTATACTAAAACATTAATAAAACACTAGAAAAATCCAAAAATCAACACAATAACATTTACACGAAAATGGCGTACGAAAAGAACGTAGATTATAAATCTAAATAAATCCATAGACTACCTAACTTTTTATTCCACTAGTAGATAGAAAATTGATTCTATAATGCCAAACTTCTTCATAGAAAAGTAGTCTCTAAACATAAGTATTCCTTATGGGTTAAAGTGCTGTGGGTGGGTGCGGTCAAATTTGACCTCTTGAATTTTGATGGAATATCGAAGCGGTCAAATTTGGTCTCATGTAGAGGACAATATTTTTTTAAAAACTAACTTACCTGATTCTCTCGAGTTCAGTGGCACTAAGCAGATCATTGATAGGAAAGTCTTTCATGAGTGGATTATAGTCAGAGACAGTAGCTAGTGCTTGTTTTAGTCCAGTGTCAGTATCAAATGAGACAGTGGCATGGAAACGTTTACCATATTTCAGTATGTCTAATGTTAAAGCAACCTGCAAAAAATAATAATGTTTTCATAAGAATTGTTGTATTTACAGATTCTTGAAATTTAAAACATGTTACAAACCACACCATGGGTGACTAAACTTTTCCTGAAAAACTTTATTTATTTATTAATGTTTACAGGGATGTCATGCTAATTAGATAATCTAAGAAATTAATAAAACATTATCTAAACACAAAAATCCATCCAAACTGTTATAGCTGTTTCAGAGAAACCAATTACATATATACAAATATGTACACATATAGACATATATGCATTTTGATTCTTAATTGAGGATAGATGTAGATATCTACGGGCCACAGCATCCACTTTTTATACGAGGGGGGGGGGGGCAAACAAGCACACGGCTCACCTGATGGTAAGTTATTACCGTCTTCAATGAACAACTGCAACACCAGGGGAATTGCAGATGCGTTGCCGGCCTTTTTTAAAAGAGTTGGCACTTTTCTTGAAGGTCTCTAAGTCATATCGGTATATACTTACCATCAGTTGGACTGTGAGCTAGTTTGTCACTCCCATTTTATACAAATAAATAACAATATATAAGTATTAAGATAGGAAGACTAAAAATAGCTTACTACTTTAAATATCTTACTGTTCCATGAATGTTTTTAATGTGAAGTAGTTAGAATATTCTAATTAGACAGACAACTTTTTATCACTAGCAAATGCCTTTGACTTCGCTCGCATGATTTAATGTAATTTTTGTAGTATCCTATATACATTGCGGAGATAATCGGTGCATAGCAAACACAAGCAATTAGTACTACGGTACTCAAGTGTTCATGGATATTGTAGTAGACCCCTGCTTTATAAGTCATCTCATTATTTAAAATAATCGTAGGGCAAATTTACCCGCTTTTAATGCTTTTATTCTTAAATTACCTAATTAATAAAAGAAGGATCATTATAACCAGTTCCACCATTTCTGAGAAATCAGTAAAAATAAATAAAAAAATCTATCTTCTACATCTCGGTTTTATAACTCAGTAAAAAAAATATTATGATGTTTATTTAGCATAAAAACAACGATATAAAGCCAAACATTTTCTTTTCAGTACTGACAAAGTAAAAACACAAAAAAAACCAACCTCAATACTTTCTCGTTTTTCTTGAATACGATGAAGTGCACGCTCTAGATTGAGCCAAAAAGATATTTCTTGTAAAGCTGTACCATTTGATGGGTCACGGTCAAGTTTGGTGACCTAAAATAAACAAAATTATGTTGTAAGTACTTGAAATACATGAATATTGTATGTATGTATTGTTGTAATACATGAATATTACACAACAAAAGATGAATACTTTACTTTTTGTATTTCTTTAATCCAGCGGTTGACTCCATTTTGTAGTTGGTTCAAGAATGTTGAGTCTTCCACTTTATCGCCAAAATCAGCGACACGCGGCTTTCGACCTTCATCAGCAGCTCTGAAAAATGGTTATAAGTTATTTTTTAAATGTAAAAAAAATATTAAAGCAGATTAAAATTATCATACTTAAAATATTATTGAAATTATTTACAGTATAACATATTACTTTTAATATAGCACTATGTAAGGAAAGGAGTAAGTAATTATTCCATAGAATAGAATATATTTGTTCTTAAATAGATTACAAATAATTCTTATTGGAAGTATTTTTTTTACTTTTACCACTAGTTAGGAAAAAACCTCTGTCTCAGGGTTCTCCCAGAATCTCTGGCTTTTTTTAAGTAATTTGAAACAATAAAACACAAGTATGTTTTATACTAAAAGGAAACAGATAAGAAGCGAGGGGTTGTGCTCCACCATTCACTCATATTATTATAACCCCTTTTATGCTATTTTTGTTTTGTAAATAATTTCATCTTAGTAATAGTTGGAGATCTTGTATATTTTCCAGACATTGCTATTTAAGCATATACATTGCACCATGAATGAAGTACTATTGTGGAGTTGAGTTGAGAGAACTGCTGGTATCACCAGCTTGTGTTAATTAATTATTAATACATCAGTTTTTTTATTAAAATTACTTTTGTTTTAGTAAGCATACATTAAATTTTCCATGAATTTCCCCAAGCCTAAATCCTATAAGACATGAAGCTATTAAAATAATTGAAATAAACAAATCTAGCTGTCCCAACACTGGTGACACTTCTTATCTTACCATCATAAGCTGCAGAGCATAGTCTGCCTGCTAGTTTATATACAGGGTTATTTTGTAATATAACCTAATTTGCTGAGAAAGTTTAGAATAATATTAGCAAATAATAAAGAAAAATTAATTAAAAAAATTAAAAAAAAATCTGTTCTTTATCTTATAAATTCAGAATGCGTGGCAGTGCATTATTTTAAATAATTGTCATTCATAAATATCTAACGCCTACTATTTTACTACGTACGCACGCACACTTACGTAAAAGTAGCTCTTTCGGAAAAAACTTGAATTAAATCATACATAGATGAGCTCGCGTACGCATAGTTTTGTCCATAAATCACATTTAATTTGGGATGATTTCAATAAAAATTGGAAGTCTTATTTAATCGTATTTTCAAAAACTGCAATAACGGTATATATCACTATTTATTTGAACTTAAATATAAAATTTGGATACTCTTCATAAAATAGCCCTGTATATTGGGGCTTACTGAAGTTTCAAGTCTAGAGTAATGCCAAGAAAAACAGTGGAATCGATAAGGTTCAATTCTTCACCATTTAAAAACACATTGCCTTAAAATTTAAATTGTTAATGTAATCATTTTGTGTTTAAACGATTGCTGTTAAAGTTTAAAAATCTATCAGGCATCATCAGCAAGTAATACTTATCATGGTTATCACCCACAAGGTAAGACAAACACTAACATATACTAGGCCACCTGGAAGGGCTTTAACCATTCATAGTAACTTTCTGCATTCGAATACTTCAATACGAAAAAACAAGTTTAAGTGTTCACAAATTCTTTACATTATAATGCTGTAACTAATTAATGAACAATGGTGAACACAGTTGAAGAACTAGGGAAGAACACTAAATTTGTTCATCGAAACCACTCGCACTGAACAACAACATTATGGACACATGGTAAAATTAAAAATTTTGTACAACCGACTAAAGATTTCAATATAAATAAAATGAAAATATCATCACAATGTAGTAGTGCACTTAATATGCACATGAGAAGCACCAGCTTTCAAATAAAAAAATCATCAAAATCAGTTCACCTAGAAAAAAGTTATGAGGTAACCACACATAAAAAATACAGTCGAATTGAGAAACTTTTTTTGAAAATGTCGAACCGTCAACATCTATTACGAGATATGTACTATTCGCGATGAAACAGACTTATAATATTGTGTTGAGTATTAACAGTTTGTGCCTCCATGTAAAAAGCGATCCATGACATCAAAAGAATTTACTTTTGTTTATTACTTGTTTCTTGACTTAGACTTCACTTATTTGAGATAGGATCATGGATCTAGGTAAAAACAGCAGTTAGCTATATCATTTTTTATATAGACACAAAAAAACAGAAAAAAAAGACAGTTAGTGAGTCATACAAAGGTTACTACATTACATATTACATAATATATTAAAATTTCTTCCAGTAGTGTGCATCTAAATCAAATCAACAAGACATATATTGGTCGTTTATTATTAAAGGTGTTAAAAAATGAGACACGCTTGTACACCAAAAGTGCGTTGCATTGCATGCTTTGCTTATGATACATAGCAATTTCATCACTATTAACATAAAATTGTGGACTTGTGTTAATTGTAAATATTATGATAATGTAGTTAAGTGTCTTCCAAAAATAGCATACATGACAACGCTCAAGTATGAATTTGAACATTGTTAGTAGCAAATGGTGGTCATCATGACTATTTGAGAAAAATCAATATATTTTGCAAAAATACCGAAAATGGCTTTGGACCAGCATGTTACATTTTCCTAACCCACAACACTTGTAGATGCTTACTTCTAAACTACCTTAGCCTTACCAATGTGCCCAGCAGCAGCATGTTAAGGTAGGCTGCGACTATATTTTTAACAAGAAACAAATAAATTACTTACTTATAAACAATTAGTAATTATTAAAATATTTACTTTTTTATAACAGCAGCAACTAATGGATGGACAGGCAGAGTGATCTCAGGAATATCAATGTTCTGTTGGAGATGCAGCAGCCCCATCTCTAACTCTGCAATTTTTTTCTCCACCGACGGCGCCATTTTGTCACCATCCCTTAACGAAATAATAAGAGATTTACTTTCAGAATTTTAAATGCAATATATCAACGGATTTTTTATTTATTATTGCCAAAATAATTATTTTTAGATTAACTGTTATAATTTTTATCATTTTTTTATTTTATTTACATTATTTTACTCCATATACATGGTAGGGCCAAGCTGCACTATTATTTTGGTTTCAGTAAGAATAGGTCAGCTTGACCAGGGTAGGATCATACTCTCAAAGAATGCCATTGTGAAACAGTTTAATTCTGCTGCGTTTCGTATAATAAATGTAGAGAAACAAGGCATGCCTTCTTAGTCTTCCAGGGTGACAACGCATCTGCAATTTGATTCTTAATCAAGGATAGGTACTTGTCTATGGGCACATCCACTTATCATCAGGTGGACTGTATGCTTATGTATCGTTCCTATTAACTATAAAAATATAGTTAATGTAATGTAATGTTTAGAGCCGTAGCGTGGTAGAGCCACGCTACAGATATATTATGGTTGTGGCCCGAATGAGTCAGCTCGACCAGGTAGGACCATAATCTCGAAGAATACCAGTGTAAAATAGCAGCTTAATGTTTCTGTGTTTCTTATGATGAGTGTGGAGAACTTTTTACTGGAAATGAGGCACTGCATCTTAGTTCTCAGGAGTGACAATACATCTGCATTTCAATTCTTAATTGTAGATATCTATGGGTCACAGCATCCACTTACTATCAGGTGAACTGTGTGCTTGTTTCTAGCTGTTATACTATAAAAAACATAGATATAAAATTTACAGTAACTAGAAACTTACATATTTATTACACATATCTCAACTTACAATAAAATAACATAAAATGTAGTCATTTGGAGCCTGTTTTAGTAAATTTTATTATTATATGGAAAAAATTACACTACCTGTCAGCTCTGCCACTTTCTTTAACATAGCTCTTGAAAAATGGCGCCATAGTTTTGCTGATGAAAGCATGTAAGGTCTCATATGGTGAGCCATCAGAGAGATTGATGAGGCGTAATTGACTATGTATGGATTTATCAGCCTCAATCACAGCTCCTCGTTTAATGCAGACAAATGCTGCCACTCGTGGTGATGTGAAATGCACCTAAATAATATATTACATAAATGTTAATAATACAATTTTGAAAATAAAGTGAATTTTGCAAATATATTTTGTTTCTACAATTTTCACTTATATTTAAAATAATGGCAATTTTATACTTTCGCGGTCTCCTTGTTTTTTGGCTCTAGAAAATCGAAAATAGATCCGATTTCGATGATTTTTTTTAAATCTTCGTTTTCATGGTGGATTAATGAATGCTACCGGCCATCCCTGGAACTTCCCGCTAATTTTAAATACAAAGCGCTCCAAATTTCACGATTGCGATTGCGAAATCTCGAAGTTATGTTATAAAAAAAAAACATTTTTTTCGAATTCTTTCTCCTTCAATATCTCACGAACGAATGAACTGATTTTTATTTTACAAATGGCATCATTCGACGTCATTTTTTGAGATTAAGAGCTGATTAGTTTTTGAAATCGATCGGTAAAACCGTTTAAAAGTATAAACCAAAAACACAGTAATGTTCATTTATTAAGTTTTTAGCGAAGCGCGCTCGGGACATACGGCATCCCGATTCGGACAGGTTAGGTTAGAAGTTGGTGCTGAGGTCCCGCGAAGCAGGGCTCCGTCTCCCGGGATTCCCTCGACTGTGCTATGTCGAGTGGCGTGGTGCTTCCTTCTCCCAACTCTCTCCATATAACAACTTCATTCGATTATTTGTAAAAAAGTAACCAACAATTATAAGTGAATGAGTGCATTTTCGTGAACATTTAAAGCCCTGAAACCAGTATGTTTCCATTTTTTTATTCCTGTAATTTTTTTGGTAAAAATGAAGATTTAAAAAAATCATCGAAATCGGATGATTTTTCGATTTTCTAGAACCAAAAAACGAGGGGACCGCGATAGTATAAAATTACCAAAATAATTACTTTAACAATACAAAGGACACTCAATAATTTTTGAGATACACAAAAAGTATTCTAGATACTATTAATATTTATTTCACATTATATACATTTTAAGTGATAACGTCGTAGTATGAGTGCAAGACAAAAATTTTGAAGCATTTATTCAGAAAAATATTAAATAAATGATAACCATTATATGCAGTAGAGCCATGCTGCAGTTATATTACTAGTATAGTTGTAGCACGAATGGGTCGGCTCGACTGGGGAAGGACCACACTCTCACAGAATACCAGCGTATGATAGTAGCTTAATGCTGCTGTGTTTCGTATGGTGAGTGTTGAGAACCAGAGACCCTTTTCACTGGAAACGGGCCATTCCATTTTAGTCCTCACGGGTGACAACGCATCTGCATTTTGGAGGATTAGGATTAGGATTGAGGATAGATGTAGGTGCCTATGGGCCACAGCAACCACTTACCATCAGGTAGACTGTGTGCTCGTTTGTCACCCAATCCTATAAAAAAATCATCTTTTCAAAATATTCTCCATCATGCTCTATACAAAGTTCCATTAGCCTAAACCAACTCTTTGAAAACACTTTTGCCAGTCTTGATCCGACAGGTCAGAAATTGCTTTTTCGTAGGCAGCCACGGCTTCTTCAGAGCTTGTAAAAAACTTGCCTTTTATTTTGTCTTTGACTCTTGGGAACAAAAAGATATCACAAGGAGCTAAGTCAGGGCTGTAGGGTGGGTGACTAAGAGTTTCAACACGAGATTCCTCAATAAATGTTTTTGTTCTAAGGAAGGTATGTGAAAGAGGCATTATTGTGATGCAGCATGATTTCCCGAAGCCTGGTCTATATAGTCTTCTCTCCCGCACAGCTTGAAAAGTTAGTTACTACTGAGAATCCATTTGTGGCTCCAGATGGGACTTACACACAAAGGATTGAGTCACAATGGAGAGCCATGAAGCGTTTAAAAAAAGATAATTACAATAAGCTAGAGAATTTTGGTAATGCAATAGTGGAGTACTTGTGGAGGCGGAACATCATGAAATACAATAAAGGTCCATTTTTGTAAATGGTGGAAGTGATAAAATATCTTTACTTATTAAAGTATAGAAATAAGTATAGAATAACTTACAACAACTTAACCGGCGTAACAAAGTGTAGCATGTATGAACACTGGCAACTGGCAACCATTGATCCTAGTGAATGCAAGCTATTGACTACTCTATTACAGTCAGTATTTACTTCATATTAACTGGCATAAATACTTATAAATATTGATAGATTTTCAAGAAGTAGATAAAATATGTATATAGGAGATCATTTATATTACAATATAGCAGATCTATAAGAATGTTGAGCAAAACCCAAAGCTTTATGTCAGAACTTTGTTTTAACATTGAAATATCATGCATTTAGCATAACATTTTGCTGATTATGCAATCTTAACGAAATAGGGAATTTTGACTAATAAAGAAACTTAAGACTTTGTATAAGAAACATTGAAAATGTGTTTATAAAGCTGTGTAAAGAATCTGTTTACATATTAAGGTAGTTATAAAAGTTTATATTATGGTGCATGCTAACCTAGCTCAGAACTTGGGGCCCTCTATCTCGGACAGGTTAGGTTAGAAGGGAATTGTTGGCTTAGTTACTTGACCCTGCCATCTCGTTTGTGGTTATTTTTTCTAAACCACTCAGAAATAGGAGCCCCGCATAGCAGAGCTATGTCGACTACACTTTAGTAGCTGGACCTCCCCCCCGCCTCCTTATTAAAGCGATTTCTCACAGAAATCATTCAATATAAATTTTAATCATTAATATTCAACATAACTATGCAACCGGGGGGGAAAAGTGGGGGTAGAATCTAGATAACTAATACTTTACTCTGTAAGATCTCATGACTTCAGATGACAATATTTACTTCTAATTTATGTCAGATGTAGAACAACCAAACTAGGAGTAGCATTGATGGTGTGAAAGGTCTTGTACTGCAATTGCCAATAAATCTGCCAAATTTGGAAACCGAGGGGCTTTTAAGGGTTAGACTAGTATGTCACAGAAGCAAATCTTCATACATCATACAAATAGGCACAACTACAAAGCAAGGTGGAATGAGGGTAACATCTCGTTGATAAGTTGAGTAAAATGGTTTAATTTCAACTTGGACAGTTGACAACCTCAGTATGTTCACAACACACTGAATTTGTGTTTCACTGACTTTTATTATTTAAAGAAGTACAACAAGGACATAAGACAATATTGGTCTTACATCTTTGTCGTACTTATACAAATTTCTATATGCTGTCCAGCTTTCACAGTAATATTGCATATGTTTTTACACATTTTAGGTTTTAATAGTTGTTTCTTATTCTCTCAAAAATGGTGCATTACCAAGTAATGCAAGTAGTATTGTTATAATCGGTGACCAAACCTCTACTAAATAAAATACCTTACTCCACTGAATTCCTGCTGAACAATTTTAAATCCAACCCAATTAAGGAAGCCAATAGAACAAGTGGATCAGAACTGTGCTTTGTGGCATTCCATGGGGGAGGCCTATATTCAGCAGTGGACTTGTGAAGGGCCGTAATTATGATGATAATGAATATAATCCTTGTAGTTCTACTTATCCATTTGTAGATGATCTAGAAAATCAGTATGACAGATCCTTTACCTATCTTCACGTGAAAATCTTTTTGAAATAGTTGCAAATTTTGTGCAACTTAGGAACTTTGTTCCTTTGGGGTGTATACTCATGTGAGCAGTGGGACCAATAGGCAGTTGCCTAATTTGCTATTGGGTTAATCCAGTCTCGGTTGTATTAACATAATTATAAAATAGTCATACAATAAGTAGGACGGATGCCATACGTCTTGTAACATTATACTCTATGTAACTTTAATTTTGTAGCATTGATTTACATTAAAATAAAAAAGTGATATTTAAGTATAAAAGCTTTGAACATATTGTAATTTATAAGTCATTGTAGTTCCGTACTGTGGTATTAACAATAATATACATTTAATATAAAATAGCTTCTGAGCAACTTTTAAATATTAATAATTAATAGTAGTAAGTCTCAACAAAGACTAACCATGGGCAGGACAGGATTATTGGTTATGAGAGTGTGTGCAAGCACAGATGCATCTTACAAACCTCATTGCTGATTTGATAGTTGACAGCTTCCTTTTCTTCTTCACCTTCTGTTGGTTGTTCACTGTCATCATCTGTTTCGAAAAGATGAATTATGTGAGATTTTAATGTGCTTAATAATTGGAAACATTGAAAAACAAATATAAGTTAATCGAAAAAAATGCGCTAATAAGAGATGGACAATAAATAATACAAACCTTTTAACGAAAATCGCTGGACGTATAATGATGACACTTGAGGATCAGATATGAACTTTCTAATACAATCTTGATTCACTTTATCTTCTAGAGCAACGTTCAACGCCGGCGGAACGATGTCATCTTCAGGTAGGAGTACCGTTGCAGCTCTCCGAAGGTAATTTGCAAAATCTTGAAATTCAACAACCACGACATTTTGGGCCTCAGAGGCATTTTCGCTCCCATCTAGGGAGTCACCCATAGCTTTTCAGGATGAGAAAGAAATCTAGAAAGAATATGAATATGAAATATTAATTAAAATTTTATTCCGCCCGCAGTAAAACTTCGCAGCCGGAACGAATATTGACAAGTAGGGTGGGGATAGAAAGTTTTGATAGATGGTGACGCATCACACAATGGGTGCGTTTGGCAGAAAAAAGCGCTAGCAAGCGCTTGTAAGCAAAATAAACAGTTTTCGGCCAGGACACGTTTGCTAACTTCAGTAGCGCTGACACAATTCGCCATTTTGCTTATTATTTATTTTATTTGTTTTGAAGTAGAGTTTATAAGTTGTTTTGTGCAATATTAGTTTTAAGTAATATAATGACATAAATAAACATATTATACATGTTATTAAAAATTCATGATTGGTAAGTTTTTAGTATGGATACTTTACAAACATATATTTAAATTAGGTTAGGTTCCCCGGTTAAAACTAACTTCGTGTCCTAGAGGAAAATAGCTACTTACGATTTGACAGCGCTTTCCGCTTACGATCGCCATTTTGCTTACAAGCGCTTGCTAGCGCTTTTTTCTGCCAAACGCACCCAATGTTACCTATAACAAATAAATAAAGGTAAAAAATCAATAAAATCCCAATGTATTCTTTCTAGGTCTTTCAGTCTTTCTAATAAAAATACCACAATGGTGTCTTTTTGTTACTTTGTATTGGAAATTTCTAGTATAGGGCTTTTGTATTTAATTGTAGAGTTACGTTAAAAATAAAAAAAAATACTAGAGGGAGTATTTGATATGAAAATCTATTACTTATAATATTCGCCAAACTAATAGATTATACTATAAAATAATCAACTTCTTTGTTCTGCGTAGATTTGAATTCTGTAAGATTTCTAAGACATAGATGTGACCATTGATACTATCCTCTGTTTTTGAAAAATGTTAATTTTGTAGGCTAATTACGTACACCGATTTGAAAATCGATAATTAATAAATCATGTAATGCATCGATGTATAATAATCGATTCTGTGCAACACTTATACCATAGGTATAGTATACATACGTAATTATACACCATGAAGGTTAGAGAACAGGAGAACGATCACTACGTACTAAAGCATAGCCCGCCTGTCCTTGAAAATTGTAGAATACATAGTGGCGCTGACGTCGGTGAGTAGAGACTGCGAAGTTAGCTGTTTACATTGACTTATATATTACTAGGCTGTTTATGAGTTCAATGTATTAGGAGAATATTGTACAAATTTTCATTTCATTTTTTTCGTAGAAAATTTTCATGCTCCGTAATTTTTGACAAAAAGAAACATTAAAAAATGTAGAAATATTTTGTTGTGCGTGGATGTGCAAGTGGTTGAGCATCTGATCGGAAAAATAGACTGAAAATGACTTTTATTGACTGCACTTAGTGATCGCAGCGCCTCACTGATGGTGTCCATATTTCTGGGACACTATTTTCTACGGCGATCGTTCTCCTGTTCTCTAACCTTCATGCTATATACCATAGAATACTATAATACACAATTTTATATGTATCATAGTATTCTATGTTATATACTAAATCTATGACTTAAACATATTTTTCTATTTGAGATTCGAGTTCTTTAATCTGTCAAGTCCTGCCGAATGCCGATGACTGACGTCAAGTTTATTGGTGTGACAGCATTATGTCTGCTCAGTATAAGTAGCTACTACGTGCAATTTATGGTTTTTATCATGAGGATCCCATATTACCCGCTCAATTTCATAAAGTTCTAAAAATTTAATTGTTTTGTCATTACTAAATATCATTAAAACACAGGACAGATTACTTAATAAACGAATTGCCGTTTTAAACGTAACACGTTCTTTCTCGGTCGAACTTCGGTGGCAAGTGAGCGAGAATTTAAACAATTGCTCCCAATCGCGCTGCCCGTCCTTTAACTTCCTCGCGAAAAACCGACAATCGAGGAAGCTGAGCGCTGAGCAGTAGCAGCACCGAGCAGTATTTACATATACGCGCAGCTCACTTACCTGTCCAACAAGGCTGAGTGTAAATGGAGCAATCTAAGAGTATAATATTTAGAATTAGAAGGGACTCCTCAGAACCACAGAGTACATTACATTTCTCGGAACCAAAGGTAGAATGCTCTGAACGTAGACAGCATAGACTTAGAATGTACTGGCGTATTCTGAGTCTATGGTAGACAGAGAATACTATAGACAGCGGTAAAGCGTGTCGCAAAAAGATACAAAAAAATATGCCACTATATTTAGGGTTACAAGTGTAAAAAAAATTATCCCACAACTAGTCATAAAATTAGTATGTAAAGAAAGTCTGAAAAGGGACACTGCTATTACCGTTTATCATCGATAGGTTCTCGATCTCTTCTGTCGTAGGGCCACGTTCTCGCCCTATTATGTCCGTAACGCCGACCTCCACAGAGAATTAGAGCTCCCAACAATTCAGCAGTTACTCAAATCACTCTCTGAGAGATTTTTCAAAGCCTCAGAGTCCCACTCAAATCGCCTCATTCATGAGACAGCTGCCTATGCAGCCCCTCTTTTCACACTCGTTATAGTGTGCGAGGACCGAAAAACTCTCTCTCGGACCCCCCTGCTGACTGACCTCTCGGCTGACCGGAACTGCCTCCTGGCGGCTCAAGCCGAGCCTACTTAACACATCCCTTAACCTGCCTTAGTTAGGAACACTTCTAAGCGGCTTTTCGCCGCTTGCGCCCTCCTTTCTGCTAAGGAGGGTAGCGTCCTTTTACAGCTTAAAGATCTCTCGTCAGATCGGTAAGCCAATCTCTAAAGGTGGTGTTTAGTGGGTAAAAGCCTCTACACAACCTCGCAGCCGGCTGCGTGGTACGCTTTGAGCATTCACCGCCTCCCTACCCCGCTTTCCGGAGGGTTGCCCTTATTGCTTCGGGCGCAAAAAAAGCATGCGATGCGGAGGAGAACGCAAGCTATCAAACTCAAATCAATTGCGATGAGGGCAGGAGGGTAAGGATCGATGATGATGATGTGGTTCTAAATAACTGCCGGTTTTTACGTTCTGGCTTCGCGAGTAAATAATACAAAACGTTTATATTAATAATAAGATTTTATTGATTATTATTCTTTAAACAAAACAGGCTTCGTATAAAGGTTCTAAGTTTTGGCTTGGGTTCAAATGCTTTTCTATCGTGATGTATACCATGATCATACAAAGCTACCCCATAGTTCACCAGATCCACACATTTTGTTCCATTCCATTGGATTTGCCTCCTTATAGCCATCTCATCTATGCTTACTCGTCGACGGCAGTAGGTTACCGAAAATTAAATTTAAAGTTCTTGGTACTTTAAACCCTGAACGAGATTCAAGTTTTTTTTGGTGTTTTGCATGTTTTAAATTTCTAGTTGTTTGTAATATTATGTGGGTTGAATACTTATTTAATTTAATTATATAATAGGATATAACATACATAAACACTCACGCCTGTCACCCAGAGGGGTAGGCAGAGACTACAGACTTCCATTTGGCACGATCCTGACACACCTCTCTCGCCTCCATCACATCCATACACCTACGCATGCATGCTCGTCGGTTAAGGGTACTCCTAATTTGGCCCGTTTTCAATAAATCGCCAATTTGGTCGATAAATTTTTTTTTTTTTTTTATAGAATAGGGTGACAAACGAGCACACAGTCCACCTGATGGTAAGTGGTTGCTGCGGCCCATAGACATCTACATCTATGCTCCATTAAATATCAAAATGCAGATGCGTTGTCATCCGTGAGGACTGAGATGGAATGCCTCGTTTCCAGTAAAAAGGGTCTCCGGTTCTCTACACTCACCATACGAAATACAGCAGCATTAAGCTACTATTTCACGCTGGTATTCTGTGAGAGCGTGGTCCTTCCCCGGTCGAGCCGACCCATTCTTGCTACAACTATACTACTAATATAACTGCAGCATGGCTCTACCACGTAAAATTTTCGCCTAGGACGTCCCTTTCCGACTCTGCCATTCACTTCTGCAACATAAATTTTCTTTGTCACTCTTTCCTCATCCATTCTTTCCACATGACCAAACCACCGAAGCATTCCTTTCTTAATCCTGGTCACAACATCATCTTGCAAACCACACTCTTCTCTTATCACACAATTTTTCACCCTGTCATTCAGATTCAGCCCTAACATACTCCTTAACGACCGCATTTCTACTGCATTTATTCTACTCTCGTGCTTCTTCTGCCATACCCAACTTTCACTACCATACGTTAAAGTAGGGACCAACACAGCATTGTGAATTGCCATACGTGCCTTTTTTGACACATTTTGACTCTTCACAATAGAGATATCTTCATAATAGGATATAAGAGTGCATTTATTCGCCAACAAACTGGCTTTACAGTTTGGCGAAGTTATGTACTTATGTAATGATTTTTCTGTAAATGTCATTAAATAAATAAATAAAATAAATAATTTATTGCTAATAAAATGCACAAAATAATGTTTGCAACTAATCCGGTAATTGTACTAAATAGTTGTACAAACACTAAACATATATAAAAATCTTATAAAACCTGGATCGAAACTTAATATGGTATTAACTGAATATTTAACAGAATAGCATTAGGTAATAGAAGAGTAGGTTTTTTCTTTTTTATTAACATTTTATCCTTGAAATGTCTGCTGAAAACTTTTGATAACGGTTTTGGTGTCCAATCTGTTCATTCTGTAGTTACAATCCAATTCCGACGTAAATTATCATGTTCAGGAAAACTGCGACAAGCAATTAAATCTTTCAGATATTTAATTAATAGACACTACAGAATACATATTAATATTTCCTATAATAGTGGGTAACAGTTTGTACAAAAGTTGGCAACACCAAAGATTTTAGGTTAAAATGAGATGTTCCAAAATGTATAGAGCCTGGGCCAGGTCCTTGTACACTATACTCAAAAATAGGGAAACTCATTTTAAACGGTTGTCCAATTATTTTATAATGGCTTTGTTTGCTGGTTAAGCACAGGAAATAACACTTGAAATTGCAACATTCAACAAAAACCCGTCATGGTGATTAGCTTTCATTTGTGACGTTTGACATCTTTGTATCACGCATTGAGGTTAGAGAGAAGGAGAACGATCGCTACGTGCTAAAGCATAGCCCGCCTGTCCCTGAACTGCCGTCGGTAAGTAGTATCCGCGAAGTTAGCTGTTTATGAGTACAAGTAGATGAAGTTAGTTGAATAATGTACAAATTTTCTTCGCGGCATTGGTGAGAAAATAATTGTGCTCAGTAATTTTTATTTTTGAAAAAAAAAAGAAACATTAAAAACCAGTGAAATATTATATTGTGCGTGGATGTGCAAGTGGTTTAGCATCTGATCGGAAAAATATACTGAAAATGATTTTTATTGACACAACTTAGCGATTGCAGCGCCTCACTTATTTTGTCCATATTTCTGGGACACTATTTTCTACAGCGATCGTTCTCCTTCTCTCTCACCTCCATAGTATGGAGTTTAGAAGTAAGGAGTACAGACTGTGTATTAAAAAGTGTCCATAAAAACCTTTAAATAAGGTGGCGCCACTATATAGCTACGGGGTAAATTTTAAAGAATGCACCGAAAAATATTGGTGGGATAGACGACTTTTTCGAGGTTATATTTACTAAATAAAATTATTTTAGATTTTAGAGCTACTGAGCAGTTTAGCAGCATACTTCAAACCGTCGAAACTGCTAAGTTCATTTCATCCTAGTAGCTACTCCAGCGCTTTTGTGGAGAGTTTTTGAATTGTTATTTACTGCTTACAGATGACAACTTCGTCAACTATTCTACTATTTTTTGACTGCACTTAGTGATTGCAGCGCCTCACTGATGGTGTCCATATTTCTGGGACACTGTTTTCTACGGCGATCGTTCTCCTGTTCTCTAACCTTCATGGTTTCACGTATTTTTGACACTATTGTGACAACTGACAGTTCTCTTTTTATGATCATTGCTCATTTTATGCATGGAGTGTAAAGGTAAGGAGGACGATCTCCCATAGCAGAATAGTTGAAAATGTATCCATCTGTAAGCAGTAAGTAATAATTCAAAAACTCTCCACAACAGCGCTCGCGTAGCTAGAGGGTATGAAATAAACTTAGCAGTTGTCGACGGAGTCAAGTGCGCTGAGTTGAGAAATTTAATATTTGTGGTGACTATAGTAGTTGATGAAACTGCAGTATTTAAAACCTCAAATACTTACTTTGTCTTAAGTAATTTAGTAAATATAACCTAGAAACAGTCGCCGTAAAACACGTTGAGAGTCATTTTGAAAATAAAAATTTTAAAAACAATAAAATAATTATTATAAAAAGAATTATGGTGAAAATCTGTGCAATAAAAAATAATAAAAGTTCTTTAAAATTTACAATCTAGTAACAGTGGCGCTACCCTTATTTAGCGCTTTTCTACAGACATTTTTTTATTCAGAGTTTGTTCACCTTATCTCTACACTCCATAGTTTTATGATTTACTGTCATTATTTATAAGCACAGAGTAACTAAATACGCGAGGCACCATTTTGATAGTCGATAACAATAATTGATAAACATAAATTGTTTACCACAACAGGATACATTTAAATGAATTACCTTTATTTTCCCGAATTCATACAATACAATTTTCCTCTTTTTTTGAGGTAGTATATAGACCTGGCCCATATCATCTGAATGGGCAATGGCATCTGCTTTACAATTGTTATTTTTGTGCTTTTTTAACGATAAATTCACGTCTAGAGTACATTATACACAATATATGAATTTTATAAAATGTTACAGAATACCTAGTAACCTATAAAGAGTGGCGAATAAAAAGACAACGGCATGCAGGCATGGCATTTTCGTTCCATTATCACTTTTATACCCTAAAACACTACACGCACCATGTTTTTTTAAACATGTTTGGAATACTAAGTCTAAATTGTTCACAAATAAATATAATATGTATTACTTAACATAAAGCACGTAAAACTGTATTTATAGTCCGTTCATCTTAACTTGACGCGTGAGTGATTGGGTGCGTTTTGGCAGAAAAAAGCGCTAGCAAGCGCTTATAAGCGCTAAAATAGTTTTCGGCCAGGACACGATTGCTACTTCAGTAGCGCTGACACAATCCGCCATTCTGCTTATTTAATTTGTTTGTTTTGAAGTAGAGTTTATAAGTTGTTTTGTGCAATATTAGTTTTAAGTAATATAATGACATGAATAAACATATACATGCTATTAAAAACTCATGATTGGTAAGTTTTTAATATGAATACTTTACAAACATATATTTAAATTAGGTTAGATTCCCCAGTTAAAACTAACATCGTGTCCTGGAAGAAAATAGCTACTTACGATTTGACAGCGCTTACCGCTTACGATCGCCATTTTGCTTACAAGCGCTTGCTAGCGCTTTTTTCTGCCAAACGCACCCATTGGTAAAGTGCGCGCAAGATAACTCTGCGCGCGGCCAAAATTGGAACTAATCGTGTGCCGCCATCTTACTGTTTATGGCAAGTGTCTAAACAGAGTGGTAGGTGTCCTGTTTTTATTCTTTTTTGCAGTAATTAATCGTTATCATTATGCCGAAAGTCATTAAAAGTGCTGGCAGGGATGTTATTTTGAAGGTCAAACGTGCTTGTGAAGAAGAACGAGACAATAACGGACCTATAGTACCGTTTTCCAAAGTTAGAGCCTGCGTTGCATATTTAACAGGTAATTTTTAGGGATGCCATTACAATAAAATTCCCCAATTTTCTCTATTTGTTCCTTTTTAATTTCCTCGTGTCATTAATATTATGTATTTATAATGCATTGTTTTTATTTTGTTTTAGGTGTTTCTGAACGCACCGTCACCCATATAAGTCAAGAGGGTAATATAGCAGAAGCTTTATCTTCTAAAATTGTGACGCCGGGAAAAACTAGGAACCGAAGGAAAAAAATTATGATTTACACGATTTCGATATGTGCGCTATAAGGCATTTAATTCAATCATTTTACGTCGTGAATAAGGAGATTCCTACCATAAATAAACTTTGGTTGGAATTGAAAACTGATATTGGTTTTAAATACGGCAGAACATCGTTGAGGAGTATTTTAAAGACTATGGGCTACAAATACAAAAGGTGCCAGTCTAAACGAAAAGTATTGGTGGAACGCAGTGATATTGCACCTTGGAGAGCAAAATATATTCTGAGGTTGCGCAAGAATCGTCAGGAAGAAAATCGACCGGTAATTTATGTTGACGAAACGTATATACATGCTTCATACCACCTTCAAAAATGGTGGCAATCGAAGGAACAGCCTGGTATTCTTGCTTCTGATAGCGTCGGTGCAAGATGGATAATAGCCCATGGTGGAGGTAAAACTGGGTTTGTTGAAAACGGACTGCTGCTGTTCAGGTCTAACTCCAAATCGAATGACTATCATGACGATATGAATTCAGCTAACTTCATGCGGTGGATGAAAGAAAAAATTGTGCCGCATCTTCCAACGAATTGCATTGTAGTGATAGATAATGCGTCATACCACTGCACACAGATCAACAAGGCGCCTACAATTGGCAATACAAAAGCAGAGCTCCAAGGATGGCTTACGAGAAATGGTATTACATTTGAAGACTGTTGGACAAAAGCGCAATTATACGAATTAATTAAAAAATACAAAGGAGACCCACAGTACGAAATAGATCAAATGCTAAATGAATATGGACATGAGGTTCTCCGTTTGCCACCTTACCACTGCGATTTAAATCCCATCTAAAAATTTGGGCAATAGTAAAGAGACGCATTGCAGAGAAAAATATCACTCAAGCTCCTAGCGAAATAGCTGCTATTACTGAGGCGGCGTTTAGAACAGTAACGACAGAAGAATGGTTCAACGTATGCCAACATGTAGAAAAAATAGAAGATAAATATTTCCAATCAGATAGGCTGATGGATATGGAAATGGATGAATTTGTAATTAATGTTACAGGTGACACATCCGAGTCATCTGATGAAGACTCTAGCATGGATCCTGATGAAGACATGCGAATGGAAGGCGTTGATCCACTGCAGGACCATTGTTACACCAAATTTATAAATAATAATAGGTATTCAATAAAAGATTTACAAGGTTTCCTTGGACTTTTTATTTCGTTCTTTATAATAAATATTATAATGCTATTTCAGTTGTTTCAAAATACCTTTTTTGGAAAAATTTATTATAGACAAAATATCAGTAGTCATTAATCTTAGTATTAGTCCTTTTTATACACGCATATAATAGGTACCTGTAATTGTGTAAAATAAATTGTAGTGGCGTAGTTAAACTTGTGTAGTGAGGTATCAAACTTATGAAAGTTAGAATCAAGAAATATATTTATTACGCGGATCTTAAATAATAAATATGGGGTTTAAAAAATTATTAGGTCTTTGTAAGTTTAGGCTGAACATTACAGTTTTTTTAATTGAGATTTGGTAATCAATTAGGTAATTTATGTAATTTGATATAATTATACAATTCCAGTAATAAGATTAAACGTGTCATAGGTCATAGGTGTGATTTTTACTGACAGCTGTCGCAGAGATCAAGCTATCATTTATGAACCATAAATCGCGATACAAAGATCGAAATCGATAATACTGGTGCTGGTGCAACACAACAAAAAAATTATATCATTTTACGCTGTACGAAAAAAATTTCTACGTTAAACAAATTACTTGTTGAATTGCTAGATGAAACAAATTTTGAAGGTGGGTTTACTACACTATGGAATATAATAAAACGACTCGGATATAAATACAGAAAGTGTCAATCAAAACGAAAAATGTTAGTGGAACGAACAGATATAGCTGCTACCTAATTGTGTGATTGTGATGGACAGTGCACCATATGATAAAGTACAAATAAATAAAAGCCCTAATATGGCAAGCCTCAAAATAGATATGGTAGAGTGGCTTTATAACAAGGGACTGTTGTTTTCACCGAATTTTGCCAAAAAATATTTTATGTGAATTAATAGAAATAAATAAACCAGAGCCCATATATAAAGCTGACGAATTAATAAAATCACATGGTCACAATGTTTTGCGACTGCCCCCATATCTTGCAGATTTAAATTCAATTGAGCGGATATGGAGTGTTATGAAGAGACGGTTCGAAGAAAAAAGAAAAAAGAAAAAGAAGAAGAAAAAAGAGGGCCAGAGAGATGATCAAGTGGAATCCCTTATAAAAGAAACGTTAAGCTCAATAAGCGAAGAGATTTGGAAAAAAAGAGAGCTCAGATAGTATAAAAATTGAATATGAAAAATAAAATAATAAATAAAGTAAGTAATCGCTTTTTATTGTGGGTTGGCATTCTAACCTCCATGGATAGTGACGAAAGTGATAGTGACAGTGATTGTTCAAGTAACATTGAAGAAGTTATTATCATTTTACACCTTATTGATCATAGTTATATAAAATGATGCTTTTTAACCCTCTCTTAATAAATTTATCCCGAATGTTCCTATTGATATATGAATTATTTCAGAGAGTACACAATAACACTTAAAAAGTCACATAAGTATAGTCATCAGTACCATATCCATATCCATAATGCCTTTCCCTGCATTTTGGGAACGCTATTCACATTGAAACATGCAACACTGTAAATTACAGTGCTGCCAATCGGATTACGCGTCAAGTTACGATGAACGGACAATAATTGAAATGCGATATCTCGCTGCACGTTAGCTGTCAAACTTTGTTTCGCAAAGTAGTGTGCTAATGGGCTAAAAACAATGGAGATTAGAGAGAAGGAGGACGATCGTTGTAGAAAATAGTGTCCCAGAAATATGGATAACATAAGTTAGGCACTGCGATCGCTAAATTGTCTCAATAAAAGCGAGTTGTTGTGCGGTAGTTTTAAATGATCTATCGATGTTTAATATAAGTGTTTAAAATATCATTCAAAGAAAAAAAAAGAAAATAATGAAATTATTATTATTTATTAATAAAATAATATAATATATTAATAAATTTATAATAATAATATATTAATAAATAGATTGTAAATTATGTTTTTAATAATTTTAATTATTATAAAATATTATAAATTTTGAGAATTTACTAACTTGCTTTTAAGAATTTCAACAATTTCTTAAAAGTTCAATAAAGATTAATTTATTAAAAAACATGATTAATTAAGCAAATAATAATTTTACATATTCAATATTATTATTAGCACTACTCCGGAGGCGTGGAGCAGAAGTGCGGTGGTCTTGTTCTTTAAGAAAGGCGACAACGCTCTCTTGAAGAACTACAGACCGATTTCTCTTCTGAGCCGCGTCTACGTGCTGTTTTCGAGAGTCATTACGAATCGTCTCGCACGCAGACTCGACGACTTCCAGCCTCCCGAACAAGCCGGTTTCCGAAAAGGCTTCAGTACCGTAGACCACATACATACCCTGCGGCAGATTATACAGAAGACCGAAGAGTACAATCTGCCACTTTGCGTGGCGTATGTGGACTATGAGAAAGCCTTTGATTCCGTCGAAATTTGGGCGGTGCTACAGTCCCTTCAGCGGTGCCAAGTTGACTGTCGTTATATCGAGGTACTGAAGTGTTTGTACAGTAGGGCTACGATGGCTATCCGAGTACAGAATCAGAGCTCGAAACCTATCCAACTGCAGAGAGGTGTAAGACAGAGTAACGTTATATCCCCGAAACTCTTCACCGCTGCATTGGAAGACGTTTTTAAGCTACTGGACAGGAAAAGATACGGTATTAACATCAATGGCGAGTACATCACTCACCTTCGATTTGCCGACGATATAGTCCTTATTGCAGAATCGCTGGAGGACCTTAGCACTATGCTCAATGATTTCAATGGTTTCTCCCAACGGATAGGTCTTAAGATGAACATGGACAAAACAAAGATCATGTTTAATGTCCATGTCCCACCTATGCCGGTAGTTGTTGGGAGCACTATGCTCGAAGTTGTTGACGAGTACGTTTACCTGGGACAAATAGTCCGACTAGGTAAGTCCAACTTCGACCGAGAGGTCAATCGACGGATTCAACTCGGCTGGGCAGCGTTCGGGAAATTACGACACATCTTCTCGTCAGGTATAACCAGTCTCTGAAAACTTAAGTGTACAACCAGTGCGTGTTGCCAGTGATGACTTACGGATCAGAGACGTGGTCCTTCACTGCTGGCCGTATGAGAACGCTCAAGGTCGCTCAGCGAGCTATGGAGAGGGCTATGCTCGGAGTTTCTCTGCGTGATAGACTCAGAAATGAGGATATCCGCAGTAAAACCAGAGTGACCGACATAGCCCAACGGATTAGTAAGCTGAAGTGGCAATGGGCCGGCCATATAGCTCGAAGAACCGATAACCGATGGGGAAGAAAGGTTCTCGAGTGGCAGCCTCGTACCGGTAGGCGTAGTGTAGGGCGACCCCCCACTAGATGGAGTGACGACCTGGTAAGACATGCAGGAAGTCGATGGATGCAGGTGGCTCAGGACCGTGCTTTGTGGCGTTACTTGGGGGAGGCCTATGTTCAGCAGTGGATTTGTGAAGGTGATATGTATTGCGGGTGCGCAGCACAGCCAGTAATAAACTAGCCTCGCTACTAAACGGTTGTTTCCTTTGTTCAATACATTTCACTGGCGACGAGTTTTGTAAATACCTACGCGTAAAAAAAAATATGTCGTATTTAGGTAATTTGCCTGTTTTCGATCACAAAACAAGTGAATGGTCAATATTTTATGGCAAATTAACACAGTTTCTAAGGATAAATAATGTGACAAAAGAAGAAATTAAGAGTGATATCCTGCTTACTCATCTCACCGATGAAACCTACCGCTTAGTACGTAACTTAGCGTACCCTAAAACGGTGGAATCGTTAACTTATAACGAGCTAGTTCAAATACTCAACAGCCATTTCAAACCAAAGCAGTGCTCCTTCGTAGATAAGGCCAACTTTTTTGGAGCGACTAGAAGTCCAGGAGAATCACTGGGAGACTGGGCGGCGCGATTAAGAGGACTAGCAAGCTATTGCGAATTCGGCGACGCCCTGGAAACGAATCTGAGAGATCGTTTTGTCCTAGGCCTGGGCTCTGGCCCGGAACGCGACAAGCTGTTCGAGCAGAACCCGACAACACTTACGCTAACTAAGGCGATTGAAATAGGGGAACAAGCTGCTTGCGCAAGAGAGGTAAAGGTGATGCTGAATACGAGCGATTTTGGGCTCATCAAGGAAGAGCCTGTGTATCGTGCAAAAATTCACCAGTTCGCTCGGGGAAGCGGAGGTGACGGCAGTGGCAATGACAGTGTCGGCGCTAGGACATCGCGACGCGAAACTGGCTCCTGTTCAGTTTGCGGTATGAAAAATCATTACAGTGATAAATGCCGGTACAAAAGCTATAAGTGTCAAAAGTGCGGTATAAAAGGGAATTTAAAGAAATTTTGTGCTAAAAATAAAAATAACTCGTGTGCTTATCACATTCAATCAGAACAGGAATGCGGCGCTAATGAGGTCAAGGACACAGGTTGCGTAGAATGCCAGAACTTTAACTTAAGGTACGTTGATGATAAATCAATTGAAATAAATTTAATTTTGGGCAATCACAACTTAACAATGGAACTTGATTCAGGCTCGAGCAGCTGTGTAATTTCTAAAAAATTGTATGCTGAAAAGTTTTCCGATTATCATTTAAATAACAGCAATAGGTATAAAAATGTGTCTGTATAATGGGCATAAAATCTCCCCACTTGGATATTTCTGGGTTGAAGCTTGTTATAATAAAGTTAAACACAAAATAAAAATTTATGTTGTTAAAAATGGGGGCCCTCCCCTGCTGGGTAGAGATTTTATGTCCGCGTTTAATTTAATTATTACAACTAACATAATGTCTATGTGTATTGATAAGAATGTAAACAATATATTGCAAAAGTTCCCTAATTTGTGGCAGGATGAGTTAGGTTCGTTCAATAAATTTAAAGTATGTTTACATTTAAAGGAAAATGCAAAACCTAAGTTTTTCAAGCCACGAACCATACCCTTTGCCCTTAGGGATAAAGTCGAAGAAGAGTTGAACCGTTTAGTAACCTTAGGTATTTTAGTTCCAATTGACCAATCAGAGTATGCCACGCCTATTGTACCTGTTTTGAAGGAAAACAATAAAATAAAAATAGCAGGAGATTTCTCGGTCACGCTGAATAAAGATCTTTTGATTGAAAGATACCCCTTACCTCGAATCGAAGAAGTATTTGCTAAAATTGGGGGTGGCGAACGATACAGTAAAATTGATCTTAAGAATGCTTATAATCAATTTGTTTTAGATGAGCCATCCCAATTACTTATAACAATAAATACCCATAAGGGGTTATTTAAATATACAAGATTAGTGTATGGCTTATCTAATGCACCTGCAATCTTTCAAAAGGCTATGGAGATACTTCTCTCTGGCATAGATGGAGTCAGCGTATGGCTCGATGATATATGTATAACTGGCCCCAATAGTGATTCCCACATTAAAAGATTAGAAGAAGTATTAAGTCGGTTAAGTGACGCCGGGTTGCGACTACAGAGAGACAAGTGTGATTTCTTTAAGGATAGTGTAAAATATTTAGGCTATGTCATAGATAAAAACGGCTTAAAGACTGACTCGGGAAAAGTTCACGCTATCATTAATGCGCCCAAGCCGACTAACGTAACCGAAGTTAAGAGATTTTTAGGCATGGTCAATTATTATAGGAATTTTATACCAAATGCTTCTTCACTACTCCATCCTCTTCACGAGCTATTGCGTCACGATACGCCATGGGAGTGGGGCGAGCGTCAGAGGCGTAGCATGGCGGCAGTGCGCCGCGAGCTGGCGTCCGAGCGCGTGCTAGCGCACTTCGAGCCCACAGCACAACTCGTACTGTGCGTGGACGCCGGACCCGGGGGCCTAGGCGCCGTTCTATCACAACGATCGGACGACGGTCACGAACGCCCCCCTCGCATTTGCGTCTCGTTCACTCACCACCAGTGAACGTAACTACAGCCAAATTCAGAAAGAGGCAACTGCCATTATATTCGGGGTGAAAAATTTTCATCAATTTCTGTATGGTCGAAGCGATCCGTTTATTCTTAAAACCGACCATAGGCCTCTAGTTTCTATCTTCGATACTAAAACAGGCATACCGATTACAACAGCGCTGAGATTACAGCGATATGCTATAATATTATCGGCCTATAATTACACTGTCCAGTATGTGTCGAGCGATAAAAACGTAGTTGCAGATTATTTTTCTCGCTCACCCTTAACGTGTAGAAACGCATCGGAATGCCACGATAACGATTTAGACTCTTACTACGTAGTTAAGTTTATGAATGAGACGTCACCGGCGACGACAATCCGCGATATTGCACAAGTGACACAACAAGATACGGTTCTTAAAACAGTCATTAGGTACATGAATCACGGTTGGCCACGTAAAATAAGCTGTCGAACAATACTTCCTTATTTTCAATGTAAGTCCGACTTACAGTTCGAACAAGGGTGCTTATTTAGGGGACATAGAATACTAATTCCGTCAAAGTTTAGGGAATACATGCTAAAAGAACTACACGACACACATCTAGGAATAATAAAAACAAAAAGTAACGCACGAAGTAGGATGTGGTGGCCGGGTATTGACCGCGACATTGAACGTTGGATCGGGTCCTGCAAAACATGCGTGAGCTTACGCTGCGCCCCGCCGCGCGATCCGCCGGCGCCGTGGCCCGCCGCCGCCGGCGCATGGCAGCGCGTACATATCGACTACATGACCGTGGGGCAGAGGGTATACCTCGTGGTGGTTGATTCGTTTAGTAAATGGCTGGAATGTATATACATGAACAGTGGAACGTCGTCACAATCGCTTATTACAAAATTAAAAAATATTTTCTCTACCTTCGGTATACCTAATGTTTTAGTTTCTGATAACGATGTTAAAATAAACTCTAATGAATTTAAGACCTTCTGCTCTAACAATGGCATTAAGTACTTAACTTCCCCCATATATCATCCACCAAGTAATGGACAAGCGGAGAATTCGGTTAGGACTTGTAAAAAGATGCTAAAATGTATTTTAAAAGATAACCTACCACAGCACCAAATTAATGAAGTATTATTGGGATATTTATTTAACTACAGGAACACGGTACACTGTACAACCGGCGAAACGCCGGCTAAATTAATGTTTGGTAGAAATCTACGATCTCGTCTCGACCTCGTAATAATACCCATAGAAAAAACACAATTAAATATGCCTTTAGTAACCAGTAGGAGATTTTTTTGAATTAGGTGATACTGTTTGGGCTCGGTGGTACAGTGCCCGGAAAGAAACTTGGGAGTTAGGTAAAATTAAAGAGAAGGTCGGTAGTAAAATGTACAAAATATTTATTATAAAATATGAAGCAACATGCATTAGACATATAGATCAGCTGTTAAAATTTACGGGCAACGATAATTCATTAAAAATTAATAACACTGATAATGTTGAGAGTCGCAATTTTCAGTCGTTACCCTTGTCACCGTCTATGCCCGTTAATGCTCCTTTATCCGAACCTTCTGTAGGCAATCCTCGGTCATCGACCATAGTAGAGCAACCCGTTAATACTGACGCAATAGACCATGATAATGGGGAAGAATCGGGCGATTATTCGGCACAGGACAGCGTGGGAGACTCAACAGAGATTCCGGAAGCGTCAGATTCGCCTGAAGCTTCCGAAAACGGAGTCAAACAGCCTCAGAGCGATTCTGTCCGCTCCAATGACGTACCACCAGCGCAGGCACCGACACCCGCTCGTCAACTGCGCCCCCGGAAGAGGATAGATTATAAGAAATATTTTTAAATGATTCATTGTGTTATTAAATTTAGTTGTATGTGTGTTGTGGTGTGGTGTGGTATTATTTAATTTATTAAATGTTGTACATCTGTTAAGTCATAAGTATCTTAAATATTGTTTTATTTAAAACTTTATGTATTATATATTTAATAGAAATTTAAGTATTAACTGATCACTGTAAATCTACTTTGTTAACAGGCATCAAAAATTAAGTGTAGAGGAATGATATGTATTGCGGGTGCGCAGCACAGCCAGTAATAAACTAGCCTCGCTACTAAACGGTTGTTTCCTTTGTTTAATACATTTCAGAAGGGCTGTAATGATGATGATGATGATTCAATATTTCAATGTGCAGCTATGAATCGATAATGTATGAAGTCATTACCTTTGAAACTTTAAATAACGATGATTGACGAAAATTGTTTTTCAGTCTAGAGCACGATTATTTTCTCACCATTGCCGAGAAAAAAAAATTGTACATTATTCAACTAACTTCATTTACTTTCTCATAAACAGCTAACTTCGCAGCTACTACTTACCGATGGCAGCGTGCCTGGTGGCTGAAAAATGAACTATACATTCTACAAATTTTCAGGGACAGGCGGGCTATGCTTTAGCACGTAGCGATCGTTCTCTTCTCTCTAACCTCCATGGTGCTAGCGGTGCTAACCTTGAAAAACGTGGCACGCTCAGCGAAACAAAAAATCTCATCGTTGTATTTCATTTCTTTACACATCGGCGTAAATTGAACTTTCTCTTGTGTGACTGCGACAAAACATATCAATTTATACAGAGAAATAGACAAATACTCTTTTTTTAGAACGTAGAGTCCTTTGCGTAGCGATTTAAGGAGTTTACAAGTTGATTTAAGTGAGAAAAAGTGTTTTGTGAGCTTAAGATTGGTGATGTTAGTTTTGATTGTTTATGTCTTGTAGGTTTTTCAATTGTCTATAGCATTCTCTGTCTACAGCTCCGAACAATTATTTTTTAAATGTTTTATATAAGAAATATACAACTAAAATCCTAATAAATTTATTAGTAGGTACAATTACCTATATAGCTATAATATATTTCAGATCTAGCTTAGTAGGTATAATTTATTTTAAAATTTTATGTACCACATTTTTTATTACATTTTTCTGCGGCTTTAATATAAACTGATTCTCCGCATTTCCTGACCTAGAGAGATCAACATATAATTGTCCGTGAGTAAAACAATCTTCCCTTAAGTCAAGTCCAATATGTTTATATGTTTGGCCTTGGGATTTACTCTGATCGGTGATGTCGAAAGAAACATTTATTGGAAACTGTAATAGCTTAAATTGAAAAGGTAAATCTGCAGGGATCATGGGAATGCGGGGAATATGAGCTAAATGACCTGCCGCTGGTCCTTTGAGTATAATGCTCTCAATCACATTATTACGTAGCGATTTTACTTGGAGTTAAGTTCCATTGCATAGATTGGGTGGAGTAAAATTATTAGAATACCGACTTTAATTTTTAGGTATAGGGTATGAGGGGGAAGACATGAAGGGTTAAGTGAGTTAAGGAATTCCTGTGGGTAATGCACGGCATTCTCTGTATCTAATACGGTATTAACGGATTTATATATTTTTTGATAACCGGCTATTTTTTCTAATATTTGTTTATTGATATGATCAACAGAAGAATTTCTTGGCGTAACTATTGCCCTCTCGCACATCCATGTGTAATCTTTTTGAGAAATACTCTCAATTCCTGGGTAAACATTCAGAATTAAATAATTGAGACTTGAGATTCCTACTATCTACTTTTCTAACTCATCTATTTTGATAAGGCCATCTTCTTCAGGCCTTTTTCCATCACCTCCTTGTAATATAAAACTCGCAAACTGCGTACTATCCCCTCCTAAGTGGGCTCTCATGTTTATTGTTAAAGTGATTGATTGTATAGAGCTCCATACAGGAGACGGCTTTAATCAGGCTTTAAGTATACCTGCACGTGATCCTCTAGGCACAACAGGAAGAGTTTGACGAAAGTCACCGGCTAAAACGAAACCTCCCATAATTTTATCTGAACTTCTTAGGTCTTTTAGAGTTCTGTCTACAGCTTCTATATGTGAGTAGTGGCTCATCGTACATTCGTCCCACATTTTGAGGCAGACGTCTTGAAGAAGAAGTTTGCCCAGTGTCCAGTTGTGAAAACAAGCGTACTCATTCAACTCGTTACAATCATATGGTAGTGTTATCCTTACAGAATCGCTATCGTTGTTTATCTGCGGTTTAGGCAGGCCAAAGTCTCCTTATATCTTTTCGATCTCATTTTGTTTATCTTCAACAGACACAGTGGCCTAGTGGGATCCTTTGTTAATATACTTGCAAATATTTTTAATTGTTAACTGATTGACAATACTCTACATTGTGCATAAAGCTTCTTTTTGCCTTTTCAAGTTTCTTTTCAGTCTCAGCTATAAGTTAGTTATGAGGGGAATTTTGTTTTGGGCCATGATCATTTTTAACCAGGATATGATGTGATGGATGTGCGTTTGTTTCACGTAAGAATATGCATGGGTTTCGTTTTTTTTGTAGTACCGAAAATGCCGGTTTTCGTTAAATGCTTCATACGTTTTTTTACCTTTAAATTAAACACACGTGCCACAATGTCATGACTATCGTATGATCTATGCCCGGGGAATAATCCCTTTTATTTTCAGGTCATTCGAGATTATACGTGAACGTTATAAACAAATCAGGTCTACCAAAGTTTCGGACGTATGTCATTGCATTTGCGTCTTTTCATTTATATATCTGGGAGAACCTGTGAATGTTGTGGGTAATATTACGTATTGGCCAATATTTTGCGCATTCAGGTTCTTATCTTGATTTGCAGCATCTCTTAGATGAATGTAGTTTTCAGCTCTTAGTTTAATTTGGTTTCTGGGGATAAAATCAAGTCATTTAGTTATCATCTTGGCCATCATATCAACTAAATATTGATTAAATGGATTTCTAAAATGATGTAACGTATTCAATCTGTCTTCTCTAATCATAAGCATATACGCATAACACTGCATGCAGATGACAGTCTTGTTATGTTATTACTATGGAGTGTAGAAGTAAGGAGCACCAACTCCCATAGTAGAATAGTTGGAAAAGTGGCCATCTGTAAGCAGTAAATAACAGTTCAAAAACTCTCCACAACAGCGCTGGAGTAGCTACTGGGATGAAATGAACTTAGCAGTTGTCGACGGTTTGAAGTATGCTGTTAAACTACTCAGTAGCTCTAAAATCTAAAATAATTTTATTTAGTAAATATAACCTCAAAGAAGTCGTCTATCCCACTTATATTTTTCGGTGCGTTCTTTAAAATTTAGCCCGTAGCTATAGTGGCGCCACCCCTATTTAACTGTTTTCTATGGACACTTTTTAATACGCAGTCTGCACTCCTTACTTATTACACTCCATAGTTATTACAGTACTCGTATGTTCAGACAATAACCATCTTCACCTCTTGGTAAATGAACGGGGTATTGTAGAGGGTCATAAAAAGTGGCGTAGTGGGTTTTCGCCACCCGGGGCCATCCTGAAATTTGCCGCCCCATTTTTTAAAATTATTTTACTTTAAAGTTTAAATATTTTAACTTATTCAAAGTCAACATAAACTAAAACTGATTCGGAAGGAACAAACATCTATAGGTAGAAATGGCGCAAGAAACCCACAGGAAGTTTATCTTTTAAAATAGATTGTTTACAAGCCATAACTTTACTAACTTAACACTAGGTACATTCAACAATAAATAATAATATGAACGTACAATTGGATTCTAAATTATACATAGTGTACAACACTTGGCAACCTTTACAGGTATTGCAAAAAAGTATACTACCCATCATTTTATTTCTTTACTCCTAAATCAGATCAAATTTAAGAAATCCAAAAGTAATTTGACTAGTAAATTATCTGTAGTGGATTATTGGAATCACGTCAATTCGTTATTTTGCATTTGATAAATTAAGATAATCGTTAATTACCGCCCTGGGAGAGAATGCCTAATGGCATTAAGTCCGCCCTTTGTAAACCTATTATTAAGGTGCAATAAAGTGTAAATAAATAAAAGTGGCTACTCATAGCGGTTGTCAACGTTCTCTTAACCAGCAGCATTTGAGATCAATTTGGATAGGATAAAATATTTATTTATATTATAGGGTGCTCAGAATTATTAATTATTTCTGTCACTATTAATTTTAAAATTAGATTGAAAATGTACTTTTCGTGTTTTTTTTTTCAAAGTAAAATCTTTAATACAATCGTCAATCTTCTTTCAGATCAATCAATCAATCGTCTTTTAGAGTTCTGTCTACAGCTTCTATATGTGAGTAGTGGCTCATCGTACATTCGTCCCACATTTTGAGGCAGACGTCTTGAAGAAGAAGTTTGCCCAGTGTCCAGTTGTGAAAACAAGCGTACTCATTCAACTCGTTACAATCATATGGTAGTGTTATCCTTACAGAATCGCTATCGTTGTTTATCTGCGGTTTAGGCAGGCCAAAGTCTCCTTATATCTTTTCGATCTCATTTTGTTTATCTTCAACAGACACAGTGGCCTGGTTGGATCCTTTGTTAATATACTTGCAAATATTTTTAATTGCTTTAACTGATTGACAATACTCTACATTTATCTGTGCATTAAAGCTTCTGAACAGTACAGGGCGAATGTATAATTTTTTTTTCAAAGTAAAATCTTTAATACAATCGTCAATATCAAAATGTATGTCATGTTCCATTTCCAGATTAGCTAAATTTACTAGTCTCAATGTTGACGCAGTCGATCTTAGATAATTTTTAATTAACTTTAGTTTAAAAAAGTTTCCCTCGCAACTTAGGTTACTAACGGCAGATGTTTGAAAATCCTCGGTATAATTTTTAACTTATTTTTAATTTTTATTATTTTTATTATGACAATGTTTGATAGGCCATATTCAAGTTTGGACTCAATTACGTATTTTAACAAACCCAGAAAGCCGGAC